ATGGACATCCATTTTACTTCATGCCTGCGTGCATGTTTATATTTGAACTCCTTTGTCCTATATGAATAATGGATCCCTTATCTTTGAACTCTTTTGTTTTTTTTTGAATAAATACAATGGATTCTTCTTAGACATTATCTTGATACCCATCCCTTTTCTTTAGAGATATGGGAGATGAATCAACCCTATGCTTGGTTGATTGTGCGACTACGCACACTATTCTGACAGACCGGAGATTTTTCCAAACGTTCAAGGAACATAAAGGCAACCTTTCAACCATAGCGAATGATGACATCCCTATTGTGGGCTCCGGCAGAGCGTCACTTATTCTTCCTAAAGGAACAAAGTTGATCATTGATTCAGCCCTCCTATATCCTCAATCAAAAAGAACTTTGCTCAGTTTCAGGGATATTCGGTCCAACGGTTTCCACATAGAAACTAAAACTAAAAACAATACCGAATTTCTTGTTTTGACCAAAACGGTCAATAACCAGAAAAAGGAAATTGAAGAACTTCCTTCCTTTTCTTCAGGCCTGTATTATTCATATATCAGGCCCCAGCACTCCTGCGTTGCACTCGCAGTAAAGTTTAAAGATACACATTCTTTCAGTCTATGGCATGACCGCTTAGGTCACCCTGGGCAAACAATGATAGGCCGGATTCTTTCAAATTCAACTGGACATAACCTTCTTAGGACAAACATTCTTTCTACAAAAGATTACACATGTGTTCCATGTGCACAGGGAAAACTTATTGTTCGTCCCTCGCGTCCTAAGATTGGTTTTGAGTCACCTGTCTTCCTGCAGAGGCTACAGGGTGATATTTGTGGACCAATTAATCCTTCATCCGGACCATTTCGATATTTTATGGTCCTTATTGATGCTTCACCCGATGGACACATGTGTGTTTGTTGTCCACTCGAAATATGGCATTCGCAAAATTCATAAGCCAAATCATTAGGTTGAATGCCCAATTTCCCGATTATCCTATTAAGAACATAAGAATGGATAATGCTGGTGAATTCACTTCGTCAGCTTTTGACGATTATTGTATGGCCATGGGAATTAAGGTGGAACATCCTGTACCATACGTCCACACCCAGAATGGTTTAGCTGAATCTCTTATCAAAAGAATTAAACTAATAGCTAGACCATTACTACAACGGTCCAGTCTACCAGTAAATTGTTGGGGACACGCAGTGTTGCATGCTGCAAACCTAATTCAACTCCGGCCAACTGCATATCACGATTATTCCCCTCTACAACTTGTACGTGGTAATGAGCCAGACATTTCTCATTTGCGTGTCTTTGGCTGTGCGGTTTACGTACCTATACCACCTCCGCATCGTTCTTCAATGGGCTCGCAACGTCGGTTAGGTATTTATGTTGGGTATGAATCCCCTTCTATCATTAAATACCTTGAGCCTATGACAGCAGATCAGTTTACTGCACGGTTTGCTGACTGCATTTTTGATGAAGATCATTTCCCGGCATTAGGGGGAGAGAAAAGCCCAGCTTTGAAAAAATGCCACGAAATTTCATGGGATGAAAAAGATCTTCAATATCTTGACCCACGTACTAGTCAAACTGAACTTGAAGTTCAGAAAATAATAAATTTGCAAAAACTAGCAAATAATCTGCCAGATGCGTTTAATGATTATAAAAGAGTAACTAAGTCCTATATTCCTGCAGAAAATGCTCCATCAAGGATAATTGTCCCCAAAGGACCAAATACTAACGCCGACACTGTCCGACGCCAGAAGCGTGGAAGACCAGTTGGTGCAAAAGATGTAAATCCGCGGAAAATTAAAAACAATAAACAATCACAGTTACTCCAAAATCGTCCTGAAGACGAAATACCCAGTGTAAATGCACGTGCTACAAATAAACCTAACACTGGGAACACGGAACACCTTCACCAAGATATGATAGCAAATGAGAAAGACTTGGTTGAAGTAAATATAGAATCTGCCATAAACTTTTTCAAAACAGGAGAAAATCTTAATAGAAATGTAACAGTCGTCGACGACCAATTCGCCTCTACAATTGCTCTTCACATTTCTTTCAATAATCTGGATCCAGAACCAAAAACTATAATGGAGTGCCGGAAGCGCTCTGATTGGTTGAAATGGAAAGAAGCAATTGAGGCTGAGCTCAACTCGCTAAATAAAAGAAAAGTGTTTAGTCCTCCTGTACTTACCCCTAAAGGCGTGATCCCAGTAGGATCCAAATGGGTATTTGTACGAAAGAGGAATGAACAAAATGAGGTGGTCAGATACAAAGCGAGACTGGTAGCTCAAGGGTTCTCACAGAGACCCGGAATAGATTTTGAACAAACTTACTCTCCTGTCTTAGATGGCACATCGTTCCGTTATCTAATATCGCTGGCAGTAAAAATGAATTTAAAAATGCAGTTAATGGATGTTGTGACCGCATATTTATATGGGTCACTAGACGCTGACATATATATGAAAGTACCTGAGGGCATCCAAAATCCTTTATGTAAAGGAAATACAAATAAAAATATGTTCAGCGTAAAGCTACAAAAGTCATTGTATGGCTTAAAACAATCAGGAAGAATGTGGTATTGTCGATTGAGTGAATTCCTCTTAAAACAAGGATATGAAAATAAAGATATTAGTCCTTGCATCTTTACAAAGAAATCAACTAATGGTTTCTGCATTATATCAATCTATGTAGATGATATAAACATCATAGGGACAGGCAAGGATGTCAAGAGGGCATGCTTGTGCTTAAAAGAGGAATTCGAAATGAAAGACTTGGGAAAAACCAAGTTCTGTCTCGGCCTGCAGATCGAGCACCTCCCTGAAGGGATATTCATACACCAATCCAAATACACAAACAAGTTATTGGAGAAATTCTACATGGATAAGTCCCATCCACTTAGTACTCCAATGGTAGTCCGATCACTTGAAGTTGAGAAGGACCCGTACAGACCTAAAGAAGATAATGAGGGTATTCTGGGACCAGAAGTTCCTTACTTAAGTGCCATTGGAGCACTTTTATATCTTGCCAACTGCACTAGACCTGATATTGCATTTTCAGTAAACATGCTAGCTCGTTTTAGTGCTGCTCCAACCAGAAGGCATTGGAATGGCATAAAACATATCTTCAGATATTTACAAGGTACAAAGGATCTTGGCCTTCTATTTAAGAGAGACCAAGACACCACATTAGTGGGATACGCGGATGCTGGCTTTATGTCTGATCCGCATAATGCTAGATCTCAGACTGGATATGTGTTTCTTTCTGGAGGTACTGCTGTTTCATGGAAATCAGTTAAACAAACATTAGTAGCTACCTCCTCAAACCACTCTGAGATTATTGCCTTATACGAGACCTCCAAAGAATGTGTATGGTTGAGGTCATTAATACACAATATTCAAGACTCGTGTGGAATAATGAATAATGGAAAGATCCCCACTGTCCTGTTCGAGGACAATGCAGCATGTGTTGCACAAATGAGTAATGGATATGTTAAAGGTAATCTCACCAAGCATATTACACCAAAATTCTTTTATCCACATGAACTCCAGAAGAGCGGTGAAATACGAGTCCAAAAGATCCAGTCAAGTGAGAATCTGGCAGATTTATTTACTAAGTCCTTACCTACATTTACTTTTGAAAAGTATGTATACAAAATTGGTATGCGTAGATTAGGAAGGCTGTTGTCTTCAGGGGGAGCAACAACATCTTGAATGTAACAAAATTATTAATCTAGAAGATCAATTTATTCACTTTGATCCAGAAGATCAAGACTTATCCTTATGTTTTATACCTAAACCCAGAAGGTTTACAGTTGTACTCTTTTTCCCTTTGCTGAGTTTTTTTCCCACAGGGTTTTCTCAGTGTAAGGTTTTTAATGAGGCAACCAAAGCAACACATGCATTATCCATATATCATGTACTCTTTTCTCGACTAGGTTTTTCCCACAGGGTTTTTCTAGCGAGTTTTTAACGAGGCATGATTATGGCAAAATAATGTCCAAGGGGGAGTGTTACAAAATATATTTATTATGGACATTATGTCCCTTTATTATGATTAATTTGTCATTATGTAGTGATTTGTAACATACATCTCTTTGTACTATAAAAGGTTGTTTTCTTGATAATGCAAAGATAATCTTTTCCTGGTGTTCTCATACTCTCTCTACTTCATATCATAGTCTATTTACATTTTGCATTGTCCCTGCAAATCCACCGGCTAAGAGCTAACGGGCATCAAACATTTAACAAATATTAGCTTGATATCATTATCCTATGATATCCTTGAAACCAAATTTTAATATTACGCTTTTCAATAAATTTTGAATTGGAAAATTAATATAAGATGAGCAAACCATCAGTTCGATTGAAAAAAAAAAAAAAAAAAAAAAAAAAAAGGTCACAGAGGTACTATTTGAACACAACTGCAGTCTAAAAAAGGGTTAGATCCTGTGACTTTCTCTCAAGAGGAGCTACAAAGGTATTATTTGAACACAAGGTGTTTGACAAAAAAATTCTTACAATTACATTACCAATTTACTTAGTAAGTGTTCTCTTTCACGCCTGATTTTTTCTTAATCATAGGAGTTAGTAGTTAATGTTAGAGGAGATGAACCAGTACCGTGCACTTTCATTTTTTAAATGATATCGGAAGTTTCGAACTTTTTTTTGTATGAAAAAATCATTCTGATAAGCACTTTTCTCTTTAATTGAATAGACCAGTGCGAAGAGGATAAGTATGAGTATAATATGAGCTTAAATGTATCTCTTATCGTTAGAGCCTGATCAAGACATAGTGATATTAAAAAAAGAAAAAAAAAAACCAAAAAAACTGAAGGTGAAGTGACTCAAGTGGTTGGAAGTGGTGGAGCCAAACAGGTGAGATAGATATGCATATCTCCATTTTATTGGTCTGAAATCTATCCACTAAAGATCAAAGATTTCCTTCCTAGATTTCACTCATCCTACATGGCTCCATTCAGCGGCAACCATTTTATTTTCCCTGCTCTCTCAGCCATATATCAACCCAGGCCACCTCTGCATTTACTCCAATCCCAACATATCTCTTCTTCATCGCTAGCTTTCACTCTCCATTAGATCCATTCCAAGGAGAAACCAGAAGAGGAAGAAGAAGAAGCAGAAGACATGGCAACCACATCTGCTGCTGTGCTACACGGCTTGAGCTCCTCCTTCTTGACCGCCGGCAAGAACACCCAGACCTTGCTGGCCGCGCCAAGAGCCGCCGTGGCTGCGCCTTCTGCTCCCAAGAGGTTCATTGTGGTGGCTGCTGCCGCTCCCAAGAAATCTTGGCTTCCTGGTGTTAGGGGTGGCGGCAACTTGGTCGACCCTGAATGGCTAGATGGCTCGTAAGTTTAATTTGCTGCTCCAATCTTTTGAGTTTCATACCATATTGGAATGTTCTTGTTGAGTTTTTCTCGTATATGGATTAGGAATATGAGTTTGTCTGAGTATGAGTGAAACAGGTAGACTTTTCTACAGGGATTAGATGCCTTGTACATGCCTATAAATATATTGATTGTATAAGAGTATTGTTACGCTCCCGTGGACGTAGGCACATTGCCGAACCATATAAATTTGTCTTTTTACCCTTTCTGTCATTATTATTGTTTCTTGTTCTGGTTAATCTCAACAGTTCGGAATTGCAATTGCTAATTGTGTGTTGAATTGTGGATTGCAGGCTGCCAGGGGACTACGGTTTTGACCCATTGGGTCTTGGAAAAGACCCAGCTTTTCTGAAATGGTACAGAGAAGCGGAGCTGATCCACGGGCGGTGGGCAATGGCGGCGGTGCTGGGCATCTTCGTGGGGCAGGCATGGAGCGGCGTTCCATGGTTCGAGGCCGGAGCTCAGCCGGGCGCCATTGCCCCCTTCTCCTTCGGCTCACTCCTGGGCACGCAGCTTATCCTGATGGGCTGGGTTGAGAGCAAGAGATGGGTGGATTTCTTCAACCCAGACTCACAATCAGTGGAGTGGGCTACGCCGTGGTCAAGAACGGCGGAGAACTTCAGCAACTTCACCGGCGAGCAGGGGTACCCCGGCGGGAAGTTCTTCGACCCGCTAGGCTTCGCCGGAACCCTTAAGAATGGGGAGTACATCCCGGACACGGAGAAGCTGGAGAGATTAAAGCTTGCGGAGATTAAGCATGCGAGAATTGCAATGTTGGCTATGCTAATCTTTTACTTTGAAGCTGGGCAGGGAAAGACACCTCTGGGCGCTCTTGGGTTGTAAGATGGATTTAAAACGTACTTTGATGTAATTAAAGAGTCATTCAATGTAGAAAAAGAAGAAACTGGATTTCTTGCTGCATATATGCTTTCGGTTCCTCCCCTGAGTTCATATTCTTTCCACATAAATTGTATGCCAAAAAATAAAAACATAGCAACTAACTGGAGTAACAATAATTAAAACATTGTGAAAGGGGCATTCCGAGAATCGAACTCGGGACCTCTCGCACCCGAAGCGAGAATCATACCACTAGACCAAATGCCCTCATTGAACGTTGCATAGAATACAATATTCTCGTTCTCGTATTAGGAGTGAGCCAAAGGATTATAGTGTTTTTTTTTTTTTTTTTTTTTTTGGGTAAAAGATTATAGTGTATTTAATCTAGGAGAGTTTCATATCCCTTTCAGTACATTAAGATAGTATTTATAAATTAAAGTGACTCTTAATCGTTACAAGATATCTAACGTATAATTTAGACACTAAAGTAGGTTTCTATATATTTATTAGACTTGACAATGCGAATATAAGACATTTATAACAAATTCTATCGTACTCTCGACTGAACAGTAGGTTAACCAATCCTCTTAAACATGAACGGGTCGATTACCCTGACCATCATTGCGACTATACTAAACGGTTCTAGCTACCTTCTAACACAATTATAGTTTATATCAAACTCTAATAAGTCTTGTCAATTTTTGAAGTTGATTGGTAGGATAGGCCAGTCAATCCTCCCGAGCATGAATGGGTCAGTTAGCCCAATTATCATTAATTCATTATTGTGACTATACTAAAAGGCTCTACCGTACCTTCTAACTAGTTGACTCAAACTCGGGTCAAAGTGCTATTTTCAAGAGACAAAAGTTGGTAAAATTAAGATGTATGCAACAAATTAAATAGTGAAATAGATTGATTTTCTTGCACAAATATCTCTATGATTCATTGTAGTAGGTAAAATCTGATTCTTATCTCTTCTGATCTTTATCAGATAAGGACTTAATTTATTGGAACCAATACATTTGCAGCTTGCGCTGATATATATGATATGATACGGTGATAACAAAACAAAAAGGAGAAAAAGATAACATCATGCACGCATGCACTTTCATCGTTCTATATATGATCAGTTAAAAGCTGAGCAAACTTTGCGAATTTCACCATCGCTCCCAGTTTTAACTCCGATGTTACTCATCTTCACCATGGACTTCCCGAACTCCACGCTGAACGTCAGCCCCAGCAGTCCTCTGAGGCCCAGAAAACGTTGCACGAACGTTTTGGTGGAGCTGTCGGTCCAGAGTTTCTGGTCGGATTCAAGAATCCCATGACCCTTTTGGAGGTTCGAAAAGAACGAGGTATCGAACTTGGTTTCGCTGCCGTCGTCGAGTGATACTCTCTTGGTGCCGTCGCCGCCTTGCGGGCAGAGCGATTGAAGCGTGGCAAGGAACGATGGGTCGATTGATGGGTCAATGGTGGCGGATGATGTGTTGTATAGCCTGTAGCTGAAGAACTGACAAGCCGTTGTTCCTATGGTGTGTCCACCTAATACAAACAATAATAATAATTAACCTCGTACAATTAGTTTAATTTGGACTTCATACTAAATCAAATTATTAGAAAATTGACAATGATGTTTTTGACCGTGAATTATAATGATATTAGAGTTAATAGTACCTGGTACAATCTGAAAGATTATACTAGGTGTAAAAGACATTTGAGCCAATTGATAGTGTATATTTTAATTTATTAATGCTTACCAACAAGGGTAACGAGATCTTGAGTGGTGAGGCCTTTATCAGAAAACTTCTGCTTTTGGACGTCAACTGAATCTGTAAATCCCGGCAGGTTAGCCGCATCGGCGGCGGAGGAAACCCTCCCGTCTCTACGTCCGGTGGGTACAAGCCAAGTTAGCCCACTGGTCTGCATGAACAAATTAAACATGCATGAAAAACATTAGTATCAATCAAACAACAACATATAATCCAATCCAACTTATTACATTATCTCAAAGAAAAGAACATTACCAACACAACTGAATCACGAGCAGCAAGAGCCAGAATATCAGCACAAGACACAACCCCGGGACACGCAGCCTCGAGTTGCTTCTTAGCATCGTCAACCACCTCGTACCCTCTCAACCCTTGGTTACGGACGGCCGTTTTCTCGGTGTCGGAGCCGTCAATGAGGATGGAGGCGTCGCAGCCCTGAACGAAGCAGTCATGGAAATGCATTCTCAGTAACCCCGGGGCCACCTTAGGGTCCGACTGAAAATGCGACTTCACCGTAGCTTTCACTATCGACTCCGCCGTTGGGCAGGACGTCGCATAAAACCCAACCTTAGTGCCTTGTCCTAGTACTAACGTTGCACCAAAAACAACCAACAATACACGAAACAAAATCGCGGTTTTATTAAGACCACCCATCTCCATTACACTGTATTATTGATGGTAACGAATAGTACTAAATAGATATAGGCTTTAATTTTGAAGCTCTATTGATTCTTGAGAATGGATTACTAAGATGTTAGGGTATATATAGATACACAGAAGTAAAAAGGGTCAAAGAACTATTGCCCAAAAGTCAAACTTTGGCTGAGATGGTGAGTTGGCATTGGGTGCAATTTGCAGCAGCCTTGTTTTGTCTAGTATACAATTAGTCAGGTCGTAGGAGGACTTGGGTGCACCATGCATGGATTAATATACTACTTAATAATAATTGTTTTATAAGTTGTGGTAGATAGTCAGACTGCCAATTAAGTAATTAACTGGAGAGATAGAGCACTGCATTATATGGATTTATGGCCTAACTTTTAACGTCTTCTTCATCTAATATATGTCGTTCTCAAAATATTGAAACTTGTAATGTTGGTCGTCTATGTACGTCTCTTTGTTGATTATGGTGTCTTAACTGATCCACAATGTATGCATGCACCAGTTTCTAATGGTTAAATTCTTTAATTTACAGTTATGTATAAGCTTTTGCTTGAATTGCAGGGTATCTCTGCCAGTCAGAAGACTATTCCGGTGTCCCTACTGTCAGCACACTAAGTGGTAGGGGACTGGTCAAATGGTTTGCTCTATTCACATGGGTAGGGATTGAAACCCCAACCTCATATTTAAGGGATGAGATGCTGAACTATCACGCCAACCATGTTGGTTAGAATATCCTATTATACCCAGACAAATTATCCATTAATTGCATGCATATTAGTCCACTTTAATTAGTATTGAAATTTCGCAGTCAACAAATGAAAGTTTCTGCATGTAAACCAGTAACCTTGTGCAGTACGTGGGGTTATATATATATATATATATATATATATATATATATATATATATATATATATATATATATATATATATATATATATATAGGTCATCTTTTTAATTAATTAAGTAAATGGCCATTATATTCCATCAAGTTCCTGGATCCTTCAATTGTGCCACTAGCAGTGTATATATTTGACATCTTAAAATCTCACCTTATTCCATTCACATTGGATAATACTACAATTAAATCATGTGATGTTCCAAATTTCTTCAATAATGTTTCATAAAGGAGGAAAAGCCCAGAAAGAAAATTCAAAAAGCATGATTATTCTATGGTGATCACATATAATAATAATAATTGAGCTACTGCTCGAAATGAATGGTTAAACTAAGTGAATAAAACATAATTTTCATACTAACTAAAAGATCGCAAACTTAATTTTTGCTTGATCTATTGCTCGGGCTTCCTAGCTAGTGCTTACTATTTTATCCTTAACCTCTAATAGTGGAGTAGATGAAACCCACTATCTATATATTAATCAGGAGTGGGGGGATACATATATAATTTGCCAACTTTATGTATGCATGCACTCAACAATTAGTATATACAAATTGTTAGTGAATTTCTTGGTTGGCAAAGACAGATCGACACCCAATTATATATATGTACCTAATTGCACACATTTTAATCATCTTTGATTTATGAAAAAAAAAACACTCAAAGTTGCTACCCAAAAAGACATTCGGGATAAAACTTGCCTTATAACCAGTCTAGATTGTCTATAACTAATCAATTCAAACCAAAAAAATGAATAGATATCTTCCATTAAAAAAAAAAAAAAGCAAATTAAATTTGAAATCTTTAATTATTAACTTAATTATCAGACTAGTTCGATTGGATTGCCCACATTTTAATGGTCTTAATTACATTAATGAAGTGAATGAAATTGATCGAAGCTAGTATACTACAAGTTCACTGGTTAGCATTTTTGTTTGGTTCGAAATGGATAATGTTTTGGTTGGTGATGAGCATTGCGCGTTTGTGCATGAGATCTTTGAAGGTGGAAGGATCAACTCTGCAGAGTCGACAACTTTGCCTACGATACCAAGTCAACGTTGACCACGTCAGACAATCTTTTACGATGATGATGAATGATTGCCGCTAATTATAAGGGCATGCAAGCTAGGTTTCAGACAACGTTAATTGGTAGTAGTTAGAAATGATTAATCCCATTATTATAAATTAATAACTAGACAAAATCTCATTAATTATATAAAATTGAGAACAAAATATATTCCAAAATATATTAAATTCTAAACAAGGTGATTGGATTGAACAAGTTTTGAAGTTTGTAAGGTTTTGGACACAAGGTGCTAGGGATTAGCTTCTGGAAGATAATAGATTACGGAATAAATAAGCTATGTATGCAAGATTATAGACTTATATTCACCTGGGCAAAATCTCTAGTTAACTGGATGATGAAAAGGTAAATAACGATAACTCAACAACTTTAATTTTTAGGTAAATTTGGGAGGACTAGTGCCTCCACAATTTACCACATGAGTTGCCAGTGCGTGTGCGAGCTAAACAATATACAACTTTCAACCCCCGAAAGGGGTGACCAAGTGGGTGGAACATAATTTTTATACTTGAAGGTCACAAGTTCAATTCTTGTCAACACCCTCTTGGTTGAACCTATTACATGGGGTCTTCTTAGTGCGGTTTACATCTCCTGTGTGGTTTGCATGATATTACACATGAGCAAGATTTACCATGTGCACATTCTTGAATAGTGGTTGCTAGTTTCTTTCGTCACTAAAAAAAGTGTGTTTGGTTCGAACATGGGAATCGGAATCGGAAGTGACTCAAATACTTGGTAATTGAAATGAGTATTGGTGGAAGTATTTTGCATGTTTAGTATTAGGCAAGGATTGAAATGATTAGCAATATTGTTGTTTGGTTATGTATGACCCTATAATTGGAATAAAGATTTAAAAAATACAAAAATAAAATATCAACACAATTGATCCTAATAAGATGACATCCAAAGCATAATATGAACTAAAAATCTAAAAGTATTAATCCTATGTTGTGAGGAGGCAACGAAATGAGGAGGGATAAGCTAGGTTGAATTAATGGGGGTCATACTTGATTTAAATTAGGTAATGAGTTTTTTTAATTATACCGGTAATAAAATTTTATATGTGTTTTAAGAAGTTGTTAATCAAACAATGTGTATGACTTTCATACTCATTTCTTCCGTGTAACCCATGAACCAAACACATTATATCCTTACAACTTTTAAAGATAATTAGTGCAATGGCAGCATGAATAGTCCAACTAGTCAAAGAGGTGAAATTTGTTACAAGAGACAAATGATCCAATCTCACCCGTGTCTGAATTGAGCGATTCTACCTTTTTGTCACAAGATAATTAGTGAAATGCAGCAAAGGGTTTCTGTTTATTTAGTCTCAACTCATGCCATTTTACATTTCTTGAAACGGATTATTCATCATAAAGCAGCTTGCGCTAGCTGGCGAAACCCTAGCTAGTATACATAATTAAGCAAACCCTAATTTCTTAATCCGATCAATTGAAAGCAGAACAGACCCTGCGGATTTCACCGTCACTGCCAGTCTTAACTTCGATGTTACTCATCTTCACCATGGACGTCGCGAACTCCACGCTGAACGTCAGCCCAGCCACTCCTGCGATTCCCAGAAAGCCTTCCACGATGGGTTTGGTGGAATTGTCGTTCCACAGTTTCTGGTCGGACTCGAGGACTCCGCGGTTTTTGCTGAGGTTGTCGAAGTACGAGGTGTCGAACGTGTTCCCGCTGCCGTTGTCCAGCGCCGCGCGTGTGGAATCGCCGCCTTGGCAGAGCGATTGCAGGGTGGCGAGGAAGGCCGGATCTATGGTGGGATCTGGGCCGTTGGCTGAGAAGTTTGATTGTAGCTGAAGAACTGGCAAGCTGAAGTTCCAATGGTGTGCCCCCCTACCAACAAACAAATATCATATTTAATTTAAATATTCTCAACACAACAAAAAAAAGTTATTTAAATTTTAAATAATGTGACTCATTGACACTTCTAACTTGCACTAGTGTAAATTATGGAATTTCCGACCACCTCAAAGTGAACTTAAATCAAGTCGAAAGTCTTGTTCAGACCACTTTTGGTATCCGAAAATCCTTTGTTGCTATTTCCTACTACTTTTTGGACTTTTTGGTATCAACTTAATTTAAAATTTTTCAGGTGCCATAATTTCCACTAGTGTTGTCCTGTCATGCACCCGTCTCTCAAGAAAATTTCTCGTTTTTGTGGGTAAATTGAGATTTTGTCACCGGGTTAACACCAACTTAAATACTACTGTTCACAATTTTCTTGAAAGAGTGAGCGGTATTGTATCAGTTATAAAATTTTAAAAAGTACTTACCAACAAGTGTGACAAGATCTTGAGTGTTAAGACCTTTATCAGAAAATTTTTGCCTCTGGACATCAACAGAATCTGTAAAAGCAGGCAGGTTAGACGCATCGGACGCCACTGAAACCAAACCGTCTCTTCGTCCCAAAGGTACAGTCCATGTCGGTCCATTAGTCTGCATGAACAATCCAGGAATTATAAAACAAAATAATGACCAATATTTAATTATGTATGTTAACATATATAATTATATAGGGCAATCAAGACGGTGGGAGCTGCCTATTAGCCTTTTCAGTTTGCACCGATCAGCACAATCTTAGCTGGTGGACACCTTCAAGTGACTCGGATTCAAAAATATATAATTATATAAATAAATAATTACCAGTACAACGGAGTCTCGAGCAGCAAGAGTGAGGATATCAGCACAAGAGACAACACCGGGACAAGCAGCCTCAACCTGCTGCTTAGCATCATCAATAACCTCGTACCCACGCAGCCCCTGGTTAAAGAGGAAGGTTTTCTCGGCGTTGGGGCCGTCGATGAGGACGGAGGCGTCGCAGCCATGGACAAAGCAGTCATGGAAGTGAAGCCTGAGCAATGCTGGTGCAACTGTGGGGTCGGATTGAAAGTGAGAATTCACTGCACTTTGGACAATGGTTTCGAGGTTTGGGCACGTAGTTGAGTAGAACCCAACCTGTGTGCCTTGGCCGAACACCATTGTTGCAGCCATGGCTGCCGTGAGGAACAATGGAATGCACATTTTGTTGAAGCAATCCATCGTATATAATTAACTCAGTAGATAGATAGAGCTTTTGAGTTGTATTGAAGCTATGGAGGATGGTCCATATTTATAGGCATTCGGAAGGGCCGAAGGGCTAAGTATGCAACTAGCTAATGCCTAGTGGCAGCAATTATTTGGTTGATTAGTAGTGTAAGTAAATGATCAGAGTTAATATGTGCTGTTCTACGTAAAACATGCATGCATAATTATTTGGAAGGTTATAATTAATTATATTTTTTCATTGAATATATATCATAGAGTAGTATATGCACACATTTTGGGGCAACTCCAATTGAGTTGGTTACATAATTTGTTTGAATCTGAGTTGTTTATTAGCTATATTTATTTGAGTCGTAAGCATTAAGGTTAATTACAAGAAGATGAATTTTTCTATAAATATATATATATATATATATATATATATATATATATATATATATATATATATATATATATATATATATATATATATATATATATCTGTGTGTGTGTGTATACATCTATGTACAATATTAGAGTGGATTTGGTCCCTTAGCATCAAAGTTTTGTTGAAAAATCCTAAGGCAAAATTCATAACATGTGCAAAGAATTTACGACTTAAATTGATATGTTGAATAAGTAAGGTATAAGATCTACACCATCGTCATTAAATTTTTATTTTTTTTAAAGTCATTTTCTCAATAATTAATGAGCAATAAATTATTGTGTTTTTTTTTTAAAGTAATAAATTATATTTTCAAATAAGAAATACTTTTAAAAAGAAATTCAAGTTTCAATTTTTTTCAAATTATTATTATTATTATTATTATTATTATTATTATTATTGATGGAATAATATTCCATTATTATAAATAAATAAATAATATTAGTCAAAGAAAAAAAATAGACCAATTAAGAAAGTAAGGATAGCTACGGGAAGTTGCAATAGTCAATAAATTACTGTATATAGCACAGGGATCAATAGACCACAGGAGCTGAGGCTCATTCAGTCCTAAATTAATCTTTCTTCTACGCACTTTTCTTACTCTTTCACTCCATGGTCATGACTGACATGTACTTACAGCATACATATTGAAGAAGTAATTTTGGTTTGACTTAGTTTTAAAATGCCTGTAATTTTTATCGTTTTGATTTCTATGTTAAATGATGTGTCCTGATTTTTCTTTCATTACATGCAAACACCTTGTACCATTCATATATCTTTTATTTATAGAAAAATCTATTTTCTCCATCAATTGTTATAGGGAATATCAATTAAGCACAGTGTATGACAAAATTAAGTTTGGCATTGGATGCCCGAAATGTCAATATTATCTACCAATCAAATTGTGATGTAATACACGTTCGTTAATTGGTCCAAGCAAAGATAGAATTGAGTTGTATATATACCAAGGAAAATTTCTATTTTGTCTTACGGATTTTAGCTCCTATATTGTGTATCATGACAATAAAATATCTTTATATTTATTGATTACATGTGAACCCCATATTATATTAATAAAATATAAAAAGAATCAATTCAATATTGTCATGTATGAGATGAATATTATAAAGTAAAATTAAAAAAATGCAATATTTTTCTATATTTAAATTCCAACGAACTATAATGAGTTCAACCTTATAGAAAGGGTGGTCAAGTAGGTGAAACATAATTTTTGTAATGAAAAGTCTATCTCAGTTCGAGCATTACTTATAATTAGGAGAATTAGTATATTAGGTACGGTACATATAATAATGTAATATAATGCATGAGTGATGAAGGCAATAATGCAAAGAAAATAACAAAAATAACGAAAATGAGGTCATTTGAAAAGCATATATATATATATATATATATATATATATATATATATATATATATAATGCATAAATATTCTCTTTGCATTATTTTTCAATATGTTTATTTTTTTCTCCATTGGCATAATATCAGTTTCATATTAGTCAATTTTGTGTATCATATCATCCAGTTTTCTCTTTTGTCCCCAAGTGTAAAATTTCCACATCACTCTTGCCTGCATTTTTTTTTGATTTTGGAGCTTTCCTAAACCCCCAAACCGCCATGCATCATGCATGGCCAATGAACATGATGTAGAACCTAATAGAACTTGTCAAATTGGTTACATGAATATGTGCTCAAGAACCACAAGAAGGTAAATCAATCAAAATAGTCCATAACTGATCGGTTTAAAATGAGAAGATCAACAGATAATAAGACCTGCATATAGTCGTCGAATTTGAAACTGTTATCAAGTCAATTATTTGATCAACTGGATTAAGGTTGCTTCTACGAGATGGTGTGTGTTAAACGTTGGATTCTTTGAGGATTGAAATGTGAATGAAGGTGTAATTTGGAATTGGATTTTGTTCCAAATTGGCTGGCATTGCATGATGGCTGCCGTATTGAGTAGTTAAGACGATAGAGTGTTATTATGTTTTATTGGGAAAATTAAGATATGAAAACTAAGGGACAGTGTACTTAGGTCCCATGCATGCAAGCATGGTTTTGAATGTTTGAAGATCAGAGTCATCATCAATGATTATTATATTGCTGTATATTGTACCAACTTGCATATATATAACACCTCCATTATATTATTCCACAATCTAAGAGTGGAAGATCAATTCTTCAGTCAGGGCACACGCCTTTGAAAATTTTGCAGTGATCAAAATTTGACTTGATATGCCCCCAAGGGGTTGATAAGTGGGTACGTGATTTTCGTACTAAAAATCATAAATTTGATTCTTATCAACATTTTTTTAATCGAGCATGTTATATAAGATCTTTCTAGTGCAGTTTATCTTTACTATACAATTTGTAAGCTACACATGCAGAAATTATCCTCGATTAATGATTTGTCTAGCAACATTCAAAGGTCTTGAGAATGGAATTAAGAGCTTGTTTAGTGAGATTAGCTTACCTGATCAATTATACACCGGATATGATACAATATATGATTCTCTATGGTATAGATTGGTGCCAATGCCAATAATCAAGGTTACAAAAATTCCTAGACGTTTCTCGAGTGCCTCCGAGTTTTTTTTTTTTTTTTTTTTTTTTCATTTAAAAGATTTAAAAAGAAAATTATTTAAGACTTAGTAATTATAAACTATTTAATAGTTTAATAGTTAGTACTATAATATTAAATATTAACTTTAAAAAATCTATAAATTGTAAATTGTATAAAGATTTAAAGAATCAAAACACAACACAAAATCACAACTCACAATATATATTAATATTAGAGTACCTAATTTTGAATTTTTTTTATCACATTTTTTGAGTTTGCAAACGATTTAAACAATCGGTTTGAATGAAATAACCTATTTAAAAAAATAAATAACTGACAGCCTAAATGCCCGCCTAAGCCGCCTAGACAACCGTCTAGTCCGCCGTGACATAGTCGGCGCCTAAGCAGCCAACCCCGCCTAGAATGCCTATTCCACCGAAAATTTTAAGTGGCCGGCCACCGCCTAACGCCTAGGCACCATTTAGTCGACCCCTAAGCGCATTTTTTGCAACATTGCCAATGATACCTAATTGTAGTTGTGCCCTCTAATTGTAGTTGTGCCCTATATTATAAGTACTTCAATAGTGTCAATAATACCCGATCTGATACAAATAAATATACCATAAATTATTTTACTAAGTACTATTGACATTGGCATTAATACTGATCACCACCGTAAAAGTCACATATACGCGCGCGCAGAGTCACAAACCATGCATGCATTTTAACAAGACGTTTGCTAGAATTACAGATGGGAGTTGGGACATGAGATAGAGTTATCAAAGAACTATGGCATATCATTTAAACAGATTCCAACATCAAAACAATAGTAGATGACAGATGACTAGGATTAGAGATAGCAAAATCTGGTTTAGTATCAAACCGGAATGATGATTGGCTAAAACTGGTTACAGAAGCTGTAAATCTAGAGTGTAAAAACTCCTTCCTCAATAGAGGATGCACATGATGAAGCAGGCTGGAATGCTCCCTCAGGTGAATTTTCCAAGCTCAATCTTCTTCTTTATCGCTTTTTGGCCATGGTAAACAAATGAATCAACTAGCCCCGCAATTGTGAAGATACCTGCATCGAGAAAAAGGACCAGTTTCATCCTACGAGGTTGTATTCTCAAGGTATGTAATGGCTTTAGAGCCTTCGTTTCTGGAAAGCAATTAAGTTCTTCGAGACATGTTTACTATATATATAAACCCTTCTACAGTCGCAAATATTAATCAGATATTGAGATTACCGCCGATTATTGCACAAACGCTTGTGAGGAAATGAAGGAATGGAATGTGCTCCTCCGTAAAGGTCACCTGCAGCAGTTGAAACCGAATTTGATGTATACGATAGCTTTATTGTTGAACACAGAATATAATTACTAGCGAGACTTCATGGTTTGAAATGATAGATAAGAGCAGCTTATGCCATGCATCACGTCGTTTGCATGTCTATATTCTGCATGCATGTTATAACACCAAATGAAAACCGAAATTCACAGAACTCCAGACAAGTTATTTGGAATCGAAAACTTTTGTAACCCTGCTGAATGTTGATGCACTTTAAACTTATATATATGGGTAAGGGAAGAATAGCTCACACCTTGATGGGAGTCATAAAAGAAACGGATGTACTATGTTTATATTTGGCAGAAAAAACGTTTGTAAACCCAATTAACGAGTACTTATATGGGAAGGAAAGAAGATCTCACCTTGATAGGAGAAAGATCATAGAAGAAGAAAACTCCCGGATTTAAATTAAAGTGACCAGGTTCGGTACTCTTATAATGCTCAGTCACTGAGAACTGTAAAACAACAATGCCTTCTCAAAAAAAGAAAAAATGCAATACGATTCAAATTATCAAGAGTATCAAAGATACCTGATTTGAGTTTATTTTGTGGCCTCTGATATTTGTGTATATTGTAGGAACCACCTGTAAAGCCATCAGAAATATTTTTGTGTGTGAATTACTAGAAGAACGAACATAATCGTTTTGAGGTAAAAAGTAATCACAGTTACAATAGCGCAAGGAATACAGCAAAATAAGAAGCAGGATAGTCCATAGTCCAAAAGGGCATTGGGCTGAAAAACAAGCATTTCAACTGGAAGATTGCCCTACATAAAGTATGGCTTCCACACATACACGGAAAGAGGAAAAAGTCGATGGATTTTGCATGAGAATACTGACCTTAAGAAAATATTGATACATTCCGTTTGGTGTTTCTTGCACCCAATGAACCCTAAAGATTGAAGAGAGTATGAGATGCAATAACGTGAATGGATGTATCATGGAAACAGAATCCTTCTCTTTCCACCTTCCCTTGGAAGTGGAGGGTTTTTAGATAAACTAAAATACACGAGAATAAGAGCATTCTAGAAAAAGATATGGAAATGGTCTGGAGTAAATCGTGAAACACTAGTTTGGTAATTCTGATCACGACTATACACATGTTTTAAGATCAAGCCAACTGAGAAAAAATATATATAATCCAGAAGATATTATGAAAAAAATAAATTTCTAGAGTGCAAAGAGTATTTACTTATCAAGAGGATTTACAACTCCAGGAATAGAAGCTCCAAAAGATAACTTGTTTATCGTATGGCTTATCTGCACAACATAAAATGAAGTCAAAATACTTGTCTTTTTGGTCCCAAAAAATAAAATTTACAAAGGAATGTAACAAAAAGTGGATCAAAAAGCTAAAGAATCACAAAATCAGGGAATCTTACATTATAAGTATCCATCTGAAACGCCAGCAAATCACTCAAATGAACAACTGAGTGATGAAAACCTTTGCCAGGAGAAAAATGAAAATTTCCAGCAACCTTATTGACCTCTAGAGATCCATGGATGTTGCACCCTTCGCCTTCTTCATCTTTAATCTTTTGGATGAAGCCTTCCCTTTTACACTACAAGTTTTATCAAATAAATAACCCAATGAACATTTGAATATACAAAAAGCGCAACAGAGAAGAAGAAAAAAGACAACCCAACATATTCAAATGCTTCTCTTGTCAAGATGACTACTAATTAGACTAGCATTACTTCGTAAATATTTCAAAAACTTACTCTTCACAGAGGCACAATAAATAAAATTATAAGGACAACGCTTTACGCTTATACAGTATAAAACAAATTAATCAAAGGAAACCATTAATTAAAGAAAAACAAAACATTCATCAATCAGCAATCTTACTTTTTGTACTATAAGTCTATAATTAATTCAGATAATCTAGTATAAATTGTTTTAAGTCATAAATGGAAGTAATTTTCTTTTCTTCTTCTTCTTCTTCTACTTTTTGGTGGGGGTTCCACTCTTCGAGCGGTGAGGGGTGAAATTAATTGATTAGCACAGAAAAATATTTATTTTCTTCATTAGTTAAACCTTACTATTACTACATAAGTTTTTTTTTTTTTTTCTTCAATTGCTAATGTAGATTAAAAAAAAAAAAAAACAGTAACATGTGGCTAAGTTAGCCATGGCATTCTAGAGGATCAATATATTGAGCTAATGGGAAAGCCTTTGCACAATCAAATCCAACCTGATCTATTAATTCTGGGTTTGTGATCGCCCAGCCTCTTTTTCTGTATGCTTCACGAACTTCTTCACACGAATTACAACAATCATCATCTGACTGCAAAAAGAATACAGGTTGACCGTTGATAAAGAGTGATACCTTAAGAAAAAAATCATGCGTAGAATACACGAATTACCCTCCTTCATGCGTCAAGGTTACTACTTGATGCACAGCATGAATAATCCACACTTATTGTCTTCCCACTCTTAAATCAAAACAAAATAACTAATGATGATGAACAGTAGATGTCACAATAAGGAAGACTTTCCATCTATTCCCACCGGTTAGAGAATTTATCACCTTGACAAATTTTTCAATTGTCAAATATTTTGAAATCAACCTTTAATTACTAGTCCCTGTAGATAAACTAAGAGCAATTTCTTTGCCAGAGCAATGAAACAAGAATATACAAGCTAGCAGTATGATAAAAATTGTACCATTTCTGCTCCAAAGCATGTACCACAGTATGTCTCATTATGCTCCAGTCTGCCACCATGCTTCTGTAAAGGCTTCTCAACCTGCATTTAATTATAATGAAACCATGAAATGATGAAATGATGAAATGAAGAGAGAAATGTAGGAACTTCACTCTACCAAGTAGTCTGCACCAAATGGCTATTAGAAAGTAGAAGTGGAAATTCAAGTTTAGAAAAAGTTGCCAAGACATCCATCAAGCTTTAGCTCACAACATCTTGAGATAAATGTAGATGGTGATATAGAAATAATGTGGATCACTTAAATCCCAATTTCACTTGTTTGCCATTACTTCAACTTAGATCATTCCAATGTTTAACAGACCTCCATTTGAAACGGAAAAATGAGAGCATATCCAGCGCATTACCTTAGGTGCACCAATTCCTTCTTGTCTGACTTCAATAACATTACCATGAGAATTAATTCTTTTCATGAATATATCATGTCTCTGTTAGTCATCATGAAGAGAACTATGAGCATAAGAGCAATGGCAGACAAGAAAAGAAAGAATCAAAAGATCATAAAAAAAGAACATTTTACACCACATACTATGTCAAGATGTTGCTCTCCACTAATATCCATGGCATCTACACTAAGTAACGAACACCTGATGGCCGGAAAGGTGACATCAAACTGCACAAACAAGTAGAAATAGTAATATAAATCTTCAAAGATAAAGATAGATCAGAACCAAACTTATTGTTGCAAGTACAAGTAAAAAACATGGTCAGGATTGTTGGAGACTTATGTTAGGCAAAAACATCACAATTCACACACCCTGAATTTCATAGAAATAATGAAGTATTGAACTTTTCACCCAATAGTGCCTCACAAATACAAGCTCGGTTTAACCAGATCAGAGGAACAACAAAAAGTATATGGTGAAAGCATTTCAATTTCAATACTGCATAAAGAAAGGAACTTTACATTGATATGCAATTTTTCTCCTCTTGAAGTGTCTACAATAAGCCTAGTCTCAGTAACAGTATGGAGATACAGTCCTGCAATTCAATTCAACAACCTCCCAATCAAAAACCAAATATTCCATAAAATTAACCAAAAATAACGATCAAAATGCTTCTAGCAGCAATGTTTCACTGATCAGAAATATAGCAATGGGTAAATAGAGCTGGGAGAAGAACGAAACATACTGAACTCGGAGAAGAAAAGCAGGAGCATGGCGATGGAGGAGACGAGGGTGATAACACCGCCGGAGAGGGTACGGTTGTAGAAATCCTCATTGATTTTCGGGTAAGCATCCAAGTTCCTGAGCTTATTGAATACTTTATCCATTCCTGCAACTACCCAGACCTAGACCTCTCTTCTGTATCACATACGCATAAATATCAGAAATCTCTTCTCTTTACCGCCCCGGACGTGGCTCGCCGGCTTCTGCAAAAGGTAGACGACGGCACGGCGAACGACAGCGGAGGAAGCGAGAGTACGGAATTTGGTGCGGTGTCGGGTTGGGAATATATGTATGGGATGAAATCGGGTCGGGTTCGTCAACGTGACCGAGGCAGAATCGGCGTCGAGCCAGTAGCCACCGGTGCGTCAGCGGTCAAATGAATCTATCGATTTGGTATTTACCCTTAACTTCAACAGTCAGCGCCGGATTTTTCTGTTCTTTTCTTTTTCTTTTTGGATTTTTATTTTATTTGTTAGAGAGAAATAAATAAATAAATTAGGTAAGTCGGTATTTCCTAGGCTACTTTCTTTATCTATAATTTAAGGCAAATTATTCTATAGACCTGTGTCTATCTAAATGTTTACTATTTTTATATATATTAAATATTCACAATTACAAAGTCAATGTTCATAATTTACATACTTAATGTTTATAATTTTATAATACTAAATGTTCACAATATAAATGTGTATTTTGATCTCAGTTCACCTTGCAAGTGGAGCCGGATCCATGGCGTAACTATCGATAATTCAATAATTGAACTTCTAGAACCATCTTCTGAATTGGGCTTATGGGCTTGCATATGATCGGCCCACAAATCTAGAATGCCCAAATTAATTTCCCTATTCAATTTCTGCGTCTGTTGCGACTCCGAGTATCCGACGCGAATCCGGCGAAGAAGCTACAAGCCGCCGACGCCACTTCTGTCGCCGCCGCCGTTGCCGACGCGAATCCGACGAAGAAGCTACAAGCCTACGCCGCTGCCGTCGCGGCCCGCCCACCCCTGCGACGAACAAGCTAGTACTCCACGGTATTTCTTTCATTTCCACCGCTGCTATGGAGAATCTAGCAAGATAAAAAGTCATATGGATCATAAAATGTTATACAATTTATGAATCCTTAATCCTATCTCTGATTATTGTTTCAGAAAGCTTATTACTTGACGAAAACCAGGTGCTAGCTCACAAGATATGGCATTACTTGAAATTTTTGTTTAAATCTGGCAGCTTGTAAACCTAGTTACTATATTTATTGGTTCATTCTTAATGCATATTTTTGAGTTACTTGGATATTTAGTCACAGTATTTGGAAATATTTTTATTCCCATTGATATATATATTTTACAATTGAGAAATGTTGTTAGCTATTGCATTTCTCAACAGGTTTTATGTGAAGCTTTTCTACATTGCATTGTGACTTTTCTATAGAAGTAGGGTCTTTAGTTAGTTCCTGCATATCTGGAATATAATTGTTCTCGAATTGAATGCATATTTCCTCTTGTGGCTCGGCTTGAAAATGGTATCCTATATTTTACAATTGAGAAATGTTGTTTGATATTGCATTTCTCGACGGGTTTTATGTGAAGCTTTTCTACATTGCGTTGTGACCTTTCTATAGAAGTAGGGTCTCTAGTTCCTGCATATCTGGAAGATATTTGTTCTCGAATTGAATGCATATTTCCTCTTGTAGCTCGGCTTGAAAATGGTATCCTATATGTTTAGAAAATATTCAGAGTATTTGTACACAAAATGGGAAAGGACGATTCTTTGGGACATGGTTGAGCCATACAGGAGACCAAGATCATTTACTCCGCTTGTCACAATCTACATCTGTGCATTTTATACCGGGGTCATTGGCGCAGCCATCACTGAGCAACTCTATAAGGTACATTTTATATCCGCTTGTCACAATCTGCATTTTCTGTGTTCCTAGGTTTGCCCTTGTAGTTATAGGGTTGAAGGAAATTATAAATATTCTGTCTTTTGCTCATCCGAAACAGGAAAGGATTCAAGGAGTGAAAATATGTTTATAGTAATGTTGAAGATGAGAATTTCAAAAATATTTGCTCAATAAACAGTTCCTCGAACTCTGTCAGATCTGCATTGCTTGTGAATTAATGTTTCTGTGTATGTTGAGCCTTTATTTTTTTCCCCCGATGATCAGGAGAAGTATTGGGAGGATCATCCCGGTGAAATGGTACCTTTTATGAAACCGATGTTTTATGGTGGCCCTTGGAGAGTGATGAGAGGTGATGTTCCTCCAACTGGAAAATTTGAGCTCTGAACCGTTGTTAGTTAGTTTTTTAGCTTTGTTTTGTGTATATGTTACACCTTCTCATGTTTGCTGTTGCTCTGAATGACAATATTTATATTATATAGATAATAAGCTCCACAACTACACAGCTTTGGAGCATAGACTTTGTGGTTTTTAAGAGAAACACTTTTTTTTGTCATGCGTTACATTATATGTATGTATATATTCGAGCTGATCGAGCCCAGCTCTAGCTACTCAAACTAGAAAGTCAATAGACACTTCCTTTGGAAGTCTTACTTGGAAACTTATGTTTACCAAATCAACTATTTTAATAATTTAGCTAAGATTTTTCCGACAATAATTCAGATTTATTCTCTATATAATGATCCAACTTGGTTAAAATGAAACATATATTTCAATTTGAACCAAAAGTAATACAATTAAATTGCCCTGCCCTTGTGCATACAAAGGTATGTCTTTAAGTCAAATTAAATTGTGGCGATCCATAAATTGGTCAAATCTCATCAGGCATTAATACATTGTAACAGTCTAAATAAATGATGAGTTATACAACTCTATAAATGGAGAAAAGATTGAATCACGGATGATTTGTATGTATTTTCTCCATAATACACTCTACATTTATTCGAAATTCTTGACAAGTCCAAACAGGAAAAGCTACATAATTTTTTTTAACCGTTGAGACATAAATTAATCTTGGACTTGAATTCGAAATTTTTAATGAAGCTGGAAAAGATTTACGGCATCTTATCCATATATACTTCACGAATAGAAAAGTTACATATATAATTATTGTATGTGCGTATGTACATACACACACATATATATATATATATATATATATATATATATATATATATATATATATATATATATATAATGTTGAAGTAGTGAATGAATATAGTTACTAAGTTACATACTTTCAAAAAAAAAAAAATAGTTACTAAGTTAGATAGTACGGTGCAAACGAATGAGCATCCTGTGAAAGGTAGATTTATGGCAGGGCAAGACGATGCCTTTATGGCTGCAGAAGCCATACTCTTCAGCAGCTTCCTCTAACAGTTTCTGGAAAAAAGGGTTGTTCAAGTATGAGGTTGGGAGCACATATCTCCTCAGCTCTTCTCCCACGTACACCACGAAATGCCCCTTCGGAGTTCTCCCCGTGCCGCCACCCGCCATTCTCGATCACCTCGTTACAGCTACCAAATTGTTCTTCAATAATACTACAATGCAAGTATTATTCTTGGCAATTAAGCTACTATGCTAATCAAGTGATGAGACTTCAATATAGAGAGAGAGAGAGAGGGAGAGAGGGAGAGAGATGATATTAGGGTTAGAAGAAGAGGGATATATGGAGGAATGAAGAAGATGATGGGGTGGGGTTACAGACATAAACAGTACGTTGTAGTAGCCTATAGTAGTAGTGCTAGTTTAGGTGATTGCAGATGGATGTGGACAATGCGAACCATCTTACCAACTTGGTGTCTTCTCATAAAAGTGTTCTCAACAAATTTATCATAAAACAGCTATGTAAAACACCAACCATGCATGGCTCCAGCGTCCAGCTGGTTAGATAGTTGACTTAGTAAACACAAAATTATAATATTTTCTCAATTTTGGCGAATCGATCAATTATAGTCAGCATAGATTGGTTTACCTTACCCCAAAAGGCTGAATCCCCAACCCTAAATGCCCCCACACTCCGACCGGACAGAGCATGTGGGAGGATGTAATAGATTGGTTTACCTAACCTAGCTTCTCATGGTTATTTCATTTAGTTATGTTGTTGGCTAAAGTCACAAGACAAACTTTCCTTTAAATAAAAGCTATATAAAAGTCTAAATTATTATTGTTGGACTACTATATGTCAATCCAATGTGTCTAGTCTAAATTATTATTGTTGGACTACTATATGTCAATCCAATGTGTCTATTAGTGGTTATTATTGTAGTTGTATTTTTTTTTAGTAATAAGAACATTATATTACAATAATTATAGAGGAAGTGTTTATTTTAGCTAGTCAAGTTTCCCTAGCTAGAGAGACGACTCTTTGTATTCTTCTCGCAGCCAAATAGCTAGTAGTGAAGGAGGGGGACAAACCATGCAGCCCAAGACTCCGTGCATTCACTCCTCCCTAGCTTCTGAATATTCGTTCTATTCGCTTATTTAGATGCATGGCTTGATCTTAAATTGTGTATTTTTAATATTGAAATTGTGAATATTTAGAATATAAATTGTGTTTTTAAGTTTTGAGAATTTGTGAATATAATACAGGGTCATCACAAATTGTGAATTTTTAAAAGATAAATTATGAACTTTTAGTATATAAATTGTGTATTTTTAGACTCAGATCCACCTTACAAGGTAGACCCAGATCCACAAAATAATTTGCCTGCATTGTCTTTATCTCTTTTAGTCTATCGATTCTGAACTATAAGTAATTGGGCTTACCCCGTGCACCATAACCCCAACATATATATATATATATATATATATATATATATATATATATATATATATATATTAAGGAAAATAATATATGTACTCCCATGGAGTATAATTCCCATCACATATATAAATTTTATTGGGTAAATAAAAGTGAATGAATGAATAAAAATAGTGGTTCATTTTGTTGTTTAAATCAATCAAATGATGACATATCGAAATGAAATAGAAAATGAAGTAAAAAAGTAAGAGTAAAGAGTTAATTCTAGCAATGGTCCTCCGACTATATTGATTTTCCAAAATTAGTCCTTGACTTTTAATTTGGACACTTTAGATTCCTTGACTTTCAATTTCTTTCCAATTGAGGTCCTTTCGTCAGAATACGGTTAATTGAATTTTAAATGAAGGGGTAAACTCATCATTTCACCTGCCTATGTATTATTCTTAGTATTTCTCCATTGTATACGCAATATATATGAAGATAATCTTAGTCGAAACCCTAAAATGTTCCTCGTCGTTCCCCATTTGTTGACTACTCGTGTGTGCGTTCCTCTATTATTTAGATGTTTACAAGGTATAACAGCGAAATACGAAGGGAGAAATACGAAGAATAATACATAGGCATGTGAAAGGACGAGTTTACCCCTTCATTTAAAGTCTAATGAACCATATTCTAACGAAAGGACCTCAATTGAAAATAAACTGAAAGTCAAGGGACCTAAAGTGTCCAAATTAAAAGTCGAGAACTAATTTTAGAAAATTACTATAGTCGGAGGACTATTGCTGGAATTAACTCTAAGAGTAAATATAGTATTACTCATAGGGTGATGCATGTTAGTAGTGTTTTGGTTTGAGTTGCATGTACATGTGGTTCACAGGCCTGGTGAGGGGACAGAATATAAAAAGAGCTATATATGCAGCATATTTTTCGGTGCCAAACTTGAAATGACCATACCCCAATTCCATGCTTAGCTTTTGCATGCCAAACATTATACCAAAACAATTGAAATATTTTGCAAATTAAAATTACAAATTCCTAATGAACATGTTTCAAATTTCTCACCAAATTCAATTCTTTCGTGTTACTCTTTTAATAATAATTAGTGTGTAGTGTGTATATATACATACACATATAGAAATTATTTAGAAAGTGTCAACATTACTTATTAGTGTTCATAAAAAAAAAGTATTCCGATTGCATCGTCTAATACTATTGACACATGTGTTAATTCTTCTCAATTTATTTTTTTAAAAAAAGTAATAGAAATATGTATACGCTACCAATATGTGTGTATGTGTGTGTGAAGTTTAAATGAGAGCAAGGCCTCATAGTAAGAAGTGTGCACAAATTGCATTCGTCAAACTTGGAAGGTCTAACGACGACTGTACTGGAAAATAAGAAAAAAGAGAGAAAACACAATGATATTTTTATAATTATTACAAAACTCGTTTGTACACTTGTAAAAGTTTAATAGTGCATCCACAGATAATAACTAGCTAGCATTACATTTAACTTGAGTACATTGTTACTTATTCACGAATGCACTATGAAACTTTTCAAAATGTAAAAATAAATTAAAATTTGTAATAATTACAAAAATGTCCCGACGTATTTTCTCTCGATCTTATTCTCAGCTATTAGATATGTCAAATTATGGATATCATTTATTCACACTTATCACAAGAAGTCTATGAGATCATAGTCAAATTTTATATGTAAGGGTACATCCTCCGTATACAATTGAGTACTATACCTACAAGGCTACAAAGGCTAGAATATAATCGAAACCCCCAGTAGCATATGCATGTATACATGTGAGGCATGTTTGTACAAAAGAGGGAAAAACGTAAATAGTTCATAAGTTCATTCTTTGATCAACAATCTTACTATGGAGACAATATTCAGTCTCGCATCGACTTCTTCAATAATGAAAGACCAATACATAAGTCGAGATCAAATCTCTACTCTTAACTTTTGTGGCGAAGTTAGGGTTTTGATTTGAGTACTCATGCATTATTGAAAGGATGGTGTATGTACCCTATGCCGTATAATTCAATTCCATCCTTAATTGGAAAAGCAACTAGAAACCTGTGTCGATATATCCATGAAAAACTTTGAAACTTTCATGTGACACATGAGATCTGGTACCTGCGGGTCCTCATTATCATCATCAATAATTGATCAGACTTATGTGTAGTCAGCATGGCAAGTGAAAGGGTTGGAAATTTTGTGGATGAGACATATTTGCTGGAAATGGGCAGTCATCTGAGGACATGTTTGCTTCTACCTGTGGGACTACTAACTTAGCTTGGATATGGACTGTTCATTTTGTTAATGCCTAAAGGACAACATTTAGGTACCTTAACATTATAGTACTGTTTTGTGTATGTGCTTTTAATAAAGTGTAAAGGATAATAGTTTGTTTTGGTTAATTAATAAAGTGTTTCACCTTTTTTTTATGTTAATTAATATAAAGTGCAATGGCATAAGATAATATACAAGTTTTTAGAATTTATATTGTTATACACGTGTATTACACTTGGGACAAACGGGCCTACACGTCATCAAGGAAACCGGTAGTCGGGCACATGGTTGGAGCAAGGCACCCAGTTTCTATGTTGGGATTGGGACGAAAAACCATTAATCTCGAAGCCTCACACACCAATTCTATGAAAAATTGTGATACATTAAGTCATGGAAACTCAGTGATCCTTGATGTAAGAAGACTGATAAGATTATAGGGCTACTCACTTACCTTACGGAGCTCACTAGTGTATTTTCTGACCTCACTAGTGTACTTTCTAACCTCACGAGTATATTTTCCGACGTTGATAGTGTAGGTCTACTTATTGGTCGCGTTATTAGTAGACCTCCTAGTTTCATTATAAGTAGATGTACCTCTCAGTCTCGTTATTATTGAACAAAATAATATAATATAACCTCGTTATACCGATATCATGTTTGATAATCGCACCAATCATTCTATGTATCATTTCTCGATCGCAATTAGGGAGAAACCCACTAGTTTCTGACTACAAATGTGGTCGGGAAAGCTTCTAGATTGGCCGAATGTCTTGATCACCTATCGACAAACTTTTCTCGAGCTAAGCTAACCGAGAATAATAATAACCTAAACGAATTATTAACCTTAAATAAATGCAATCCGATCATGTTAAGACCATCACGCCATACTCACGTGACCTGTCAGATTTATTTGGTCAAATGTAGAGCGCAAGACCACCGCTCGATCATCGCACCCAAAGATGGTTGCGACGCGTGGATAGCACGCAATGAGTTTGGAGCTTGTTCACTTGCTACCCTCTATAAATAGAGCACTTTACTTAACGTTAGGGGGGGGGGGGAGTTTTTTTGACTTCCAACTAACACCCCTTCAACCGGAGCTTCCCGACACTTTTAATTAATTTTTCAGTCATACTCAACCCGACTCGAAATAATTTGCCTTGTCAAAGACCAATATTTGAAACACCATATTAAGACTGTCAAGATTTAATTAATGATCGAACCTTTAATTAATTTTCAAGTCATATCAATCCGACCCGAAATAATTTTTATTATCAATATTTGAAACTTCACATTAAAACTGCCAGGATTTAGTTATGTATAACTAGATAAAATTTTACATCTGAAAATCAACTGAATTACGCATAAGTAATTTAGGAGTAATAAACAAGAGGCATGTAAGGTACTGTAAAATTTTCCCAATAATGTATCTATATCATGTAAATTTATTTATATTAAAAAATGGTAAAAACTTGTGTGATACTGCCTCATCGTAAGGGTCAAGATGAAAATCTAATACCTATACGCACAAATATAATACTAATTAGGAATAAAGTGTTTATTACTCATATGAAAAAATGTAATACTTTTACGTTTTGATTTTAAAAGATTACATTTTTTTCTCAAAAGTATTATATTTTCCCTTATAAATAACAAACACTTACTAATATTACTTATTTGAGAAAATGTAATACTTTTAATGAAAAATATAATAATTCTACATCAAAATGTAAAAATATTCTATATTTTTTCAAAAGTATTATATTTTCTAGTATTAACATTATAAGTATGACATTTACCTACCAATTCGACCCGTCCACCCTTAAAAAAATTAATTCCTATTCTGAGAAAACAAAGAGGAGATCGCACCCCCAGCAAGTCAGCAACCGTGACGACAAGCATTACCGCCATTACGGAAGCAAGAGAGAGCATCAGCTGATAATGGAGGAGAAAGGCAAAGGGAGTGAGAGATGGACGGCTGCGATCGCGAATTTCTCAGAGATGGCAGGCAATCTTGACTCCCTGCAAAAACTGCTTATCAAGAAAGCGGTCTATGTCGACGAAGACACATACTCAAAAGCCTATCTCATCTCCGAACAAGCCCGAACCATCAAGGTAAACCATACGCCGAGTAATTATCTGGATTTTGATTTGTTTTCTTCAATTTACTGCCTCTATCTCTGAAAATTTTCGATGGAATTGGAATTCATTGATTTTGGTAATTGGGTGCCCGAAAGACTCAAAACTTTTTTTTGCGTTTAGAACCCTTGCAGTCGATAATTTGGAGTTATGAGGTGATGCCGTAAGCTTACAGAACTCAGTTTGATATCCAATTGATATTTTTCATTTCTGAAGCGGACAAGTAACTCAGTTTGATTCCTTACTGTTCCTGCAAAAATTGTTTGTGGGATTTGGACTTGTGATGCTATGGATATTATAAATTGATGCTTGATGTTGGATTATACTTTTTGAATTTAACAACCTTGATAGTTTCTGTGAAGATTAGAAAGATTACATGCCAGTAGTAGTACTTAACCATTGGGATCCATACAATCTAAGAAATCTAGACAAGATGATTGAAGTGATCAGCAAAACAAGTTGCTTATTCTTGATTTTAAACTTGGCTTACAACAAAGATGAGATCAAGAATCATTGATGGGGAGAGAGTGTAGTCACTGAATAAACCCCATTGTGTGACCCTAGCTGGCAAAGGACCACAAGGAGGTAAACTATCCTAGGTTGCCCATAGCTGATTGGCTCAAACCAAGAATGCCAATAAGCATAGTGGAAGAAAGAATAATAGGTAGAAATGTGTAATTGTGCATTGTGTTCGTCCAGCCTATTGTGTGTCTGCATTACCTATATTAGCATATGTGATAAGATTAGTAAAGGTACCAGTTTCAGAATATCTAGTTGAAAATAATACATTATGCAGTGTTTACTGTTTGACCGAACGCCACTTAGTAGATGGATTGTTTAAAAGGAGTACTGCTTCTATAATGGCAGGTTCTTGAGCAGAGAGTTGAGACTTTAGAACGGGAACTAGATTCTGCCATTTCAGCTGCTGCTCGTGCACGGACAGAGAAACGACAAGCAGAGGCAGCTCAGAAGGCTGCAGAACTACAGGCACAAGAGATCACAAAAGAGCTTGAAAATACCACAAGTGCGTTTTTCTTTTCTCTGCATACCACATGACTAGAAAACTCTTTATGAAAGTTTTTATCTTGGAGCTTTGGATTGTCTTCTTGGCTCTTTATGCAACAATTTGTGTTTTTGTTTTGTTGTTTCATCTTTCATTATTTATTTCTTTTAGAACAGAATTTTTGCTTGACTGTCTACTAGAGAGTGCAAATAGATGTGTTGGTGTCAGATGAAATCTTGAATAGGTTAGGCCAGTTCCAATGGAAGCTTCTGTTTAAAACTTGATATAGTAATTTCTTCATGAGAGTAATTAATAAGTATATGGTGTTCTTGCATTTCAAGTGATGATGTATGGCAGTTGTCACATGGTTTATGGAAGAATGGGAAATATCGGGTTGAACAGTTCTAGTGCTTGCCCAAAATTGCTGTATTCACGTGAGTCGTTTCATTATTGTTTGATCTTGCAGAAGTTTTTGCACTGCACATGGAAGAGTTACGTGCAAAGCAGGACGAGATTGCAAAGCGTGATAAAGAAATCAAACTCCTCGAGGCCATAATTCAGACTCTCGGGGGCAGGGATTCACACTCCATAGATGATTAGAATTGGTTTTCCCCTATAACATAACATCATGTATCTTCCCATTATTGTGTATTGCAAAGATTCTTTCAAAGCTGATTCTTTTCTGTAATACTCAATAGTCCTTGCCTTCCTTCTTGCACCTTTTTCATGATGATCCTTTTGCCAGGTAAGAGGGAACTTACAAGACCATTGCTGTTTCAGAAGCATTTTTTCAGATACAAAACTAAAAGAGCAACATTTAATTAATAGGCACATCTGGATTTCTATAACTGAGTGGCAAATGTGTCTTAGGATTTTATGATTCAACAGGGGGGCTCAGCCCTCAGATCCCAATTGATAATACTATGTTCTCACATGATGCAGATGGCTTCTTCAATAATTCACCACTAGCCGCAGTTCACCTATTGATGAACATAAAACAGTATGATAAGGAAAAAATCTTAAGGTAAGCATATTAAGAAATAAGAACAATGATAACTTCATATTTGGTAATTGGTATTATAAGACTGTTCTAGTATGACAAGGATATATACCATGATGGAAGATGGTTGCTTATTGTGAGAAATTCTCCGCCTTCATGATGGAATTTATCCTTCAGTAGGAGCTCCCTGACCTGCCAATTATGCACCAAACTCTCTATAAGTAACATGAAAGCCTGAGCTAGTTTTTCAATTCACCATTACGATTAAAAGGACTAGTGGACTGGACTGGACTGGATGTTCACTTTGAACCCTAGTGAGAAACTTGATGGATGTAGTGTTGTAGTGAAGAACAAAGATCCACAAAGGGGCCTGTGCTTCCTAGTTTGATATTAATATTCAAAAGCATCATCCCTTGGCACCCAAAAGTGGGAGAGAGGTTATAGAGACCTCTAATACTTTCTCCACAAACACAAATAAACCTATACCATTCCAACACTAGTATAATTAAGTTGGTGTGATTTTAACTGCCTGCTAGTTTCGAGTGTATAAACTATACTTCCACTGAAATGCTTCAAAAGATTGCCTTTTTGAGACGATAACAGCAATGATGGCACTGAAGTAACTAGTAAGAATCAAATGGATTGGATTGCACACAAGAGGCAAGGGATATGTGCAACTGGAAACACATAAAAAAAAAGACCCCAATGCAAATAGAGTATGAAGGAATGTAAACCTTGGAAATCAGATTTGAATCCACAACTAGTCAAATGCTTTGCAAGTTCCTCTCCTAATTGCTTTTGCCAGCCTGCCACAGCCTTGGCTTCAGATACAGGCAATATGGTTGCTGTCCCCGTTGTAAGATCAACAGTAGCTGAAGAAACCTGTGGCTGTTTATAAGCACAACATATAATGAATAATCGACTCAGTAACAAGTGAAGAAGACTTTCTAACATAGCTTGCTTTCTCCCCAATCTCTGTTCTGCATTGAATTTAAGAGTATTTATGCATCCAAAAAATCTCATAATTGTATATATAACATTATTGTGTTTTGCCGATTCTTGAGAATCAATCTAGCTATTTAGCAGTGCTTAATAGTATTAACATCTGACACTTTCATTTGTCTCAAAACATCTCAGTAAATAGCAAATTAAACATTAAAAAGAGTGATTTACTTTAACCCCTTAAAGCGCAGTGACATTAGGATTAGGGCATTCAAATGAGCAAGACAATATAACACAACTCGGAATCCTTATATCTCTATGGCTGATTCAATTAGTTCAGATTTCAACAACTAAGGAAAGAAATGCAGTTTCATCAATTCACCACGCGCGCACTTACTTGATTTTCTAAAATCTTCTTCACGCTGGAGGTGCAACCCCCACACATCATCCCCTGCAAACATCACCAGCAAATTTTCTAAACTTTCATAAAATTGTATAAAATATACATCATACAAATACAGAGATGCCTGGAAAGAAGCTAACATACATCAACGTGAAGAACAATGACATCAGCGGATACATCATCACTAACTCCCCCTCCTGTGGCAGAGCTGGAGACAATTCGCCGCGGCTCCTTCCGAACCGGCTGCCAGCAGAGCGCTCCCGAGTTACCGGTACTAGAAACCGAGCCGAGGCGGGTCAGATCCCCGAATTCTCTCCGGAGCCTGGCCCGAGCGAGTCGACGGGGTAAAACAATGTGAATAGACGAAGGAGCGAAGGAACGGCACTGGAAGTGAGAAATGAAAGAGGTGGTGTTTATGGATTTGGGTAGTGTAAGGAGAGAGTTTGCTGTGGAAGCTGCTAACAAGGTTGACTCCATTGTAGAGCAAGAAAACACGATTACACGAATCCTATTGCTGAAGCAGTGAGCAATTCATAAATCATAACTCTCTATATATGTATTACTACTCTGCTCGTAGCTGCAGATTTATGATTTATCTGGTCTTTGGGCCTGGGCTCGTACTGTTTAAGCTGGACCGTTTAGGTAGACATGAACCATGGGCCAAGCTGATTGTTTTTATTTTCTTTTTAATCAATTATGGAGTAACAACCATTTTTATTTTTTTTTTTTCAATCTAGAAGAAGGAAAAACTCAAAGCCAGAAGAACTATTAAGTCTTTACAACGATGGAATTCCCAGCTGATCATCCTATAAAATACACATAATTCCACGAGATGTTCCTCCATATCTTCTTACTATTCAAGTATTCAGTTGTTTTTATGTCATGTTAGTTCTGATGGCGATAAACATACTTGATTTTACTTACAGAGTAAGAACACATTTAATCTATATCCTTGTGTTATAGACACTATCATCTTTAGTAATTCGAATTGCAAGCCATTGGACTCTATTTTTTGTGTAATAAAATTATAAAAGTCAGTGGTCTACATTTATTTATTTACCATAAGTTTAGAGTTTGAACAAGAAACAGGTAACACATATCTCTAAAAACATTACAGAGTAAAACTCTGGTCCTCAATCAGACCATGACAAAGTACATGTATAGTATTATAATGGGCATAAATTGGTAATCATTGGATGCAACCTGATGTTAGTGGTACCCAATAGGAGCAGGTGCTTCCTTCAATTCCTTGCCCTGATAACGTATATCCTGCATATTCAAGATTTCAATGATTAAAACTTTAATAATCCTTATACCCTTACCACTGCATCAAAACACTTCTAGTAAATGTCATTATATTTTTTTAAAGGAAAGGTGTTGGACTTGAGACAAGTCCCATCTTGTTAGCATCAAGCCATTAAGCACTTATTATTATGTCAAAACTGTAACTTGCAACTTTATTTAGACATAGTGCTGAACTTGATCCTTTCACCGACCTCCGCCAATAATCCCCTAGTCACCCATTGCTGGATTTGGCCGGTTAGTGGCCTCCGCCCAACAATCATTATCATCCTGAATGACTACATAAGCAAAATCCAGACAGTAGCAGAGAGATGAAATCATGCTTACAGAAGCAAAATGGTTGACATCTCGATGATGGGCTTCATCTGCACGAATGACTGTAATGACATCCTTGAGCCTTGCGTCCTTCGGCAGTCTCCAATAGTCTATGGCAATGGCAGGGGCCGGAACGTTTTCAATCTTGCCGCTGTTAATGTCATTCAGAAACTCGGTGTATGAATGTACGGCTTCCTCCTCTAGATATCCCACGATTCTGTGTGCGAGCTTGGAAGAACACAGGTAAATGACGAAGAAACAGTTGAAGAACACCCCTTGCACCACAAGAACCAGTAGCCTTTCGTACCACTTTGGCTTCACAAGCTCCACCATGGTCATCAGGTGCATCCTCTCGTTCTCTGCTTCGTCGAGTAATGCTTTGATCCAGCCGCCGCTGTGTTCGAACTTGCGGAGAGATCTCAGATGCAGAAGCATCCCTCCCACCATTCCAGGAACTGCTGCCACCGTCTCCAGCATCATAGCACGACACCCGTATCGCCTCTGCACCATGTATATGTATATGATGGGTATGTAATTCACTCCTAACGAAGATAATGGGAAAATGATGAAAAAAGATGTATTATTGGTAAAATAGTATACTTACCATATTCAAGTTTTGGCCTATTTTCTAATACTATTACTATACTTAGTACTTGTTCACGGCCAGTCTACCATTTTACCAGTAAATTGCACTTCCATTATCCTAATATGACCATTGTTTTTTTTGGTGAACCCTTATATGACCATTATAGTTATCAATAAGACATGTCTTGATATTCTTACAATGTCCTCTGTGGCTCTGAGTCTCTGACTCCTCTCTCACTGCTAGGTTGGATCATAGGGCAAATTATACTATGGACTATGGTCTACTACATAATTTTTGTATCATGATTCACAATGCAATATGAACTTTGATCCATGGTATAACAATTGGGGTCATAGGGAACGTTATACTGTGAGCACGTGCCCACCTTGCAAGGTGGGCACGGTTCCATATCCATAATTTCTATACTGTAGATTCATAATTTTTATACTGTAAATTCATAAAATTTATACTTAGATTCATAATTTCTAAACCGTAGATTCATAATTTAAATACAATAGATTCATAATTTAAATACAATAGATTCATAATTTATATACTGCAGATTCATAATTTCTGTACTGTAAATTCATAATTTCTAAACTGTATAGTTATCAATTATGAACATATAGTTCTCTGATTTGTGAAAATAGAGTTCAACAATTGGAGTCTAAAGTATAATTTTATGAATCTACAGTATAGAAATTATGGATCTACAGTATATAAATTATGAATATGAAACTGAGCCCACCTTGCAATGTGGGCACATGCTCACAACATAATTTGCCGGGTCATAGAAGCTAGGCCGATACCACTTTTGGGTCGAGTCTCGTACTCTCATGGGCTATTAAATGAAAACTATCCCAACATGATCTTATAATTATCAATGAGGCATGTTATGATATTCTTAAAAATAGACTACATTGTCATTGAACTATTAAGACGCATTCCATTATCTCAAAATTATCTTATAATTATCAAATGAAGTGTGTCATTATATTCTTGCAATGTCCTCCATCATTGATTAATTGCTAGGTTGTGTCGTCGAAGCTAGGTCGAGACCACCTTCGCGGTCAAATCTTGTGGGCTATTGAATAAGAACTAACTCAAAGTATCCCGTTTAGAATTGAAAATAAGCTATGGATCAGACTAAAGTATGTGCTTGGATTGGACTTAAAAATTTATGTAGGCTAATCCGGATCCATGGCAGGAATCACACCATATTCTGATGTTAAGATAAATGTGCAAAGAATGCAGAGACAATGGAACAGAATAATCAGACCTGGAAGAAGATATCAGTTGGAATTCTAAGAATTTTCACCGTCCTGAAAGCAAATTTGTCCATGAATGTCTTTGGTACATGGTGCTTGGTTAGATCTATCGACACGTCTGCCCGATATGCCTCCCATGGCTGTAAGATGGAAAAGCATCAAAATCAATACACAGAGAGACTTTAGAGGAACAACTACCATACAACCGATCTGATAATCTCTTTCGCCTTCTACATGGAGACTGAAAGTTCGAATCTCACAAATAAAGCTTCAACTTCAGACATTGCAGTTCATCCGTATAATGTATACGGCCAGTTCAAAAGGAAGAAGACGACTATGAATCTACTCAAGCATGATTTCCCAAGTACTAGCACAAAAACACAGATATATCAGATGCATACATCTGCTTAATTTGTAATTGGAGTGAACATGATCATATATATGTTACCATGAAACAATTCCACGGCCACACGCTACCGTCTTCTTTCGTGATCTGCGGTCGCATGATGCCCCAATAGCTTGAAACCTCCAACTCACCATTCCCCTCCTTCTTCTCCTTCACATCGCCGCCCTGCTTCTTATCCTTGTCTTTCTCCACCCCTGCGGTCGTCGTCGAGCTCATCATTCTTCTGCTCTCCCAACGACAACAGAACGCCGTCATAGTCATTGCCGGCTCATCCAGCGACCTCAGCGCCGGCGCCTTCACAACAAAAGTCAACGATTCCGAAAGTGACGAGACGTACCGGCTAGCACTACCGCCGGCGATCAGCCGCCTCATCACAGCCCTAACTAGCAACTGATTCATGTTAGCAACAAAATTTCGCTGAGAGTTTAATTATTGAATTCAAGCATCAAATTCACTCATCAGCGTGCTAGAAACTTGGAAGTTTGTTCAGAAGAAGAGCAGTTAAGAAGATACTCGAGGGATGGAGAAATGATTCGCTACAAACTCATCCGCAGTCCTAACGCTTTAAGATATTGTACCTAGAACGAAAGTATAGTTCGTCGGAAAGGTACAATCGAGTAATGCGAGATGGAGCAGTTGAATTTGATTATTTTTTTATTGTTTAGTGCAGTAATATAATAAATCTTTGGCTGTGAAAAGACCAACGACCATTGGAGTCAAGAAGATTGCATTGTCGGGAATGTTAAGTGACGAAAATGGCCATAATCATTGTTTTAATTTCGAGTTAATTACCGTTTTGGTCCTTCCACTATGGCAAAAGTATTAAATTGATTCTCGACTGTCATTTTTCGTCAATTAAGTCCTCAAGTATTGATTTTGTGTCCGATTTGATCCTCCGCCAGTTTAAGTGTTAATTGACCGTCTCTTTTAAGGACAAAATAGAACTTTCACTCTTCGACGACGGAAGAAGAAGAATCTCAGTCACTATGGCAGTCATCGGGAACAATCGGCGGCAACCGGGGATGGTGGCAAGAAGGGATCGTAGCGTCGGCGTTGTTTGTGGCCGAAGCTGCCTGGGTCCACGAATGGTTAAATTTGAAAGTCGAAGGACCACAAATGGTCAATTTAAATGTTTATGACTGAACATGACAAAATCATTATACTCGGAGGAACTCAAATAGTAATAACTCCATTGAATAACTAAAAAAATTAATCTATATCATAAACAATTAAGAGATTAATCTACATTACATTTATAACTAAAAATCTCAAGTGTCAGTTATCCAATATGTAATAGTTAACTTCTCTACTTTTATAGCAATGAAGTGTTTGGTAAATAGTTATTAGTGAGTTTTACTAGTTGATAACATTAGTTGATTGTAGAAAAATGTTTGGTAAATTAGCTGTTAGATGATTACATGTAAAATGACTTTCTCAAAAAAAAAAAAAAAACTAATCGAAAAAAATATTTTGAGTAGCTTTTTAAAATGTAGCATTTTGGAGCAATAATTTGTTACAAAAAACTAATTAATCAAACACTCATATTAGCTATTTAACAAAGTCAAACAATTAATAGTGGTCAAACAAACTAAATTTAGCTAATAAACTAACTATGTTACTAAACATGACCATTACCTAATTATGTGTCAACAACATGATTTACAATCTTCCTTCTAGTTTCTAACATGTGAAAATGATAAATCTTAAAAATGTTTAGTTGTTTACAATTTTTTTTTACAATACACATTTTTAAGTAGTGGTTGTGTGGCTCCCTCATCATTAAAAAAAATATATATATGATGTATTAAACATATACAATCAAATTGTATGTCAGTGGCTCCACAAATTAGAGGTTATAGATTTGAATCCCAGTGAAGACACTGACTCTTTGTGCTTCAATAGATTGAAAAAATAGGTCTGACAATATGCTATATTGTATTAGCGTTAATAGTTCTAAAAGAAATTATATACAATCAAATTAGAAAATCTCTATACCGTTTTATTGTTTAATTTTTTTTGAAACATTTTATTGTTTAACTTAATGATGCCGTGTTTTAAAATTTGTCTTCATTTTTAGTAATATAATAACATGACTTAATCAATTATTAACATGTAATTAAATAGTATACGTAGTGTATCAAATGGAAATAAGAAATTCAGCAGCACAAAGCAAATTCAGCTTTGAAGATCTGATTATAATATAGGTGGTTACTTCCTCAAAAATACATCGGAGTAAAACATGATTTCTATATTAGAAGATTACGAATTTAATTATTATCAATATTCGTTTAATAAGATTTTTATAATATAATTTACTTTTATTAACATCCTTTCAGTCAAATTCGTCACATAGACTTATAATTCTTTTTACTCTTTAATGTGTAGTTTATAAGTTAGTACACATTTTTTTTATAGTAATCGTGAATTCTCTCACATAGTAAATTATTTTAATTTCTAAAAATATTTCTTTAATTACAATCAAGTGGCCTAGATCTATGCAAGGGATTAGCTATAAATACATGTTTGACTTGAACGCTGGGACGGCGCCTTGAATTTCCTTCCTTTCGGCAGTAATTGCCTATAGATTGTCCAATTAAATGTTTTTTTTTTTTTTTAAATTAATCGTTAATTAGCATTATTCAATTAATTTGATTAATAATCGAATTAAGTTAGTTTTTACATCGAGTTTTGTAGTAAAAGTTTCGGGTATTTATCATGAATTATTGTTTTGGGAGTTTTTTTTTTTTTTTTTTTTTTTTTTGTTATTGTTGATAGTAATTCTCGAGAGTAACATGGTGTTTGGTTGGGGGGTGAGAATAAAGTATGAATCCAAATTACATTGTTTGTTAATAATGAATAAAATTATTGAGAATGAAAATGACAAAAATTGTATAAAGACTAAAATATCTTTGTGTAGTAGTAGTAGTAATAATAATAATAATAATAATAATAATAATAATAATAATAATAATAATAATAATAATAATAATAAATTCGGTAAGAATAAATTATGAATTCAAATTACATTGTTTGTTAATAATGAATAGAAGAAGAAGAAGGAGGAGGAGGAGGAGGATTCACAGTATGGTATTTTTAGAAAAATGTATTTTTCGATGACAAATAAGATACTTCTTTTTTTTTCTTTTGTTCTTTTTTTTTTTTCCCCTCCTTTTTTTTTTTTCTTTTGCTCTATAATTATAGTAGATGGTTCACAGTATGGTGACTCCTTGAGCATTTCAACTGTGTTGCAAAATGATTTCTCCGTACCCAGAGGCCCTCACATACTTTGTATCCCCATTGACGAAGGATAATTTGGAGTCGAGTTGAAGGAGATGAAGACAAGATGCGTGTGAAGGAGATGGTGCAATCAACTGATGTAGCAAAATAGTGATAGTGTGAGTGTATGGGTATACAATAATGTCGTCCTTAGGGGATTGGAGGTTATGACACGTGATATGCAAAAACAAGCAAGTAGACAAAAAATCAACAACAAGCGAAGCGATCCATAACGAGGTTAAGGCAAGAGTAACTAAACAAAATAGCACAAGCACATATTACATGATAAAAAAAAAAAAAAAAAAAAAAAAAAAAAAAAAAAAAAAAAAAAAAACAAGACTCAAGCTATAAAACATTATTATCTACTAGATGTTTCAATATGCACGTATGTATTATAGTCTTCAGCCACTCCCATGAGCAAATAAATAAGGATTAGAACAATGAATTGTCTCACTATCGTGACGTATCAATTCCAAGTTCATTAAGCACACAAAGAATCTAAAGCCCAAAATTTCTCAAAATTTTCATAGTAACAAACCAGGTTAGTTTATGCAAAGGGGTGGCTTAAATCATTGACCAAATTCTCATGGTAGCTAAGAATTCTCCAAAAACATGAAAATAAATGGGTACCTCAAACATTAACAATATAAAAACAGAACACCCTCATAAACACACGAACTCTAGGTCAGAGTTCTATCCATTATGCACAAATCACAAATAACGCCTCAAGATAGACAATACAAACTTAGTTCAAGCTTATAAACTAACTACTCATTAAATAATATAAATAAAATACAAAAACACAAAGTAATAAACATAAATCTTACAAAAGAAAGAAAGAGGGATATAAAAGGAACTTATCTATTCTATATTTCCATTGTGAAAATAAAAATAAAGAGAAGTCTAAGATTTTTTTTTGAAATGATATACTAATTAAGTGAATGAAGCATTATTTTGTATTTAACGTAAATGTTATTAATATAATTTATCTGTTATGTATAATAGTATAAGTCATTAATTTGTGAGCTATTACATTAAAAATAAATTAAAAAAATAAAGTAAAGGTTGCGGTAAGCTGGTAGTAATGATAAATTGAAAGTAGGGGTGTGCAAGTTGACAAAAGTTTCAGTAGTTGACCCAGAAAGAGAGATGATGCATCTTTGGGGAAATTTCAATGTCCTTGTCGTCAATTATGTCTTGCTTTAGTACGGAGTAATACAATTTAATACGGAGTAACTCCAATCACAATATTTTAAAATTTTCACTTTTTGTTTTTTTACCATTTTTTTTTTTGTTTGTAATATCTTAATTCAGATTTAGTTTAAATCGTATATATTGAATCTGATTTAGTATATTATATTATCTTGATGATCTCAACTATATTTACGGTCAACTGTTGTGTTATCATTTTTTTTCATACAACATTTAATGTCTTAACTTGTGTTTGACTCTTGCGGCATTTATAGAATACCAATTGTTCGAAATTGTTGAGTTCACATTTTTACTTCTTTTACTTCAAAATAAATAATTATATTTAACTATAATATATGGAAACTCAGCATGTTTGAATAATTAATAAGCAGATTATTAGTATTGATGAGATTATTTCTCGATAATTGTGCATATAAGATGGTCGATAACATACCATCTGTATGAGATGAGCCCGATCTGACCTGCACCGACCTCGTAATTACACTTCCCCGCTCGAGCTTTGCCAAGGGTAGTGTGCCCAAGATCATCATGATATTTGCACTCTGACCTATTCAGGTTGGGACTGACCTATCGATATAATTCTAGTAGCATTGTGTAAGGCCTTTAGGAATATCTAAGCACATGGGCAAGCCCCCTTGGGCCCCGACCTGAACCCAAGCATGTGTTCCACGTGTCGTACATATCGCGAACTCGGAACATGTTCCTTCTTCTTTCCTATAAATACCACATTTATTGCTGGAGAGGGGACCTTTTGACTATTTCTACACGCACAACGCTAGCTCGGTAACCTATGACCCACTGTCAAGTCCTCCAAGCTCTAACACTTAAACCAACAGGCAGACTAGGTTAAGGATATGGACCCAGCATCGACCCTATAACTATATTCGTAGTTTTTACTGTCAGGATATACTACACCAAGTATAATTAAAAAAAAAAATACATTAAAAATCATTAAAAATTATCACATTTTTTGAGAATCAAACATCACGTGTGGAACTCGTTTCACCTTCTTTGTTTTTTTTTTTTTTTTTTGTTAGATAATCAGGGAAATTGCAGCCAGTACTCAAACATATGTATCGAATAAATGCTATTATTATATAATAATTAGTAAATTAGTAAATCACATATTAAAAGGTAAAGTGTAAAAGATGGTCCCGTGTATAAACTCAACTAAAAAAATATTAATAATAATTAGATTCATAATTTTTAAATACGAGAATGATGCTCCACACACGTAAAAGCACTTGATTTCAATTTTGGGATAATGAGTGGGGAAAGGGGAAAAAGGGAAATGGAAAAAACACTGAAACGCAACAGCTGTAACATACATATGAATAGTGGCTCTGACTGGTATGAGCAGAATAGAATTAAAAAAGAAGACAAAGTCAATAAGGGGAGGCCATAACCCCATTCTTGCCTGCACAGAATCCAAAATACCAAAATCGGAGAGAACCTTTCAACAAACTCCACGGCAAAAAATCTTGAATTTTCTTTCTCTATCTGCTTTTATATCTCGAGTTACATATATAGCTGCAGCGCGTATAAAAATCTGGGTCAGCGGCTGAGTCAAAATCCAGTAGGTGTACCAATTTTTTCGCTTGTCGTTTCTTCAAAAAGTATCGATACCCTTTGGATCGGTGAGTGGGAGTTGTTTATATGCCCTTTTCGTGATTTCCAGTGAACTTTTAGAGAACTTGTTGACGAAAAATTGATGTTTGCTCTGCGTCTGAGGTTTCTATTTTTCTGTTTATTTGATGCTTTTTTTTGATGATCATGGTCTTGTTTTGTTTTTCAGAGGTTTTGAATTTCAGGGCTTTGAAGTTTTTAAGAGTAGATGTTGATTGGTGGAGAAAGAAGCTGAGTTTGAGCTGAATTATATGGATTGTCTATGCTGTTTCGATTCGGTGAGGTCTTGGTAGTTGCTATTTTGGGATTTATTCAATTCTTATCATCCTGCTGCTTATTATTTTAATTTTTATCTGTTTGGTGTGTCTCTTAAATCTGAATGGACTATAACAATGGCAATGATCCATTAGTTGTTTGGGTTTAAAGTTTTGATTCCCTTATGTGGCTGTATGCTTTCAATTTGTGCCTTTTATCAGTGGAAATACTGCTAGGGTTTCAGCTGAATTATGTGAAAAAATTGAAGGATGTACATGTTTGGATTTTATTGGAGATAGGAAGTTTTGGATGAAAGGGGCTGTTTGCTCCTTACATCTATTGCTGGATTGTGTTCCCTTATTTGAATGATGATGACTCTTGAGTATGGGATCATAAGAATTTAACTTCGTGATTTCCCGCATTTGGTTTGTTATTCTGCAAAATAAGTGTGGGTTTGGGTGCACTGGTTTCAAAACTGATGTTATACTGCCACTTTAGCTTGCAGGAGGACGGTCGTCATGTGGCTCTGGCAAGGGAAGAAGCCACCACGGGCCTGCCAAGTTTGGTTTCAACCTTGTTAAAGGGAAAGCAAGCCATCCCATGGAGGATTTCCATGTTGCGAAGTTTGTTCAGATGCACGGACGTGAGCTAGGGCTGTTTGCTATTTATGACGGGCATTTGGGAGACAGTGTACCTGCATATTTGCAAAAGCATTTGTTTTCCAATATCTTGAAGGAGGTTAGCTACGTTTTATGTCAAAGCAAGTGTTAGAAGTATATTTCTGGATTTCCTGGTTTATACAGAATAAGTAGTGCTTGTTCTGTTTTTGTGCATTTCACTCTTTCTTTCTTACATGGATAATTATCTGGCAATATTTATGATATAGACAGTGTCAAGAGATTGGTGTACTTACATTTTATGCACATATTTTTAGAAACGGGGGCTTTTCTTGTCTTGACAAGTTAGATGTTCTTTAACATGGTTGCATTTTTTCTTTGTCTGGGAAGTGTTAATGACTTAATGCTGTTATGTGAATAAAACTTGGTATTCAAGTTTGTGTGCATGTAGAGATGCCGTGATTGGAAATATACCTGTTTTTTAGTTGTTTGTGACACCTAATTTAACGATGGATTCAATATCTGATTTCGAACTTGTGCAATGACCCTTTTCATATACTGTTATCAATTGCAGGATGACTTCTGGACTGATCCACAGACAGCGATCTTTAAAGCATACGAGAGAACTGATCAGGCTATTCTCTCGCACAGCCCCGATCTAGGGAGAGGTGGGTCCACTGCAGTCACTGCAATTCTCATAAATGGCCAGAAATTGTGGGTAGCTAATGTTGGGGATTCACGAGCAGTCCTTTCTAGACGGGGGGAGGCTATACAATTGTCGATTGATCATGAGCCCAATACTGAGCGAGGCAGCATAGAAGATAGAGGTGGCTTTGTTTCAAACATGCCAGGTTGCCGTTACATAAAGATGTGCTTTTTCATAATTCATATACATATGTCACATTTCATGCTACCTAAGTCTGTACTTTCTTGAATGCCCCCAATAGAAGTTTTGACTCAGTGAGATGTGTCTTTAAAATCACGATGCATTCTTCTTATACATAACAATGGCATAAAACCTATTTGAATTCCTATCTCAGGAGATGTTGCAAGAGTAAATGGCCAACTTGCTGTTTCTCGTGCTTTTGGAGACAAGAACTTGAAGACGCACTTGCGATCTGACCCTGACGTTACTAGTGCTGATATCAATCCAGATATCGAGCTCCTCATCCTTGCTAGTGATGGCCTGTGGAAGGTACCACCCCCCCGGCTTACCCTCTTCCCACTAACACTTCCTTCCATCTCTTCTTTTCTTGATACCATCTGTCAATCTCCACGCAGGTCATGACCAACCAAGAGGCAGTTGACATTGCAAAGAAGATTAAGGACCCCCAGAAGGCAGCCAAGCAATTAGCCACTGAAGCATTGGAACGAGAAAGTAAAGACGATATCTCCTGCGTCGTTGTCCGGTTTAAAGGGTAAAACCCGTACACAAGCGATGATCCCGGTGTGCAGTATATATTTATTTATATAGGGGACATCTGTTAGGACGACACCAGAATTTACAGAAAAAAAAACAGGCCCTAAAATTCTTCGGTATCAGCATAAACCATTCCGTGTATCCTTCAAGTGATTATATGTGTCCCTCCCCTTCCCTTCTGTAATATGTTAGATTCTTTTTACTCAGGATGTGTGGTGGCTAGATGTTTGGTTTCTTCAGCCTGTAGATTCATATGATAGTTGTTATTATTATCATTATTTTTTTTTTCCGAAAATTTGCATGCAGACATTGGAGATTTAGGTATTGACAGACTTTGGTTTTCATGTAATGTTTGATGAAATGGACCAGCTTTCCTTTTGTATGATTGAAATATTTATTTGAAACCTCTTTCAATAGAGTTATTTGATCAGTCTAGTCATGTTCCATCTGATAGAATTTGAATGGTTAAGCTTGTAGCCTCTTGATATCTTTGTTTTTGTTTTTCATTTTGGTCCTATTTGGTAAGATAGTTAGCCCTATTAATCAATTTTGACTTATTTGATTATTATTAATTGTTTAACTTGGTATAAATGTCAAAATTTTAAAAGCTGCTCAAAGAGCTTTTTGAGAAAGTCATTTTGTTTTAATCAACTAACCACTAATTTACTAAATACTTTTTTTGCAATCAACTAATGCTATAAACTAATGAAACTCACTAACCCAATCAGTTAATAATTATTTACAAACATCACTTTACATGTTCTATTTATTATTCATTGATTAAATTAAATTTTTATTCCTTACTTATTTTTTTAGTGTTTTTGTATTTTTTTTTTAGAATAATGGGTATGGAGACCCGAGAATATTAAATAACTTCAATTAAATTTCGTTATTCAAATTAGATACATAAAATGTGATGAAGAAAATATTTTTTTGATTTACGAGAAAATTGTAATTATTAAGAAGGTTAATAAATACGGAGTAGCTCATAATTAATAGTTACGAAAAAATGTAAATAATTTTATATTAAAAATTATTAACTTGTGGTGAAGATAAATAATGAGTGAAAAAACGTGGTCGGATAGAAAAAAAAAAAAAAAAAAGAAGGAATATATAATTTTATTTAATTCGAATATAGAAGCTGAAAAGCTAATGAAAACAGCTCCCTCCATACTAGCGGTTTCTCTTGGAAAAGAAGTTGGACGTACATTTTCATTTCCAGTTTATTCCACGCTAGACGGCGCTAAACCCAGGGGATTTTTCTAAACCTCCCTTAAACCCCTCTCAAAACCCCTAAATTCGCCGATTAATCTGCGGCCATGCCGAGGCTATCGAAGCTCAACGTCTCCAACCCCAAGCTATGGGTGGCGATCGGCGTTGGGGTCGCTGGTGTTCTGATCCTTGCTGAGGTTCACCGCCGACGGCGGCGGCTGAGAGCTAGGGAAGACTTTGGAGCCTTCATCGAACGCTTCGAGCTGCTTCCTTTCCCTCAACCGCCTCCTCCGGCCGCTCGGCTTCCCCTCTCTGGCCTTACATTTGCGATCAATGACAAGTCGGTCTATGATGCCCTTCTATAACAAAATATATTCAAGTATGGTGTCTTTCTTTTTGAGTTTTTGTTTTTGTTAAACTAACTTTTTGTAGTTTTGTAGTATTGATGTGAAGGGGTACGTGACCGGGTTTGGAAGTCCGGAGTGGAAGCGGACGCATGAAGCGGCCGGAATAACGGCGATGGTTGTGACGGCTCTGCTGAAGGCCGGAGCTACTTGTACTGGCAAGACAGTTATGGATGAGCTCGGTTTGGGGTAAGGTGTATTCATTTCATATTTTTTGAGGCCGAGGGAGGTAACTCTAACTTAGTAATACTCTTGCACCATGGTCTCAGGTTCACCGGAAAGAATGCACACTATGGAACTCCAACTAACCCAAAATTGCCATCTCACATTCCCGGTGGCGCATCCAGTGGTTCAGCTGTTGCTGTTGCATCCAAACTTGTTGATTTTGCTCTTGGTATGGATTTATTCCCTTCAACACAAGGAACTGAGATCTTTGGGAAAATTACTTCCCATCAGATCATGAGTTACTTCATAATGCACAATCTAAAGCTAATCTTCAAAGAACCTAAATAGGATTTCTATGTTTCTATTGGAAAAAAGTAATAATAGAAAAGGCAAGCATGGCCAATTTTAGTGAAATGGAGAAAGTATCTTACAGAGCATTGAGTATGTTGTAGAGTTTATGCCATTTGCTTTTGGTAGGTGCATTTCAATATGGTGGTAATATTGCATACTGATATGTGTTTTTGTATTTTAGGTACTGATACCACCGGGTGTATAAGATTGCCGGCATCATTTTGTGGTGTTATTGGATTTAGACCATCTCATGGGATTGTGTCAACTATTGGTGTACTGCCACTCTCCCAAAGTTTAGACACCATTGGTAGGTTTCACTCTAAAAATAAACAATTTAAGTTTATTGGCTTTGTTGTTTGGGCTGCTTGGCATTTTTCTAGCCAGATTTCCCTTTTTGACATTGGTGCTTGCAGTGTCAATTGTTTAACACAATGGAAATATTTTTATGCAGGTTGGTTATCTCATGATCCTTCCATTTTGCATAAAGTTGGACATGTGTTACTTCAGCTTTCCCCCTCTGAACCCAAGAGGATGGGACGCTTTCTTATAGCTGATGATCTTTTTCAACTGTCTAAGGTTCCCTCACAGAAGACAATCGATATTGTCAGGAGATCAACAGAGAAATTATCTGGCTGTAAGTTGCAGTTCGTTTGTTTTGATCACATGGTATCAGCTTCATTTCTTTCACTGGAATATGCTGTATGGCGGGCTATAACTTCTGAGCACACTCTGTTGTTCTACTAATAGATCGTAAGCATGTCTGAAAATTAAGTGAAACTCCATACTTGTGTTGGTAGTACAGTTCAGACACCACTGCATATCAATCTTGGGAAGTACATCGCTACAAATGTTCCCAGCTTGAAAGGGTTTTCTGAAGAACCAACTTGTCAGCAACAAGGAATTTCAACTTTACAAGCTATCGCTACTGTGATGTGTCAACTGTTGAGGTACATTTATAAGTTTTTAGTTGTTTGTCTGATCAAGTGAAGCTTGAAAGACGATGTGAAATATTTTCTTTTCAGTTTGTAATATTTAATTAATCATCCATCATTGCTGAACTGTTTCTGTTGGTAGATTCTTTTCGACTTCCAATTTATATCTTTTTCTTAAAACAGACACCTCTGCAGTCTCAACTCTCAACCACTGGTTGCCTTGACCTTTATTAGTTTTTATATTGAGCACACTACTAATTTAATATGAAAGATAATGGTGATGGATGATGTGATTTCTTTTCAGTTACGAGTTCAAAACAAATTATGAAGGATGGAAAAATGAAGTCAAACCCAAGTTTGTTTCTGATGTTGCTGATTGTGTTACTGCTGCAATTACCTCAATACCTAAAAACATTAAACTTCTCTATAAGATCAGGACTGAATTGCGAGCTGCTCTTGACAGTCTCTTGAAGGTACACATGTGTAAAGTTTTACTATTTTTCTTTGTTTTTAGTTTTTTTTTACAAGGGCAGTGGATGAAAAAGTTATTGTGCTACTTCTGGGCTAGGGCAAGATCTATTTTGGAGTGAATTCCTAAAGTTGTGGCTGTAAAATAAAAGCCTTGAGTTCAGAGTGAGATTTAATTTTGGAGTGAAAACCTCAAGTTCAGAGTCTGTATATTTTGGAGTTAATTGGGACAACATGATTAAAGCAAAGTCTCTATGTTGATTCTTCTGACCGTGCTTTGTCTGTGAATTGTTTAATACCTTGTATCTGATGAGATTTTTCATTCCATTGTATTTTAAAGGACGATGGGATATTAGTAATTCCCACTGTGGCAGACCCACCATCAAAACTATTTTCAAAGAAAGGTCTATCTACTGAAGTTTGTGATAGAGCATTTACTTTATTGAGCATTGCCAGTGTGTCAGGCTGTTGTCAGGTACTTTTATGTAGCAATTTAATGATTAATATTTTAGTTTCTCTCCCAAAAGTGTGCATGGCATGGTAAAAAGGGGATCATTTGTTTTAAATATCAGGCAGCCATTCCATTCGGAGAACACGAAAAATATCCAGTCTCTGTGTCATTTCTTGCATCACACAGAAGTGATAAGTTTTTGCTTGATACTATCCTGGATATGTTTTCCTGTCTTCAAGAGGAAGTGAGCAAGGTTTCAAAAGCTTTACCATTACCTGATGATAGCGCGGATGACTCTGAACTGTTGAAAGAAAAGGTCCTGTTCTCCAATCCTTTATTTGATACTTGAGACATGATGGATTACTTTGAGCCAAGTTTATGAAGTATTTTCTTTGTGGACTATATCTTGCCTTAGAAGATTGAACTTGATGTAATGCCATAGTGGTTATGATGTATTTCCTTTTGAAGTTTGCTTCCATGTTGGTCTTCATTTCTTTTCCTTCTGTCTCTTGGAGGATTGTGGACTGCAATTGCTTTGGCGTTTTCTCACGTGTGATTGTGTTATTATTGTTGCAGGGAAATGCTGCATACAAGGGTAAGCAGTGGGATAAGGCTATAAGCTACTATACAGAAGCAATAAAATTAAATGAGATGAATGCAACTTTCTATAGCAATAGGGCAGCTGCTTACTTGGAATTGGGATGGTATGATGTGCCCTTTCTTCTCTGTGCATGGATTGTTTTCATTTCCTTGATAAATTGTTTCCTGTATTTTTTGGAGGGTGGTTTGCCAAGCATTTCCTCTTTCTTTGCAGCTTTCAACAAGCTATAAAGGACTGCACTGTTGCAATCTCTCTCAATAAAAAGGTAAAAGAAAACACTCACTCCTTTCTTATCTCATGCAATGAGCTTTCTGCTTCCCAGGGCAGGCCATTACAATTAGTGCAGTGTTTATCCTATTAGGAGTCGTACTAATCTCAGAACTTGGTAATATCTTAAGCAAATCTACCAGAATTTTATGAGTGAAAACATTATGTTCATTATTTGGTATCAAAGTTTCTCATAGTTCATTACTTCACCAATGGTACTTCTGTATGGTTATTCTTCTGAAATACATTTGCTTAATGGCTTCAGCCATTTTTATTTTCTGATGCAGAATGTGAAGGCATATTTGAGACGAGGGACAGCTAGGGAGTCACTTCTCTTCTATAATGACGCTCTTCAAGGTTCGTACAATATGTCAATATGTTTTGCTTAGTTGCTTCGGTTTCCTTTTTCTTTTGACAGTTTGTAGCTTCTTCTCTTTCCTAATAACTGCTGATTGTCACTTTTAATATCCTTCTCATCATTAGTTGTCATTTACTCTGTATCTATGACTTGTTTTGTTGAATATTTTCAGATTTTAGGCATGCACTTATTCTGGAACCAAAGAATAAGGTAGCAAGTCAAGCTGAAGAGAGACTGAGAAAACTGATTAGTTAATGGTTTCTGCATCACAATAGTGTTAAACATGATCAATACCTTTTGAACATTGGTGAGCTATTCCTTAATTATTCTTGAACTTTTCTGACAAAAGCATACCAGTCTCGGAGGACAGTTTTGTTGACAGATCTTGGAATTCCAGGCAATCTTAGTACATAAAATTTTGTACAATTATTCGAATTTCACATCGGTCTTTTAGATGATGACTGGTAAAAACAAAGAATTTTTGTGCTATACTACAAGCCATGTTCACATGCCCAATAAGGCCATCTGTTTTGTTTGTGAATCATCTTAAATTGAGTTTCATTAAGTACCTGATGTTTCCCGTGGTTAAATTCCCTTTACCAATTAAGACTTACTTACTAAGCACAAAAATATTATGTTAATCATATTATCTCTACCATTTCAGAGGGATTGGAGTTGTAAGATACTAAGATTAGTCATATCTATTGAGACGTTAATTTCTCTGTTGATTGGTTGTAACACGGACTATGAGTGAATGGGCATTTGATTATATGAAAAGGAACCAATTGAGTTATCCATTGCAGTCTGGGTGTAATCTTTCATTCTTGAGGTTACGGGTAAAATTGTTATCTTGTATATGAAGGATTATATTTTTGATGATATCTTTTAATTTTTGTTTCTTTTAGTATAAGAAAAATATTACGTTAATTGGTAGTTAGCTTGTAAATTTTTATATTTGAAGTGTATAAAAATGGAAAACAAGTGGATAAAATGTTGCAATTTATGTCTGGCTGACCGGGCGTCTGGGTGTGGTGAAACTCCGATGAATGGGGGAATTAGTTAAAAAAAAAAAAAAGACAAATATTTTGAAGCGTTGCGTCTGTCGTCTCTGTTAGTACTGCCCTGGTTGAAAATAGAGGAAAATCTCTGGCATTTTGATCCCAGAAGTCAGAACATCTGAAGGAAAAGCCATGAGATTTAAGCTTCTGGGCAGTATGAGAAAAACAGGCTTACGAGAGACTAGGAAAGATAGCATTAATCGCTCTAAGGCTTCTAGATGTCTTAGCTTCACGGCTTCCCGAGATTGGTATTACCGTTATTTCTTCGCGTTTTCCGGCCTCCGTTCCGTGACCACCGACTTCGACGACGGCACCAAAATGCATTGTTGGGTGCCCAAGGTTCAGAAGCCAGGCAAGCCGAACCTCCTCCTCCTGCATGGCTTCGGAGCCAATGCGATGTGGCAGTACGGCGATATCCTCCGCCACTTCGTCCCCCGCTTCAATGTCTACGTGCCGGATCTCCTCTTCTTCGGGGGATCCTACACCACGCTCCCGGAGAGGACGGAGGAGTTCCAGGCCAGGTGCGTCAAGAGATTGATGGAGGCACATGGGGTGGAGGAGATGAGCCTGGTGGGGATAAGCTACGGCGGGTTTGTCGGCTACAGCCTGGCCGCGCAGTTCCCCCAGGCGGTCGAGAGGGTGGTGCTATGCTGCGCCGGGGTTTGCGTGGAGCAGAAGGATATGGACGATGGGTTGTTTCAGGTGGCGGACTTGGACGAGGCCGCCAGCATTCTGATGCCGCAAACGCCCGATAAGCTCAGGGAACTGATGCGCTTTTCGTTTGTTAGGCCTATCAAAGGCATCCCTTCATACTTCCTCACCGATTTTATCGATGTAAGTTTACTTCTATTCTTTATTCTGGAATCCTTACTGTCATCCTAGGCAAATTTGCTATCATTTGATTTTGTTTACCTATCTTGTGTTGACAGGTGATGTGTTCTGAATTTATAATGGAGAAGACACAACTCATCCATACTATTCTTGAAGACAGACACTTCTGCGATCTTCCAAAGATTAAACAGGTTAACTTGATGATATTGCTATTTTCCTGAGATAGATCATAAACAAAACCTAGGAATATTTTCATTTTAAGATTTTCATCTCTACTCTTCAAAATTTATTCAGAGGACATTGATAATATGGGGAGACCAGGATAAGATCTTCCCTCTGGAGTTGGGGTACAGGCTTCAAAGGTAACAAAATTCATTACGAAACAATAAGGAATTAAACATGTATTATCATTTTATTGATGTGTAGAGTTTTTGTCCTGAAAATAATGATAGGCACATTGGAGAAGAAGCTGAATTAGTAGTGATAAAGAATGCAGGGCATGCTGTGAACCTGGAGAAGACCAATGAGTTTGCCAAATACTTGAAGGCATTCCTTTTCGAATCTTCGTCTGATTAGATGAAACCCAACATCTATCACCTTCTGTATAGTATGGAATATTACATTTTATTGTTTGTGTGTGATTAATGATCATAATGAGAAATATATCTGAGTCTTTTTTGGAAAACTTTATGAAACAACTTGTAGTTGTGTTTAAGCTAACAAAATCATGATAACTAAAAATGTGAATTATAGGAGTATACAGGGAATATATAATCTCTTATTTCTTGTTGTTGAGGCCAGGAATCAATGGGTGTCTCTGGATGATTATCCTCCAAACTTATCTTTCAGTTGCACACACTGTCGAAGTTACAGATTCAACTTCTGGTTGATGTCAAAATCTTGGGAAGACGATAAAACAGTGTCCTGTGCATTAAAAGGAAAACTATAATGAGTAAAACATAAAAAAGTCCTTGGAATTTTTACTGTGATTTATACCCTGTGATCTTTCTATAATGACATTATTATTGTCTAATTTGATGTAACTCACCTGTTCCAATTTGCGGTTGAAGAGATTGAGAGAAGGCAGACATCTTCCTCTATTGGTAGCTTCAATTGACTGGTGCATATAATTCAGCAATCCACTGTATGTTATATTTGGATTTTCCTTTATTGCTCTTATGAATGTGTATGTCATTGCTCCATTCATTTCTTTTCCTGAGGAAAACGCCTGTGCATCAATTTTGACAGAAGTTAGAGGCTGCTGAGCTCAGAAAGGAGCAAGTAAAGAAGTGAAGATGAAATATTACAGATGTATCTGCAGCCATTTGATGATCTTCACAAGCACCAAAACAGATTGCCTTTCCACCAAGTGTACCCTTGTAAGTTCGACTTGGAGGTTCATTATTTGCCCACCTCTTCCTGTTTAGTAAAAAAGAAAAACAGAATTTAGGGTTATATATCATGTCTATCTTGATCATGTTGATAATAAAGGGATGACAAACAGGCTCATATGTACTCTTTGCGGTTGTAAACACGTGGTAAATCAAGAATAGTTCCACTGTGGCAGGCATCAACAATGGCATGGAGTTTGATTCCTTGTCTGAGTGGTCTAACGATGATGTCATTGATGGCATTGTCTAGGATCATGCCTTCACTCTTGAAGTCAAGAGGACAGATGGTTTCATCGAATCCATCGATCTCGTCTCCATCAAATTCAGGCTGTCTCAATCCATGCCCCGAGAAGTAAAACACCAGGGAGTCCCCTGGCCGCAAGTTCTTCATCAGCCACTTGAAACCCTCCAGTATATTCTTCCTGGTTGGGGCCCTGTATGGCTCTTCCTCTGCAAGGTACATATTTCTTCTCTGATATCAGATTGCACTGAAAATTTATGATTCCAGAAATTTCATTACCTGCAAGAATCAGAATCGAAGCAGGCTGAAAGCTGAAATGTTCAACCAGTAAATCCCTCATGTTCTTCACATCTTGCAGGGTTCCTCTCAGCTTGAATTTCTCCTTCCTGTAAGTCACTCCACAGAGAAGTGCCCGCTTCCCACTTAGAAGTTCCTCCCGGATACTGATTGACGATAGGCTTGGCATAATGCTCAGACTGAGAGATTTAAGCCCCCCTGAAATCTTCTTCCTCAAAATATTCCCTAACTTCCTTCTTCCATAACTGGTATTGCCTGGTTCTTGGATTCCCCATTGCCCATCTCCAACTGACACTTTATTCTGGCAATTTCTGCAGTAAACTCCACCATGGTTGTACACTGCCACTTCCTGCTCACAGATCTTGCATGCTGCCATCGCCTTGTACATCACTCTTTCTCAATTAAACGCGTTAATCTTGATTGGTTAGACACTGCATTTATTAGTTTTAATGCACGTAAAAGATCATTCGTGTAATCTTAACGATTTGGACAAAAACAATATTCTTCAACCTAGTTTATTGATCAAGATCATGTCATAAAGCTAAAGTGGAGTTGGAATTAAAGCACTTTCCGCAAGCACTAGGAAAAAGTTTATTTATATTATTTCTAATTTAGGTTATTCCAGGTTTTTTGATCCGTAGAACATTATACTTTTGTGTGTGCTACTGCTAGAAATATTCCCATTTTATCATATGTATGGTTAAGTGAGAATATGTGTGTGTGTAAGGAACCAGATGCTCACTTAATTCTGACCACACATCTAAATATGATATTGATACGTCTTTAATATATATATATATATATATATATATATATATATATATATATATATATATATATATATATATATATATATATATTGGAAATTGGTAAGAAATCACACCAACTTATATTAATCATAAATTTAAGAATAAATCTAAACATAGAATGAAAATGATAATATATTTTCATGGAAATTAAATACACACAAATAGAGAGATGCATGGCACATTCAAACGAAATGCATACAAATTGATGATGATCATCAAATCAATGTAGAATGAAACTTTGGGTTATGCACAAACCAAAATAGGTTCATTTATTCGGATTGGAGGATTGGAGGTGGCCGTTTCCGGTACTTATAGGAGTTTTCCGGTGAAACCTGCGGTGCCGTACGTGCATACTCCGTGCGTGCGTTCATGCATGAAACCTCAGTTTAATTTGCACCATATATATATATATATATATATATATATATATATATATATATATATATCACAGTTATAGTGGCCTCAGCTTTGATTTGAATGTCAACCAGGTATAGATTATCTCCATCATATCGCAGCCGCGCGCTGTCCTCCGCTTCAATTGTTGGGTGAACACGTACGTCATCTCCGCCCCTCTCCAACGCCGTGAAATCAATCCCGTCACCATTTCTAGTTCAAACTCGGGTCGGATGGAAATGAGAGTTGTGAAATGGAGTTCGAATGCGGCCAACCAGAGCAGCAACAGCGGCTTGGAAGATTATGCCGACGAGCTGCGGTGGTATTGAGCGACGGGATTGATGAAGAGTGTCTGACTATCGCGGAGGTCATGAGGATCAAGGATATTATTCTTGATAACCATGGCCAAGAGGTGGCCGTTTCCGGTGAAACCTGTATGCCGTGCCGTGCATACTCCGTGCGTCCATCAAACCTCCCTCAGTTCGATCAGTTTGCATATAGTCGTCACCTTTGATTTGATGAATGTCTGTTGTCAACCAAATTATCTGTTCCCTTCGACCAGATTATCGATCTCCATCCCACCCCTCCTCGATCCGCTTCAATTCCTCGGTGAACACGTCATCCCCTCTCCAGCGCCGTGAAATCAATCCGGACACCATCATCCTCCATCACTATTTCTAGTTCAAACTCCACTTTATTTCCTTGCATTTTTGACACAGGGCCAGGGCGGGGGCGGGGGTGTACTTTTCTCTATTTTCCAACTCTGTATAATTTTGAAGAAATCAAATTTGGACTTCTCCAAATGGAAGAGTACTGGAGGAGATGACACGGGTGAACAGTGATTGAGTGAGGGAGGTCTCTGCTGGTTGATTCCTACATACTATGCACAGTTTTTTTTTTTTTAAAAGGAAAACATAACTTTTATTAAATCAATCTTTCAATACAACTTAACTTGGAATTGAAGAAATCTAAATAGAAGGACTAGTTTGGGAATGAGCTGCTCTTGCTAATGCATGAGCGGCTTTATTCACTGATTAGGGATAAACTTGATTGACACCACTTCAAAATGTCTTCGAAATTGCAATCTCCAATCACACAGCCTGCATATAACAAATCCATTAAACTTCCATTAACGAGGTTACAAATCATTTGACAATTTGAAAGCACCGTACCGTAACCTTATTAATTAAAACCTTGATTCTTAGTCCAAGATAAAACTTCCTTAATAGCCATGACCTCCGCTAAGTGAACATCTTTAAGACAACACAGAGGACCATTTTTAGCTGCCAAGAAATCCCCATCCCCGTCTGAAATGACAATACCAAAATATGCTTCATCTTCCAGAACACTAACCGTAGGGGCAGTCACAGTTATAGCATTATATTTGCATCTAGGCTTGATAGACCCTGCCACAAAGAAACAAGATGGGTAACCTCCATTCGCACACGTTCAGTGCTCCATGGTTTCGCACTCCACCCTTCCGTTAATGAGACCTGCCAACCAAAGGTTGAACCCAACCTAAGGGCGTATTATTATTATTATTATTATTATTATTATTATTATTATTATTATTATTATTATTATTATTATTATTATTATTATTATTGTTGTTGTTGTTGTTGTTGTTGTTGTTGTTGTTGTTGTTGTTGTTGTTGTTGTTGAAATGTACAAATGCTATAGGATGATTGTATTTAACAAAATAGAAAGTTAGAGAAATGAAAAATTGGAGAAATGGAGAAATGGAAAACTGGATAAATGGAGAAAGAAAACTGGAGGAATGGAAAAAAAAAAAACTGGATTAATGGAGAAATATAAAACTGGAAATGGAAAAACAGAGGAATGAAGTAAACGACTCCTAAGTCTCTTCACGTACTGCCCAACAATCTCCAACCACCAAGTGTTGAACTTGATTTTTACTGATCCAACAATTTCCCAATCTTAAATATTAAGAAGTATATTATTATTGCATTGGAACCTTAAACCCTGATTCTGATATCACTTGTTAAGATCAAGTGCTTATCACTTATGAAGTGCTAAACGCTTGATCTTAACAGCGATCTCAAAAAAAAAAAAAAACTTTTCTTGCTCAATATAATGTAGCATTGGGGATTTTGTTACAACATATATATTGGCATAAATTGTGACCTTGTTTCAGAATGTTCCCATTAACATTTGTCATGCATGTTTCAGAATGGTCAAGTTGGCTAGTTCATCATCATCATCTTCTTTATCTCTAGCTGAAACTTCACTCAGGAGTCTCAAGTTGGCTAGTTCATCCTCATCATCATCATCTTCTTTATCAAATGCTGCTTTGTTCTGAACCCAGGAATCTCCTTCATCTCTAACACCAGTTCTTGGATCCATTCCATAAAAGGTAATGCCAGTCACTGCTTCAACTTCAACCGGAGCAATCATGTTTACAGCCGCAGAATGTTTGACACTGCGTCTCAAATGGTTACTGTATCTAATCTTTGTGTCGAACACCTTGGGGCAGAACTGGCACCCATACTTCCCATCCTTCACTATCGCTCCGTCGGTAAGACGTGGCCGTTTCCGGCGCCCCGCCGGAGTAGTATTCCGGTGAAACTTGCGGTGCCGTGCATACTCCGTCAGATCATCAAACCTCATTTTGCATATATCACAGTCATACTCACCTTTGATTTCAACGTCCACCAGATTATTTTCCCCCTCCAACAAAATCTCCCCGTGCTTCTCAGGTGCAGAATTTGGGTTCTGATTTGCAGAAAGGGACAAAAACTGGGATTGCGAAAACTTTAAGGACTCCATTGATCTTCTCCTAAGCTTGAGAGGAAGATCGAGATAAACTGTAAATATGTTTCAAGAGTCTACATGAAAGCAGAATATATACTATACGTTTGAGTGAATTTGGTAAGTTTTAATGCATTGTATATAAATTCAATGAAAGAGACCATAATGTGTCACATTTAGTATGAGATCTTGTATTATGGATATGATATTAATAAGACTTTAATATATATACATATAAAAAAATAGCAAAAGCAAAAGATTATTCAACCTGAAATGGAAATTTAATTTGTAAAAAAAATCACTTATAAGACACCAACCTATATTAATAAAAAATTTAAAATTTCAATCTAATATAGCATGAAATGATAATATATTTTCATGGAGATACACGCACAATCGCACATAGAGAGAGGGAGAGAGATTGATCCTATGGAATTTTATTTAATATTTCCATCTTTCTATTAATTTTTCTCGATCCCAAATTTACTAACTAAATATTACATCCTTATTTTTTTTAAAATACTTTCTTAATCTAACTTTTTATATTTAACAAACAACTCGATGCACCTTCCACATATATGCAAAAGCAATTCAAATTTTATTATTCATCACTAATACTAAATCGATTAATAACTCATAAAAAAACGAGTTGGTTCAAACATTTGACCACCTATTTGGAATGGTAACAAATGTGTCATCACACTACATAGTAGTTGACATATTATTATTACTTTGCGCACATGTCATTATCGCATTCCATTATATAGGCACGATCCTGAACTCCTTTGTGCCACAAGTCTTTTCGTTACAATATTATAGAAGCTAAGGTGTTATGCAAGAGACTTGAATCTATATTGTCAAATGACAAAGTTCAACTGACCACAATGCTCACGTGTTTGTCACCATTAGTTGCGCGGTAGAAAGATCATAGAGGTCAACAACATAGAAGTCAATTTTCTCATGAAATGGACTTTGATAGTTATTATCGTCGATGATGATATGTCCTCGATGTAATTAGATCAATTGCTCATTTGGTAATTGGTAATATGAATGTCATTGATAATTTTATAATATAGTTGTAGTAATTACTAATTACACGTTTATAATCATCTAATATAATTCACCGCAAAAAAAAAAAAAAAAAACAAAAAACAAAAAAACAAAAAAACAAAAACAAAAAAAAAACAAAAAAAAAAAAAAAAAACCCTTAAAAAATATATTATTATTATACATGAAGCGTAATATACAATTAACTAAGATATGTGAGTCATTAGTTTGTATGTTAGTTCTATTTTGCCCCACATGATCGAAATGGTGATGGTACTCAAACAAAAATGCATACATATATTGATGGAGTGATGATCATCAAATCAATGTATAATGAAAATTAGGGCTATGGACAAATCAAAACAGTTTAATTTATTGGGATAGATGCAATATTTATTCATTATTGTATCATTGTGATTAATGTATATATGGTGATCGGATTAAATCATATACTCAAAAAAGTTATTTATTTTTTTTTTTTTTAGTATTGAGATTTCATGTTTTTATGTTTTTAATTTAGGGTTTATACTTCAACGAGGCTTAGATAACAAGTGTCACCATCAACTCTCTGGTAAGAAGAGGATTCCCGCCGACATCTTTCATTTTTGTTCAAGTTATCCGTTCAGAGCAAAAAAGGAGAGAAATATTTTTTTAGTTAATACCCATTTTGGTCTTCTGACTATTAGTTAATACTCGATTTAGTTCCAAAGTATTAAAAATACCCAATTTAGTCCTTTAACTTTTAAAACGGTACCCAATGTGGTCAGTGCCGATTTTTAGATTTTTGTGGCCCTGTTCAGGTAAATAAATGAGGCCCTCTTCAGGTAAATAATACCGTAAGTTTTTCTAATAATAGGTTAAAATCAATACCGTAAGTTTTTGTGGCCTTGTTCAGGTAAATAATAGGTTAAAATCAATACCGTAAGTTTTTCTAATAATAACAATAATAATATGGTGGTAAAATTTTACTATGCGCAAAGAAAAAACCAAAAGACATATTACGGAATAAATTACAATTATAACAATAATAATTATAGTGTGCGCAAACTCGTAATGCAAAAGGATTTAAAAAAAAAAAGGAAGGTGTCAAAAGTTGGAATAACACACAAGTTTTGAACATTTGACCTCCAAGTTGAAATACAATAAATACATGTTTCTACCGTTTCTTCAAACATTTTAAGTTTAATTGAAAACTTTTTGTTTTTATTTCTAAACTAGCTAGGTAAAAATTAAATATTGGGCCTCTAAAATTGGGGGGGCCTCTAAAATTTGGGACCCTATGCGGTAGCACAGCCCAAAACCCGGTCCTGAATGTGGTCCTCGCCTCATCGGTTACAATTGTCGTCTATCCACCGTTATTTTGAGGGCATAAGCGTCATTTTAGTTGATAAAGCACATTCCGTGGGACCCGCACCGACCCAATTGTTACGCCACACTCACTTTGTCAAGACTGAGGATCCATTTCATCGGACCTCAGCGATCAGGTACAAATGATGCTGCATTAACTAAAGAGACGGAGAATCCCGCCGTCCGGCATCTTGATCGGACTGACCAGGCGGTAGATATGCACTGATGGGGGAACAACCGTGATGAGCTTCAGTAATGCCCACGGGGCTTTGCGCCTGTCGATGTCCATAGGCTTAGGCTCCGATGCCTACGAGCCTACTCCTGTTCCAGGCCTCCTACGTGATGTAACCAGCATCGCTGCCGGCCACTTCCACTCCCTCGCCATCACTCGTGAGAGCCATGTTTATGCCTGGGGCTGTAACACCGAAGGTCAGCTCGGTCGTGATCGTATTTCTCCTAGGTAGCTCTCTTTCTCTATCTATCTAATCCATGAATGTGCATTTTGCTGATTATTGAAGAATGAGACATTTTTAGTTTTTTTTTTTTTTTTCTTGTGTGGTGAAATACTGTTTATTACTCTGAATATTCAATAGCTTGTTTTGTGAATCGAGAAAATAAATAGAGTTTGAGGTGAATAAGATACCTGAGAACTTCCACTCTGCAATCTTTACAGGTTTTGCTAAACTTACGGCCTTAAATTTAAGCATTAGAGAAATTCAAATTTTACTGTTTCAAAATGACGTTTATGCCCTTCAAAATAACGGTGGATAGATGACAATTGTAACGGAGGACGACATTGGGTACCGTTTTAAAAGTTAGAGGACTAAATTGGATACTTTTAATACTTTGGGACTAAAGCGAGTATTAACTAATAATCGGAGGACCAAAATGAATATTAACAAAAAAAAAAATCATCACTTTTTTGAGAAGAGGGTGAAAGAGTGCAGGAATGAACATAGAAGATAACCTGGACTTGATATAGATATAGTGTGAAGTGTTGTATTATCCCTAATTGCAAGTTTAATCCTTTTTTTTATTTTTTTTATTTTTTTTGTTTTGTTTTTCACAAACACCCCTCATTTCATCTTCAACCAAGTTCACAAGGCTACTCGATCAACTTTTCACATTTTGTAACTTTAGTCCTTTGCAGCTCATCATATAGGAAGACTAGCTCTATGCATGCGACAGGCCACCGAGTTTGTAATCAGAAAGATGTTGACAATAATTGAAGTTGTAATTTTATGGTATAAAAATTAAAAATGGTGGGGCGACATTAAATTAAAATATGATGATGATAAAACTAGTAAGAAAATTGATATATAGGTTGGGTTATGATGGGAAATTAAATTAGGGTTGGGTTATAAAGGGAAATTAAATTAGGAGTTGTGAGTAACCAAATGTGCAGCACGCGTGCAAATTTTGTGCATACTAAATTATTTGTATTTGTACTTACAATCAGCAATCACTTGAAGTAGTATCTGCTTGATCGATCTGGCTGCTTCATTCTCATTATATTCTAAAAGTTCAAGCAGTTTAATTAACTCAATCTCTCTGAAACTTCACTCAACAGTACTCCCAGATTGGCCAATTCATCATCTTCTTCATCTATCTCGATCTCGCTGAAACTTCACTCAAAGTCTCAGATTGGCCAACTCATCATCTTCATCTCTCGCTGAAACTTCGCACAGAAGTCTCAGGTTGTCCAATAATTCATTGTCAACAAGCCTGGAATATGGTCTACGTCTAACACTACTAGCTCCTCTTGGATCCTTTCCATAGTAGGTATTGGCAGGCAAAGGAGGAGCAGCTTCAGAGAATTTGAGATTGCGCCTTAAATGGATCCCCACATGCCCAGCATAACTGATTTTTCTGTCGAACGCCTTGCCACAGAACTGGCACCCATATTTTCCGTCCATCATAATCACCCCGTCGGTAAGAGGTGGCCGGTTCCGGTACCCGGAGCGAGTTTTCCAGTGAAACTTGCAGGGCCGTGAAAACTCCAGGCGTTCATCAAACCCTATTTCGCAAATATCACAGTAATACTTCCCAAGGATTTGAACGCCGGCCGGATTATCTGTCCTCTCCGGCAGAATCTCCTCCCCGTGCGGCTCAGGTGCAATATATGGGACAGTATCACCACTGACACCATCCCCTTCTTCTTCTTCTTCCCTGAGAGCAGCCGCATAATCATCATCATCTTCCCCGCGGAGAATAACAGCCACATTCGGATCTGCAGGAAGGGACAAAAACTGGGATTGCAGAAACCTTGCAACCTCCTTGCACGAAGGAAACTGTTCACCTCTGGGACTGAAAATCAAAAAGTAAAGATTCAAAGTTTTATTTAGTACGGAGTAATATATACTAAATCAATATATTAATAATTCATTTAAAAAAAAACGAGTTGTATATGTGAGCATATAGCCATTAATGTGCAATTCAACTATCAGCTTAGGCTTTTAGTTGAAATGGAGCACATGCTGTATAGCCATTAATGTGCAATCCAACTATTAGCTTAGGCTTTTAGTTGAGATGGAGCACATACTTCAATTGTATATGTATCGAATGAATATATAAATTAATCTTTGTTAATAACCACAAATAAAGGATTACGTAATATAAAATAACTACACGCAACAAATATATAGCAGCGTTTTATCATGGCCTTTTGAGGAAATATCTTTATTTTTCTAAAACGCTCCTATACCTTAAAAAAAAAAAAAAAAAAACATGTAACTAAAGAGGCGATTAAGGCTCCTTAAATGAAGGAACTTTTGGCTCTTTAACGCTTGTCCATCCTCTAGTTAATTTCAAAAGAGGAGTAGTCCTTGAGAATTTGAAAGTGGGGATATAATAAGGACTACACACTCCACCCACACATTTGATGACTGGCGGTTACCCTTGTCCTAAGCTTAGGCGGAGAATTGAAGATAATAAATTATAAACATGTGAGTTATGTTTGGTTGATTTATTTTATAGCTTATAGCATATTATAAACAAGTGTCACCATCAACTCTCTGGTAAGAAGAGGATTCCCGCCGACATCTTTCATTTTTGTTCAAGTTATCCGTTCAGAGCAAAAATAAAAAGAGATGAATTTTTTTTTTAGTTAATACCCATTTTGGTCCACTGACTATTAGCTAATACTCGATTTAGTCCCAAAGTATTAAAAGTATTCAATTTAGTCTGCTAACTTTTAAAACGATACCCAATGTGATCCTCCGTTACAATTATCGTCTATCCACCCTTATTTTGAGGGCATAAGCATCATTTTAGTTGATAAAGCACCTTCTTTGGGACCCGCACCAACCCAATTGTTACGCCACACTCACTTTGTCAAGACTGAGGATCCATTTCATCGGACCTCAGCGATCAGGTACAAATGATGCTGCATTCACTAAAGAGACGGAGAATCTCGCCGTCCGACATCTTGATCGGACTGACCAGGCGGTGGATATGCACCAACAGGGTACAACCGTGATGAGCTTTAGCGATGGCCACGGGGCTTTGCGCCTGCCGATGTCCATACCGGGCTTAGGCTTCGACGCCCACGAGCCTACTCCCGTTCCAGGCCTCCCACGTGATGTCACCGGCATCGCTGCCGGCCACTTCCACTCCCTCGCCGTCACTTGTGAAGGCCATGTTTATGCCTGGGGCTGTAACATCGAAGGTTAGCTCGGTCGTGATCATATTTCTCCTAGGTAGCTCTCTACCCTCTTTCTCTATCTATCTAATCCATGAATGTGCATTTTGCTGATAATTATTGAAGAATGAGACATTTTTATGTTTTTTTTTTTCCTTGTGTGGTGAAATACTGTTTATTGCTCTGAATATTCAATAGCTTGTTTTGTGAATCGAGAAAATAAATCGAGTTTGAGGTGAATAAGATATCTGAGAACTTCCGCTCTGCAATCTTGTACAGGTTTTGCTAAACTTATGTCCTTGAACTTAAGCATCATAGAATTCCAAATTCTATTGTTTCAAAATGACGCTTATGCCCTTCAAAATAACGGTAGATAGATAGCAATTGTAACAGAGGACCACATTGGGTAATGTTTTAAAAGTTAAAGGACTAAATTGGGTACTTTTAATATTTTGAGATTAAATCGAGTATTAGCTAATAGTCGGAGGACCAAAATGGGTATTAACTAAAAAAAAAAAAAATTGAAAGAAAAAAAAATCATCTCTTTTGTTGAGAAGAGAGTGAAAGAGAGCAGAAATGAACATAGAAGATAACCTGGACTTGATATAGATATAGTGTGAAGTGTTGTATTATCCCTAATTGCAAGTTTAATCCTTTTTTTTTTTCACATACACCCCTCATTTCATCTTCATCCAACTTCAGAAGGTACTCGATCAACTTTTCACATTTTGTTACTTTAGTCCTTTACAACTCATCATATAAGAAGACTAGCTCTATGCATGCGACATGCCACCGATTTTGCAATTAGAAAGATGTTGGCAATAATTGAAGTTGTAATTTTCTGACCGGTATAAAAATTAAAAGTGGTGGGGTGACGTTAAAATATGATAAAACTAGTAAGAAAATTGATATATATGTTGGGTTATGATGGGAAATTAAATTAGGAGTACGTTGTGATTGAAATTTAAAAAAGAAAAAAAAATCAAAACAAAAGAAACAAACTATATTATTTGTGTTTTCAAGAAATTCCTACAATATCCACAATGTTGAATACAAGATGTGCAGTACACGTGCAACTTTTGTGCATACTAAATTATTTGTACTTGGTGTGCTAATCTCGTGCAGACTTGATTATTTTTACTTCCGATCAGGCCACCAGATTATCTCTCTCTTGTATTCAATTATCTCCTTACAATCAGCACTCACTCGAAGTAATTAATTAGTTTAATTAATATGTTGTTACCTTGTTTAATTCAGAAGCTAGCAATTCTGGCAAGTTTGTTTAATACTTGCAAAATGGGGATTGAAGAAGCTAATTAAGCAGTTTAATTAACTCAATCTATACTCTCAGCAGATTGGCCAATTCATCATCTTCTTCACCAATCTCTCGCTGAAACTTCACTCAGAAGTCTCAGGTTGGCCAATTCATAATCTTCATCTCTCGCTGAAACTTCACACAGAAGTCTCAGGTTGTCCAATAATTCATCGTCGTCAACCCTGGAATATGGTCTACCTCCTCCTCTTGGATCTTTTCCATAGTAGGTATTGGCAGGCAAAGGAGGAGCAACTTCAGAGAATTTGAGATTGCGCCTTAAATGGATCCCCACATGCCCAGCATAACTGATTTTTCTGTCGAACGCCTTGCCGCAGAACTGGCACCCATATTTTCCGTCAATCATAATCACCCCGTCGGTGAGAGGTGGCCGGTTCCGGTACCCGGAGCGAGTTTTCCGGTGAAACTTGCGGTGCCGTCTAAACTCCAGGCGTTCATCAAACCCTCTTTCGCAAATATCACAGTAATAGTACTTCCCATGGATTTGATGAATGCCGGCCGGATTATCTGTCCTCTCCGGCAGAATCTCCTCCCCGTGCGGCTCAGGTGCAATATATGGGACAGTATCACCGCTGACACCATCCCCTTCTTCTTCTTCTTCCCTGAGAGCAGCCGCATAATCATCATCATCTTCCCCGCGGAGAATAACAGCCACATTCTGATCTGCAGGAAGGGACAAAAACTGGGATTGCAGAAACCTTGCAACCTCCATGCACGAAGGAAACTGTTCACCGCTGGGACTGAAAATCAAAAGGTAAAGATTCAAAGTTTTATTTAGTACGGAGTAATATATACTAAATCAATATGTTAATAATTCATTAAAAAAAAAAACGAGTTGTATATGTATCAAATGAGTATATAAATTAATCTTTGTTAATAACCACAAATAAAGGATTACCTAATATGGAGTATAAAATAACTACACGCATCAAATAGCAGGGTTTTGAGAAAATATCTTTCTTTTTCTAAAACGCCCCTATACTTAAAAAAAAAAAAAAAATGTAACTAAGAGTAATTAAAGCTCCTTAAATGAAGGAACTTTTGACTCTTTAACGCTTGTCTATTCTCTAGTTATTTTCAAAAGAGTAGCAATCTTTAGGGCAACCTCAATAGTGAGGTATTTTTAAGGAATTTTGTCATAGTCATGTAGGAGAGAGAGGGTAGAGGAAAGAGAAAAAGGAAAGGAAAGAAAAAACAAAAAAGCCTCACATGAAAAAAAATAAAAAATAAATAAAAATAGTCTATTCACGCGCCTAGTTGGCGCGTGCACCAGCTGGGCATAGCAGGTGCGCCTCAACTTCTCCTTCTTTCTTTTATCTCTGCAAGTGGGACTGGTAAGAACTCCAATTTGCAGTATTAAGATTCCCTAAAAAAAACTCACGTCCACATTTGTGAAAATCCATTTTACTAATCCAAAATCCCCTTTTGGGATGCCCTTGGGAATTTGAAAGTGGGGATATAATAATGACTACACACCCACACATTTGATGACTGGCGGTTACCCTTGTCCAAAGCTTAGGCGGAGAAGATAATAAATTATAAACATGTGAGTTATGTTTAATTTGGTAGATTTATTTTAGAGCTGATAGTATATTTTAACTTGCAAATAAGTTATAAGTTTTGTTTGGTAAAACATTGAGAATTTAAAATAATAACTTATTTTGAAACACTAGCCCAAGTAGCATTACAAAATAAGTCATGGACTTTTTTTTTTTCTTTTTTTTTTTAGAAAAAAAAAACTTTTTCCTTTTTTTATAATCTTTATTAATTTATAAAAATGATATCATTTACCCTTCATTAATTAAAATCATAATATCTTAGTTTATGTTTTTATATATGTTTTTTTACTTACCAGCTAATTCAACAATTAAGTTTTCCAAACATTTAATTTCAATTAGTTAATTTACTAGCAACAAGCCTTTCAGCTAGGCGTGCCAAACAGAGCCACAGTCTATATATATATATATATATATATATATATATATATATATATATATATATATATATATATATATATATATCTTAGTTTATGTTTTTATATATGTTTTTTACTTACCAGCTAATTCAACAATTAAGTTTTCAAACATTTAATTTCAATTAGTTAATTTACTAGCAACAAGCCTTTCAGCTAGGCGTGCCAAACAGAGCCACAGTCAAGTTCTCGATCGTACGGATAGTGTTTCCCATGCGACCGTACTGTCACTCACCATTAGGTATGCATAAATGCATCATAAAGTGTTCGAAAATGCATCATTATGTGTGGTGCGGTGTGGTATATTTTTTTGGTGTGTGGTGTGTTTTGTGGTACATTGGTGTATATACACTATATATATATATATATATATATATATATATATATATATATATATATATATATATATATATATATATATACACATACATACACGCGCACACACACTACACATGAGAGAATTTGGTTAATTAATACATTGTATCTAACTATAATCTCATTTCGTTCAATGAAAAAGGCAGACATCACATTTAACATTTGATCTTGTATTATGATATGATGTTAATAAAATATTAACGTATATACATAAAAAAAAAAAAAAAAAAAAATAGCCCATGCAAGATTCAATCTAAAAAAGTGAAAACTTGTTGGAAATCACTTATAAGACACCAACTTATATTAATAAAAAATTTAAGAATTCAATCTAAATAAACCATGAAACTGATACACCTTCCACATATATGCAAAGCAAATTTTATTCAGAAATACTAAATCAATTAATAATTTGTAAAAAACTAGTTGCATATGTAACAAATAAGTAAATACTTTCTTAATTTAACTTGTATGCTTAACAAAACATTCTGTACTGTGCACTTTCCACATTTATGCAAAGCAAGTTTTATTAATATTCAATAATACTAAATCGATCGAAAGGTAAAGATTCAAACTTTGAAATTTATATATAGCACTACTATATATAGCAAAATAGCAGACAACTAGAAGGAAATTAAATGGCTACCGAGCAAAAGAATAGCATATAGCAAACCCTAAACATACATATTTAATCTGTAGTACAGTAGAAAATTATTATTATTATATTCCATTGATACAAATCAACCAAACTATATATGAAAGTGGTGATAGGGTGATGGCACATTCAAACAAATAAAAATGCATACAAATTGATGGAGTGATGATCATCAAACCAAAGTAAAATAAAAATTAGGGTTATGGAAAAATCAAAATGTAGTTTAGTTTATTGGGAGTAGATGCATTTTTATTCGTTAGTATATTGCTGTGAATGATGTATATATGATGATCGATCATAACAAATTAAATCATGTAGGAAAAAAATTTGATTTTTTGGGGGGTTTGTATCTGGACTTCATATGTATATGTTTTTAATTAGGGTTTATATCTAAATGAACTAGAATCTGAAAATTGATGAATGTGATTATTTTAATTGAATTGATTTATTCTTTCAAGTAATTAAGAATGAAAAATGTAAAATTGAATTGATGGATTTGGAGTACTAATTATACCTTATGTATCTGTAAAAGTAAGGTATGGTGCGACCCTCACGCGATGGTTTAATGGCTACAACCAGTTTCCAGCCGGCGGGCAAAACGTCGGTGAATTCTTTGGCATCCACACACATCCGTTTCCGATTGAGCCATTCACCGCCCAAACCCTCAATGAATCGGAAAAGCTGCTCCCTGCTCTCCATCCCAGCCGTCCTCCGCTTCAATTCCTCGGTGAAAGCGTCATCTCCGCCCCTCTCCAGCGCCGTCAAATCGATCGGGACGCCATCCTCAGTCACCATTTTCAGTTCAAGCTCAGCTTGTTGCTGCGGCGGCGCCGGATTTTGCAGGTAGAAGTTGTCCAGATAAGAGATGATGGCTCCCTCTTCACGGTCGGGTAGATTAGGGTTGGGAGCGACAGGGAGCCAAGATCGGAAGGAATCCGCCGGCGAGGGTACGCTGATCTCGGAATCGGCGGCTTCTCCGACATCCCGCCGTGGATCAACGCCGGAACCGGAGCTTGTGGACAGCGTCTCCACCATTTCCGGTCACTTGTAATCTACGATTCAGAGAGAATAGAGAGAAAAAGATAGAGATGAGAGTGAGAAGTGAGAAGTGAGAAGTGAGAAGTGAAGACTCCAATTGCCGCAGCTAGAGACAATATATAGTGTGAACTGTCAAATGTTCATCTGCATGCATTCCAATTGTCTCTAATGACTATAATTTGACTAATCTTATCCCTAATTACAAGTTTAATCCTTTTTACAATCCTCTTTTTTCACAATCACCCATCATTTAATCTTCCTCCAAATTCAGAATTATATTACGGCCCTTATAGGTAAATCATATATACAACAGACTCAATCAAAAAGGTATTAATGAGAAAAATCAAACTTGTAATTTTTTGGTATGGTAATCATATTTCACCAACTCAATCATCAAATTTAGGTCGATAAATATGTTTTCAAGAAATTACTAAAATACCGTTAGTATTGAATATAATCGAGTTAATTCTAGTGGATGTCACTTGTCTTTGTTTGCAATTTCAAATTTAATCTCATATAATTATTTTTTATTATTTAACAACCCAAATTATTATATTTTGGACACTTTTGATCGTCCCATGACCTTTTTCTATAAAACCATATTTTAAGCAATGACTTTTTCCCGTTTTCTACGTTGAGGTTTGGACAATTCTTCTTTTTTTTTTTTTAAGTTTCGGTTTTCCAGTTTTAAATTGAATCTACACAATTTGACGTCTCTTCATTTTTTATTATTTTTTAAAAATTTTTGATCTGTTTTCTACGTCAATTTTTTTCGTCTCTTTAACCATAGATTGCACAATCTCCTTCATTCGGCTCGTCTTTATCTCATTATTATATTTGATGATTTTCTTGTAAATTAGATTACTCGTATTGATTAAATGGTACTATTGACTATTGTAGCAACTAGCAAGACGCATTTATCATATCCTAATTTATTTAAGAGGTACCTCTCAATTGAGCCGGATGCATAGAATTTTTTTAATGTGATTTATCTTTTTCGTGTAATTCGCGTGCAATTACAAAAGAACGGAATTTACCCGGCACATACTTTTGAGTAGTGGTTGCATGTTTCTTTCGTCATATTATTATTATTATTATTATTATTATTATTATTATTATTATTATTATTTATAATTGTTCCATAATAAAACATTTGTTTTTAATTAACCAAACCAAAAGTTGTTTAATTATATATTTAGTATATGCAAAATTCATCCTCATTATTGCCATACCATTTCCTTCTCAAAATGATTATTTCGTTTCGGATCCTTGTGATAACACATAGAATGTATCTTTTTGAAAGCTACTGGCTCTATTACATTGTAGTATCTGTTCATATACTTTCTCAATCTACTGAAACACAAAGAACCAATAACGCCTACCAGGACTATATGGTCTAATGGTATCCGGGTTGGACTTCCATTTGGAAGATTAAATTCAATACGAATTTATTGTTTAAATGTTAGCTTTTTCTAATTATTTCTTTCTTCCAACAAAACAAAAATTTCAACAAAAAAGTTCTCTTTGAATCTTTGATCGAGGCTACTTTTATAGATAATGATAATATTTACTAATAATTAAATGAGTTGTATACGTTTTTGTATTTAAAATTTTAACATGAGATTACATTCTAACCCACATGATTGCTCTAGTTGAATAGTTATGCTGTGCAACCGTGTGCACCACGCATGGTGCACACGATTGTAAAACAACGTCGTTTTGACTAAAAACGTGTTTTCCATTTAAAAAAAATCATTGTGAATATTTAGTTCATTCATTGTGGATATTTAGTTCATTCATTGTAGATATTTAGTTCATTCATTCTGGATTTTTAGTTATTCATTCACTGTGGATATTTAGTTCATTCATTGTGGATATATAATTCAAATTATGCATAAAAAATGCTATTGCCAGAAATCAAATCTGATTTTTTTAAAAGTGGGACGCGCATTTTTAGTTAAAACGACGTCGTTTTTGTAACCGTGTACATCATTGCATAGCATAATTTGCGGCTCTAGTTGTATACAACAAAAGGAGAGCCTTAATTTTGTCCGATGATTTTGTATTTAAAAATTAGGCTGAGATTACATTCTAATACACGTGATTGCTCTAGTTGTATACAACAAAATGAGAGTTTTCACTTCATCCAGTAATCAATGGTAGTTGCTATTTGCATCACCCTTTGACTAAAATGAAGTATAAAGTACATTAAAAGTATAAAAAGGTGGTAATTTATAATAAATACATAGGTGGTGCAAATAGCCTAATGGGTGGTGAAAATGTTATTTGCACCACCTTAATAAAACTGTATTTATTAGATTTAAATAATAATTAATTAATTCAAAATTTAATTTATTAAAAAAAAAAAAACAATGAAACGTCGCCTTCTCCAGTGAGAAGGCAGCCCAGTGGGTCGCCTTCTCACCGAAGAAGGCAACCCAGGTGGGTGTGGGTTGCCTTCTCCCCGGAGAAGGGAACCCAGGTAGAAGCCCACCTGGATTGCCTTCTTCGGTGAGAAGGCGACCCATTGGGCTGCCTTCTCACCGGAGAAGGTGACGGATCTCCTTCTTTTTTTTTTTTTAATATGTTGATTTTGAAAAATAATAACAATAAATATTACTTTTTGATCACATTTATTAATGGTGGTCAGATAACACTTTGCTATTTGCATCACCTATAAAGTTATTATTTAACTTATTATATAGATGGTACAAATAGCAAAATAGGTGGTGTGAATAGAATTTCCCTAATTAATTCACCATAACGGTTTCCCAAGTACCTATTTGACCGAAATTAACAAAGGCGTCAACGCATTTATTAATCACTTCTCTCAATACATGAGAGATTCCTGTTATCCCGCATTGAATATAATAATAATAATAGACTTATAGTCAAAAAGGTAAAAACACAAATACGCACTATATATATATTTAATGATTACACATAATTAAATCTCCGTCTTTACTACTTTCAAAAAAAAAAATCTCCGTCTTTACTAAACAAACACAAATACTAATTATTGTAGTAACACAAATTTGTCATCTGTCATATGCCTAATCAAGGGGTAATAAATACTTATATTATTTATATTTGTTTCATAATAAAACATGTCTATTTAATTCTTCAAACCAAAAGTTCCTTGATTATATATATGCAAAATTCATCATCATTCTTTTCACCCCATTGCCTCACACAATTTATTTATATTATATTATTTATATTTGTTTCATAATAAAACATGTCTATTATTTAATTATTCAAACCAAATATTGCTTGATTATATGCAAAATTCGTCCTCATTCTTTTCACCCCATTTGAATCGCAATTTATTTCAGATTTTAGTACTTTATTTTATTACTTAATAATTTTAAAAAGTTATGACACTTGTCCCGAAATGAATAATATCACTTCGGATAGAAATCAAGAAAAAAGTTTCAGACACATGCCATTTTGATTTTGTTATTATGACCTGCTATTTGTTAGATATAAAGTGGAGTTAAGTTACACGTGAGCTGGTTAAGTTCGACTAGACAAGTATTTGAATTTGATTTAGCTATTGTCAATATAAGTTTGAACTTGAATAATTCAAGTAATGAATCAAACCGAAATTCGAACCTCTTAATACAAAGTTTGAGTTGCTCGTTAGCCTAATTAAGTTATATATATATATATATATATATATATATATATATATATATATATATATATATATATATATATATATATGGTTGCATTCACACGCAAACACCCTTAAAATACAAACGTAAGGACAAATATGGGTCATAAGATTAGAGTAGATGAATGGATTAGATTTAAGGCAAAAGAATAATTACAGAATCATAATTAATGGAAAAAAGGGTAATTAAGGCAATGCAAAAGAAGTCTAATTACGGAATATTATTAAATATTGATATTACACCATAATTGAAGAAGTGTAAGTACGGTAGGATTGAACAACATATGAATTGACGCACACCCTCCCACTACTGGCAATCCATCCTAGACGGCAAACCCCCTTCACGGACGGCATTCCGACACAGCAACGCGGCGAGAAGACATGGATGCGACTTTGGAGCATACGACGACGTCAACAACTAGTAAAAAATCATGACGAAGTATTAAATTTTGTTATGATTTTTTATTATAAAATATTTGTTATTATAATTTTTGTGTACAAAATAGAAAAAATAATCTTTATTTAGTGCACTCAATCTAAGTTTGAATGGCTCAAACTCAAACTAAAAAAAAAAAGTATATAATACGCCTTCACAGAGGCTCAAACCCAAAATCTCCCATATGAAAGAGCAATTTAGTGTCACTAGATCACAAATTCACAAGGTCCTTGGCCAAAAAAATAGAGATTAGTCAAATTCAAGTTTTGATTTTTTAAATTGCACCCTTGTTGGAAGTTCAAAGTGTTTTTTTTTTTTTGTTTTTTCTTTAAGGAGTTTTTTTTTTTTTTGTTTTTTTTTTTTGGTGAAAAAAGAGAGGTTATGCCTCGAAACTATTTCTTTAAGGAGTTGAAATAAGTTGAATGCTACAATCTCATAATCAAAAAGGAAATTAATCAATCTCATTCTATAATGGGACCATATATTACAGACAAAACATATTGTACAAATTTACAATATGCTCAACAGAATCACACATTCACATCATTTAAAGCGACCAACTCAACATGTGAAAAGGTTTTATCCCAAAAAACAAGGTTCAACACGTCAAAAGTTTAAAAATTAAACTAATGAATAAAATAATAAAACTTTAAACTCTAAATATAGAATTAATACCATCTAGGGTCCTCTACTCTTTTTAGCCTGATTTTGCCACGTTTAATCTTAAACTTTCAAATTGACAATTTGTGGTCCTTCGACTTTTAAATTTCATAATCCAAGTTACCATCAATGGTCATTCCAGACTAGTTAAATTTTAAAAGTTGAAGGACCATAAACGGTAACAACTTGAAAATCAAAGAATCATGAATGATCAATTTGAAAGTTTAAAACTAAATATGACAAAACCAAATAATATTAAAGGACCTCATTAACTCACCATGCATCAAATTAATTTGAATTCAATGTGACTATCAAATATCATTGTTTGAAACATATCATACATATCTCTTTACTTCTTTAGTAAAACAATTTCTCCTTGTATAATAATATAATAAAAAAGAAGAAGATATATATGCTCACCTTCAATATTATTTATTTAATCATAATAAGTTAATTATGAATATATCTGCAGTAGTTACTAAATAATACAACTAATAATATAAAAATGGATGGGGTATTTAGGAGCAATTAGTCATGGGAAAACATTCATATTTGTCCCTCCATTGTAATCACTGAGAATGAGAATAGGAGTTAAGGTCCCTGACTAAGATTTTGATCACAACAACTATACAGCATAATGCCTAGCTTCAGTTTCAGGGAATCAGAGAACAGAGATTTGAAGAATTTTACTAATTATTGAACTAGCTAATACAATCCACTTACTCGCACTGAGATCTACTGGAAAAAATGGAATTCACCAGAGATTCAGCTTCGGAGCATATTCTTCTCCAACCACACAACTTTATGCCGAAATCAAGAGTTAACTTCTGTATCCTGTTTGTATCGCCTTCCACTTCACTTAGCTCAACAGCCTGCTTTCTGGGGATCAAGGCATATAGATACAGGGAGCTGTCAGGATCGATTTTATCCAGTTCAAATGACACGCGAAGTAAAGAATTAGATCCAAGTTCAGGTGATGTTGGATCATATAGAACTGAGAAACGACTAAATCTAAGGTCTGGGTTCTCGAATACTCTGTTGATATCCTTGGTTTCCTGGGTGGGATTGTTTGCTTTTTCTGCTGTGCCTATGGCTATGGAGTTTCTGTTAGCAACTCTCAGGATATGGGCGGCCTCTCTCATTCCACTGAGAAAAGCCCCGTGCATTGTTGCAGGATATTGCCTGTTCGTTGCTTCTCCTGCGAAGAAGACTCGGTCTGCAACACTTTCAGCAAGAATATCGTAATCATCCCCTGCAGCTCCAATTGCAACATAAGAATATGAGCCATAAGTGAACTGATCTTGCCCCCATCGCGTACAAACTGCCTGGAGTGGATCTGGAACCGCTATCCCTTTTGGACTGAATATGCCTTTCAAAATTTCTAAAACCCTCCCAACAGCTTCCAGTGGAGACATCTTTTCAAATCTTATTGCTGCTTCCCCAGCTACAAGAGCCACAAGAAGAGGACCCCCTGACACTGCAGAATAACTATAAAAGAGAAAGAATTCACCCCTCATGCTCGAGTCCTCAGTAAGGTGACCAAATGTATCAATCTCCCCACCCCAAAAGTCATAGGGGAATAGGATTGCAACTTTATTCAACAAACCAAACCCCAATCTTGCAATTGCATCCTTCTTCTGCTTAGGAAGGTCAGGCACAAATTCAATGGCACCTTTCTTAAGCACTCCCAATGGGACAGTACAAAGAACCATATCTGCACGATACTCCTGATTCCCAGCATAAACTAAAACCCCATCAATGCCATACCTAATACTCTCCACTGTTCGGTTATAAAATATGGGAAGGTCCTCAGCTAATGCCCTCACTAGCCTCTCATTCCCACCCGGAATAAAACAATGATCCCCACCCATTTCATAAGGATCGTCTTGATCCCAAAAAGCCATGGATAGTTCAGACATCAGGGAAGCATTAGCATACTCCAAATTGGCCAAATGCCAATCCAACAGCATTCGCTCCTGGGGATCCTCTGCCACTTTATATACACTCCTAAATGTCTCTAATGCAGTGCCTAACGAAACATCAATGGACTTAACTTCTATCATCATTGCTTGCCTGAGCTTACAAACTCTATCTAGCAGTTTATTGAATGAAGTTTCAACCTTGGAATCAATATCAGAATTCACAGTTTTACCATTAGGCAAATAGAGAGGGCAAATATCCCTGACCTTATGAAGTGGAAGGCCAAGCTGCCTTGCCAGGACTCCCAGTGGATTGCCATTGATTCCGGTGAGCACACTCCCGCCTAAATCAGCGGCTGCGATGACTCCATTGTTACCACCACTCATTTTCTTTGATCTCACTCTGCCTCCAGGCCTGGCTCTTCCTTCCAGGACCACAACTGTAAACCCTAGAAAAATCAATTGCCTCGCAGCAACTAAACCGGAGAGCCCTGCGCCAACAACGATCACAGTACCCTTCGAGACGCCCTCCGGGGATTTTAATTTGGCTTCTTTGATCGCCGGAGCGAGGCCGAAGTTGATGTAGCCATGGTGGAGGAGGAAGTTGTAGGCGGAGTTGACGAGGGTTTTGTGTTCGGCTCGAATTGACTCCAAGGCGTGGTCCTTAGTGAGCCAGACGGAGACATTGGAGCGCCACCGTGCGAGAATGTGGTTGCGGACGACGATGTAATTGGCTTGCTCGTCACCGCCGATCTGGGACACCACATTGGCCTCAATTTCCTCTTCGGTGAGCGAGTCCACTGGAAACCCCACGGAGATAGCTATTAGGGCTTCGATGTCCACCTCCTTAGCCAGGTCCGAAACTCTCTTCCGGCGGTGAGGATTCTTCGAAAGGTCCTCCTCGGCGGCGGCGAAGTCGGTCTCGGAGTACGCGTACGAGGCGGAGGGTTTAGGGTTGGGGCGGCGTACACGCAGACCAGAGACAGCAGCAGCCGATGGGGCAGTGGAAATCATATCCGTGAAGAATCTCTTCCGACGGCGTCGCCTTTTGACTGGAGGTGGACCGGCGGGGAGCTGCTCTTCGGGCGCCGGAACCTGCTCCGCCTGAGAATCTGAAACGGCAGGCTCAGATGTCGTCTGGGGAGGCGAAGAATGGCCATTGTCAGGCACATTGTTGTTTGATTCGGTGGCTTGCTCGTCGGAGACAACATTATCGGCACAGTCCGGCGGAGTATCGGCGGTTTCCATGAGTATATTTTCGATGGTAAATCGGCGCGGAAGACGAGCCCGAAACTTATAGGGCCTTTATAGTTTCTTCTTTTCTTTCTAGTAGTCCATATACAAATGGGCTGGAAATCTGCAATTACCATATTTGTTCCCACCCTCCAAATTTCCTAATTAAAAAAAAAATTATTAACTCTTTGTGTTTGAATAGGTTAAGAAAGTATATACAGACAGATATTACATTATAAATTATTATAGAATCAATATTACTAAAAAAAATTACCTATAAACTGGTCGATATTGAGATTTAATAAAAAAAAAAAAATCAGAAAATACTCTTTTGTTCACTTAATCTTTTCATTCCTAAATTTTTTCGTGATTTATAATCATTGATAAGTGTCATAAACTCGTTAACTCTTGTTAATTTTTAATAAAAGATTAATATATACAATCAAATAGTGTCATATGGATGTGAAATTATAATGAGAAATTTTTTTTAGGGGTGAATAACATCCTTTATATAATAAAACTATATGGTTTGGAAAATAATTAATGTTACAATTAATGTCACAACATTATTTATTAAAAAAAAAACACAACATTCAAAAAATAAAATAGCTATATATTATATAATCATATAAAAAATATACTTTTGAAAAATAAAATAGCTATATATTATATAATCATATAAAAAATGTGTTCAATTAGAGTTTAAATTTACACATACAAAATTTGAAATTTGCTTTCCAAATGTAATTATCTTAGTTATTATTTGTATTGTGAAAAAAAAAAAGCACAATATTTAAAAAATAAAATAGCTATATATTATATAATCATATGAAAAATATACTTTTGAAAAATAAAATAACTATATATTATATAATCATATAAAAAATATGTTCAATTAGAGCTTAAATTTACACATACAAAAATTTAAATTTGCTTTCCAAATGTAATTATCTTAGTTATTATTCGTATTGTGGAAATTATAATATAGATGAAATACAATTAAGAATAAATCAATGTAGTTATGTAAATTCTCTTTATAAATTTATTTGAATATGCACATAATTAGAGATTATATTAACCATACAAAAAATTATAATTATAATTTTAATTTTAATTTTAATTTTAATTGTAATTTTGTATTCTATAAAAATAATAAATACTTGACCAATGGAAGCTCAAAAATATTATTATAAATAATTTAAAATATTTTAATTTTTCTATTTTTTATTTATATTTATAATAACATAATTTTTTCACGGGTGAATTACTAGTTGCTATAATATAAAAAGAAAAGCAAACAAAAATTTAATTAATTTTTTTTGTGGTAAATTGCCTTTGAAAATATTTTTTTGAAAATTTAATTAATGAGAAAGTACTAAAAGGTCGCAAACAAAAAATCTACAGCCTTTACGTGTAACTTAATTAATTTTTATTATAAATTGCACTTAGACACATAATTGAATCACAACAACTATAATGCGAAGTGAAAATATCACCCTACGGGGGATTTCGTCTTTCGTAAATAATTTAAAGAGTTAATTCCATTTTTGGTCCTAGACTTATTGGGGTGTCGACAGTTTTCATCCTCCATAATAAAAATTGTCAATTTGTAGCCACACTTATTGGTCCTTGGACAATTTTAGTCCTCCGTCAATGAAGCCGTCTGTTGACCGTCTAAATGAGGGGTATTTCTGTCAATTCAACTTATTCTTTTAATCATATGCCTAAAAGACGTTGTTTTGTTGGTCGCTCACTGATGAAGAGGTTGAGAAGCGAGAGTGGAATCGATCACTGATGAAGAGGTTGAGAAGCGAGAGTGGAATCGAAGCAAAGGCAAAGACGACGACGCAACCATCTGTTCCTAGTCGTTCGATGGGCTGTTCAAATGAAATCGTCGGGACGCTCGTCCAAAAGGGTTTAGCGATGACCTCGAAGATCTCAGTGGCGATGAAGGCGGTAATCGATGATGACCTCGAAGATCTCAGCAGTTCGTAGACCCCAACAACCCAGATTGGATTGCGATCAGCCATATGTTTGTGATCGGTCAAAGAATCGTCCGATCGTGCGAATTGCAGTGCCTCTGGAATTTCTTAGGGCGGAGCTACAATCGGTGCTACGTCTAGAAGGGGAATTGCAGGTTGGATCTCTGAATCATAGAAGTGTTCTCTTGCGATTCTCTCTAGATTCTAGGCCTACTTTAGAAGGGGAATTGCAGGTTGGAGGGTTCGGCTGCAAAGTCAAGCAATGGTGGATGGAAAGCAATTTTTGGTTTGCGAAGTGGACACCAGGGGGGGGAGGCAACAGAGATTTGCGAAGTGCCCACGCCTTGCGCCTCTGTGCAGATATCTAAAAGAGAGGAAAGCGTTGCCGCCACCACCACATCTCCGTTGAGAGGAAATGAAGGGAAAACAGATTAATCAAAGAAATCCTAAGCAGATTAGCTCAACAAGTTGTCAAGTATTGTACTATTGTAAGTAGCTGTGAATCGATTGGGAATTTTAGAAGATTATATCCTCAAATTGTAAGGTATGAATTGATGAATTCTATCTCAAAATAAAGTCTGAAGAAGAAGACTGGTTGAAAGGACTAACAGGATGGCTTCGAAGCCGGCTAGGGGCTTGTGGAGGTGGAGGACAACGAGGTGGAGATCGGGCTCGGAGGAGTGGAAGGTGTCGTAGAGCCAGCGGCAGAGGTTGTTGTCGCCGGTGTTGGAGTCGGCTGGCGGAGGAAGTCGGAGATTTGGGTTGCGATCTCGGAGTCATGGAGGAGGGAGAATGCCGGCGTCTCGGAGGAGAGTGATGGCGCGGCGTAGGAGGCGATGGAGGCGAGGGCTTTGATGGCGGTGGGCTGCGATCTCGGAGTCTGCTGTAGTTTATTGTTTTTTCCGCTAAGCTAAAGGGATTCAGTTTATTAAGCAACACTGGTTTAGGCCATCTGGTTCTTGTTCTTGATTCTTGAAAAAATAGAGTGGTGTAGTTTATTGTTTCGCTTGAACACCAATTGATTCAGCAGATTGATCTTCTTATGAAAATGAAGGGTAAAACGAGCATTGACTAATACGATTAGAAGAAGAACACATAAAAAGACAGCTTTACCCTTCTATTTCACGGTCAACAGACGGCTTCATTGACGGAGGATTAAAATTGTCCAACGACCAATAAGTGTGGCTATAAATTGACAATTTTTATTATGGAGGATGAAAACTGTCGACACCCCAATAAGTCTAGGACCAAAAATGGAATTAACTCTAATTTAAAGTAGTTATATCATGGACCATGGTTCATCTTGCAAGGTGGACCCTGGTCTTAAATTGTGTACTTTTAGTATTGAAATTGTAAACATCTATAATATAAATTGTGTTTTTAAGTTTTGAGAATATGTAAATATAATACATGGTCATTACAAACTGTTAATTTATAAAAAAATAAATTGTGAATATTTAATATGCAAATTGTGTATTTTTATACCCGGTGCGCGACCTTATACGGTGGACACGGGTCCACAGAATAATTTGTCAAGAATTGCAGTCGTGGGCCCAGCTTTCTTCCAAGTTGGATGATACGTTACAACCGTACTTGCTGAACTCAACACAAAGAGCCTTTAGTCACCGTTGATGTCACACTGGGCGATGATCGAACGGCACAGATTGCCCGACCACAGAACCACGAATCATGACTGAGTATCAGGAAAACGGAGCAGATTACGAGTGCAGTATATGAGACCTCTGGAAACCCCTCTTTCATTTTTCTCTTTCGGAGCCTCATCGTCCACACAGTCTCGTGTGTCTCACTGAACGTCTCGTTGCCCTGCAGACTTCGCTTCTGGGGAGCTTCGATTCTTCGGTTGAGAAGGGTAACGACGAAAGATCATTGAATTCCAGCACCAGGTGCGTATCTTCGTTCCAGTCGCGTTCCTTCTCCGAATTAGAGAACCCTTGTGTCTGTGTTTTGTGTTTGGATGGTAAAGTTTGATTCTTTTTTGGGTTGGATTCTATGGAAGTTGAGTTGCCCCCGTTATGTTAGGACTTAGGACCCTGTCGGTTATTGGCCATGGAGATTCTGAGTTTTTGTATTACGAATTTGTATTTTTGTTTATGCTTTTGGTGAAAATACGCACTACTGTTTCGAATTTGAATCTTTCTCTACTTTGAAGCTAAAGTGACAGAAGAAAAGACTGCAACTTTAATTTTTTCTGATACTATGGGAGCAAGATATCCGCAATAAAGTTGCTACTGTTTGTTGTTTGATTGTAACCTATGATTATTTCTGCTCTCCAACTTCTTGTCTGTGCAAGTGCAACCCTAGTTTGGCTATTGGTGTATATCAGTATATGATAAGAACTGTGCCTGAAGTTATTCTGGTGTAAACATATATTCTTTCATTGTGATAGTAATTGTTTTATAGACAACTGCTGAAGTAAGTATAATTGTATAGTTATGAAGAAGCAATTCTTAGGAAGCTCCACAAACACTTTTTTCTTGGTACTTGTCTCAAATGTATAGATTTTATGGTAATTTGTTTCATGCTGAAACATTCATTAATCTTGAGATGAGAATCTCATCTTTTAAAATTCTTGTTTTTTTGATTGTCTATGAAGAGATTCTGGAGGTGTGTTTTTGAGAATTGAACTTCTTCACTTTTTTTTTTTTTTTTTTCCTATACCTGCAGTATATTAGTCTTATTGGATGGCAATCGTACCTTTTGGTAGTACATGGGTGGCTCGGTATGGACTTCAGCCTCAGCTTCTACCAAGGTCCTCCACTACAACTAACTTATCAACATCAGCACTTCGGTGAGCACTTTCACTAATTCCATTCTTGAACATGAAGTAGTGCATATTATTATGCTCTAGTGTGGTAGCTCTATGAAATCTTGAAATAGTCTGCACTAGATAAAATTTCCTACTTTGACCTCGTCTGGATTTTCTTATGCCTCCTTTATGCTTCACTCAAGTCCGATGATTCCTATTTACTTAAATGTTTCAAAGAAGAACCATTTGACATTTAAACTAATGAGCTTACCTATTGAGTGTAGGGTTTTCTGCTTATTATTATACTTTTAGCTTATTTTTAACTCATTCTGATTTTGTTGATGACATGTTTCATTTTGTGAGGGGATAATTCATGTGTTTGTGTTTATAGCCTGACTCCTTACTATATTTAAGCAGTTTGCCGAGTAAGATAAGAGCATTGGCATCACCAAGTTCAAGCCTTTTTTCTCAAGAATCTTTGCATGAGCTTTTCAATTCATTGTCATACAAGAATCCATGTCAAAGGAGAGGCACCCGATTCATCGTTAGGGCTGATAAGGTAAGATACAATAATGGATTTGCTTTTGTAAGTTATAGTTATCACTGCATAAAAATTTAGTCTATTTTATTTCAACTATAACTTATATATATATACAATTATACGTGTACTACATTTGGTTGACTATATTGCACTTTTGCAGGACTACTATTCTGTTCTTGGTGTATCCAAAAATGCCAGCAAACCAGATATTAAAAGTGGTAATTAAAAGCTTAACTATTTTCAGTCTCTTCTATGCTTTCTTTTAAATTTCCTATTACGTTTGCACTTCTTGAATGCATCATATAGTCACCTATGCTAGCAGCACTCTTGATTATAATTTGCTAGATCTATAGGATAATGAGCTATAAATCCCATCAAAATTTAGTTGGAAGGTAAATACTGAATAATTACCTTATGTGGGTAAAATCATCTCATGTATCCTATTTTGAGTCTTCTGATTCCTTTTTTAGTGCTTTAGTGAAGTGACACTTGACTATAATAAAACCTTCCCACTTGATAAGTTGTTTAGCGACTTAACCATTAGAGGTCAGGTCTTCTTCACGTGGGTAGATGTATGCACATGTTCAATTATGCATTTATGCAATGATCTAATTAAGAACGGTAACTTTGTACACACCGCTAGGAAAAGAAATTTCAATGTCATTTCCTAATATCTCTTTTTCATGTTCAGCTTATCGAAAGCTTGCAAGGAGCTACCATCCCGATGTAAACAAGTAAGTTGATACTTGAAGCTAATGGACTTATGCTTTTTTATGTGGCCTTTTGGACACTTTACTTCTTCATGAATAAGTTTCTTGCTAAATATTTGGTAAAAGTGGGAAGTGGGCAACATTTTTAAATTGTTATTAGTATTTTTGCATCCTCTCAAGTAGCATATATATAGAAAAAAGGGTTTATGACTATGTTTCACTTGAAACACTTATTATTTTCTTTGTTGATTAATAAGTTGCTAATTTGAGTTCTTCTCTCTCTCTTCCACAGAGAACCTGGAGCGGAACAGAAGTTCAAGGAGATAAGCAATGCTTATGAGGTAACATTCTTAATGGCTCTGAATCTCTGATGGTCATTGGTAATTTTGTTCTAGGCAAATGGAAGTTGTGTTCTAACTTCTAAGCAATTCTACCATAAATGGGAAACTTGTGCTACAGGTGTTGTCGGATGATGAGAAACGTTCAATTTATGACAGGTATGGGGAGGCTGGGCTAAAAGGTTCTGGCATTGGCACGGGGGTAAGGTTCTTGTGTTTTGGTAAAAGAGAGAATATATACACATTTGGTTCTAGCTTTTATATTCAGACGGAATAACGTCTTATTTCCTTGTTGACAGGATTTCAGCAACCCCTTTGATTTGTTTGACTCATTATTCGATAACCTGGGCGGTATGGGTGGCATGGGTATGGGGGGAAGGGGGTCAAGAAACCGAGCCATGGAAGGTGAAGATCAAGTGCATAACCTGGTTTTAAATTTTAAAGAAGCCGTGTTTGGGGTTGAGAAGGAGATTGAAATAAGTAGGCTTGAAGCCTGTAGCACCTGTGATGGATCGGGTGCAAAACCAGGCACTAAGGCATCGACGTGTAAAACTTGTGGTGGGCAAGGGCAAGTTGTGTCGTCCGCTAGGACCCCACTAGGCATCTTCCAGCAGGTGATGACGTGTTCTTCTTGTAATGGCACAGGGGAGATCTCTACGCCCTGCAACACTTGTAGCGGTGATGGCAGAGTAAGGAAGTCGAAACGGATAAGCCTGAAAGTTCCCCCCGGTGTAGATTCCGGTAGCCGCCTGAGGGTTCGCTCTGAAGGCAATGCAGGAAAGAGAGGTGGAGCCCCGGGGGATCTTTTCGTGATCATAGACGTTCTACCCGACCCTGTACTAAAAAGGGACGACACCAACATTCTCTACACTTGCAAGCTGTCTTATGTTGACGCTATTCTGGGCACAACAACAAAGGTTCCAACGGTCGATGGGGAGGTCGATCTAAAGGTTCCGGCTGGCACCCAACCAGGGACAACATTAGTAATGGCCAAAAAAGGCGTGCCTCTTCTGGGCAAACCCAACATGAGGGGTGACCAGCTGGTGCGCGTCCAAGTTGAGATCCCAAAACGGCTGAGTAGCGACGAGAGAAAGCTCGTAGAAGAACTTGCCAACTTGAGCAAGGGCAAAACTCCAACTAGTAGCAGGAGGTAGTAAATCGCCCTTCCAAAAGCTTTCACTCTCAACTTTCAAGAGCTTTGTGGAAAACATAGGGGTCGCGATTCTCAAATTTCGCTGTGATTTCTCAGTCTACATACAACTGCAACTAGTTGTAGTGAAATTTTGTCTTTGATTTTCATACTGTTACTAGATTTGGATGAAACTGTTGATTAGTTTGTTAATGTACTATTGACATTTAGCATTACATCTATGCTCTTGCTTTTTGGATCATATAATTATTTTATTTGATTTGAAATCCAACTGTAAAATAAGATTGATTACCCAAGTATTTCTGTGTTCTGTTTTTCCCTTTCATTTACTTTCCCAAGTTTTGTAGAGTAAAATTTTCCCATGCCTTGAAAAAGTTATACTGAGCAATCTTTGATTGCCAGTGAAACACATTTTGTGACCTGTTGCACCATCATCATTCTGTGTCTTATGATCCTAGTTGACATTTAGATTGAAAGTAAAAGCTTGAATGTGCGCTTTAAGTGCATGTTTTGTGACCTGATCTTAGCTAACAAAGGAGCATTTTGATCATTTTCACTCGACCTTGAATGTGAGTTGTGGGTGTGACTTTAGTCAACAAAGGAGCATTTTGACTATTTTCGCTCGACTTTGAATGTGCGCTATGAGTGCGACATTAGCCGGTAAAGGAGCAAACTTTGGGTGTATGTCTTGTGACCCGATCCTAAGTCAACAAAGGGGCACATTGGTCATCCCTACCCGACTCTGAATGATCACTTTGGATACATGCATTGTGACCTGACCTTGAAAGGCAAAAGAGCATAAGTTTAAAAAACTATGGGGTGAGAGAGGCTCAAACTCTCGACCTCAAGATAACTCAGAAGGTATGAGACCTACGCACTAGCCAACTACGCCACCACCCCTTGTTGTCACACAAACACTTCATTACTTATTCGTCCAGTAATTATCACAGACTTGCCTTGTATAAAACTTTTCATTCTGCATTTAGTACAAAGCTTATGCTTTGAACGAATTTCTTGAACAAAAAATACTTTATACTTAACGTGAATGAATACATCCATGGCACGAGTAACTTTTGAGAAGAGAGAAAATCAAAGTAGTTTGATTATTAATGAAATAGTTTACAATACACCTCTAGGGACATTGACTACTTTGAAGGTTATTTCTTCATCCCCATTCTTCTTGGGACATTTTATTAAGGCATTACAGCTAACATGATTACATGAAGACAACATAACAAAGTATTTTCTTTGTCAGCTAAGGTCACAAAGAGAGGTTTACCTAGTAAACACCCTCGGATAGTGACTACAGATTTTCCTTGTCACAAGAAAAGGTTAAACCAGTGAACATCAAGGTATTTGCTTCTGTAACATATACTGTTCATGGATCAAACGTTGAGCTCCTTTCACAAGCCTACTTATCACTTCACCGGCCGGCAGAATTTCCTTAATAAGACCAACACCCTGACCGGCATACATCGCCATGCTCTCGATATCACCGCTTGCTGTTGCATTTGGGACAGGCCCTGCAAAGCGGCGAATCTCCCTTTCCTGTTCAAGAACAAATGCAGAACGGATTAGTCAGGGCAAAGGGTTCTGTTTTCCGTTCTATTCATCCCCGGGAACAAAACCTGTCCTACAATTTGTTCAGAAGCCACCAACAATTTGAAGGAAAAAGTGTTCGTTTAAAGATTATAGGCTATTAAAGATTATAGGCTATTAAAGATTTAAAGTCTTCACCTTGGCGTGTATGGTTGAATGGCCAATGACAGGTTGGTTTGCCTCGTTCTCATGACTGGGAAGTGCCCTCCAGTTCAAGAAAAATGGCGTTTTTAAGGTGCGTTGTGGTGCCCCTGGCCACCTAGCACGACCAAATATATCGGTGTACTCTGTCTCATCGAGTTCAACCAACTTTCTCTTGTATGTTGGGTGCGCATTGCTTTCCTCGGTTGCAACAAACCTACAAGGATATCCAAACTTATATGCATTGCAGAGATTTGTAACATATCAAAAGTTCCAGGTTGACTGATTGTATGAGCTCAAGCAAGAACCATTTCATGTTAGGCCAAAGCAATAGTCATATTGATCGAGATGTTCCAAACCTTGTGCCCAGTGCGACGCCCTGAGCTCCAAGTGCAAGAGCAGCAACATAGCCACGCTCATCCACTATACCTCCAGCGGCTATGACCGGTATGCCACGAGAATGAACTAGATCAACTACTCTTGGCACGAGGGTCATTACAGCATCCTGAAAATAATACAAAAGTTGTGGAGACTCGTCACATTATAAACGAGGATGGTCCAAAATAATTACATTTTCAACACAGATTTTAGTTAAAAGTGAGCAGGACAACATTGTACCTGGCCAATAACGTGTCCTCCTGCTTCCCGACCTTGGACAATAATTGCATCCACACCAACATCGAAAGCTTTCTTTGCTTCTTCATAGCTCCCCACCTCAAAAAGTAGGGCACTTATAGTCCAGTTCTTAACATTATAACTTGATTAATATGTTTACCACTCGAGAAAGAACACTTACTTGGGGCACAACCTTGACCCCAGCTTTATGAGCCTCGAGAACTAGCTCCTTGGTGCATTCACCCCAGTAAAGCTGCAAAACAGCAACTTTCTCATCTAGTATAGCCTTAAGATTCTCCTTGTGAGGAAAAGCAAGAACTAAACCAATCCCAAATGGTTTGTCTGTCAAAGTTCTAGTCTTTCTTATGAGTTGTCTAATGTGATCAGGATCCTCCTGTTGCAAAAACAACATAATCAAACCACAAAACATTATGATTTATGAGTCTTTGAATGATGAGATAAAACAGAAATGTAATCAGTTCAAAAACTAAAAAGTTGAGATGATTTAAACAACACGAATGCAAGAATGCAAGAAAAAGATACTGCAATCTGAATCAAAGTAAACACTCAGAACACAAGCAATCCCAAGAGTCACATGATCAAACAAATGGATAATTCGATCAAACATTCCCACAAAAGAAAACTATTGGACATGCTAATCAGAACAAGGAACATGATTTTGGGGTTATTACACATAAGTTAAATAATTTGTTTAGATCAACAGAAGATGTTTTCAACTTTTCCAGAGAAAAGAGAGGAGTGAGGAGAAAGAGGTACTGACCCAATCAGGGGATCTAAGGAGACCAAGTCCGCCGGCATTCGCAACTGCGGCAACAAGCTCCGGGCCGGAGATATCAGGTCCCAATGGTGCCTGCACTATCCCATACTCAAAACCCAATATCCCTCTCCAACCCATCTCCCCTTTCCTTTATCCTTATTGAAGATTCTTCTTGTAAACTGTATTGAACACTTTAATTTGATTTGGTTTGAACTGGAACTTCCTGAGCATATATAGCTTGGTTGCCGCCACCTGGAGAAGAAAATTCAGTCTCATCTTCTGCTGAGCCGCCACCTGGAGAAGCAAATTCAGTCTCATCTTCTGCTGAGCCGCCGCCGTTAAAGAATAATTTTATACAGTATGAAGTAAGCCAATGCGTAATTTTTTTGTATGTCTCCATCTTTAATGCGCTGTCTATCTGTAAAAACAGGCCAATTCTACACTTCCAAACAAGGCATTTTGTTTAATTGCAGGGGAGGACGAGTGTGGGGAAGTGCCGTCCGGTGGCCGGCCCACCGCCGGAAAACGACCCGTTACCCTCCGCCTATTATTTGGGCTTATAATACCATTGTTAGATTGGGCCTGCATTTAACTCGTGGCCTAAAAGATTTGGGCCTCAAGATAAATAGCCCGTTTTGCAAAAGCCGAAATATGGTTCACCAAGTCCTAAACATTTTGAATTTAATTGATTAAAAATTAATATATAATCAAAAGTTAATAATACATACTAAAATAATTTAGATAGTTTAAATAATAATACATTTGTTTAACACAATAATAATTAATACAATATATATATATTATTTACATAAAATAAAAACTAGGCAAACCTCGATAGGCTGCTACTTTGGCAAGCCTCAAAAATCAAAATCCGCTTCATAATAAAGGCGAGGCGGGTTAGCCCTGCTTGACGACTTAACCCATTTTGATATGATAGCTCTACTTTTTCTTTAAGGCCACACCGAACTATTAGTTGCCATAATTACGTATTTAACTTGTAGGAAAATGCCTAATATGGGATAAACTGCATGTCTTTTTGGAGTTTTTTATCTTGCAAATATAAATTTTGCAGGAAAACAAAATTAAATTAAAGTTTTTACACTAATATGGGGTTTTTCTTTTTGGAGTTTTTTATCCTGCAAATATTTAAAAAAAAAAATTGTGGGCCCAGCTTTGCAGACAATCACGCGTAAACTGCACGTCTCATGCACTGCCGCGCCTAGCATGGAGCGTGGAGTGCACACACCAGTGAAATCTTCTTCTCTTTCTTTCTTTTTTTTTTTTTTTGTCAGAATTGTTTTTTTTTTTTTTATTTTTTCCTTATTTTCTCTCTCTCCTTGTATTGATATTCATCTAATACTCGAATCACTCTTTTTAAATCAAATAAACATAAAATATTTTATAAAAACAAATGGTGTATCTTGTGAAACTTGAAATGTGGTTAGGGGAGTAGGGGACGGTCGTTGTTGCCAATCATTCAATCGGCTCAATATTGTAATCAAATTTATTTCTATTACTGTTCATAAGCATGCATGCATGAGAGAAAATGTAATAATTTTACATTATATAATATCTAAGTCTGTCGCTATAAGTATCTCAATAACCCACATACATATCCATTCCATTGATTTGCCAGCCTAACACCTATAATTATTTTCCAAAATTATCAATTGATATACTTGAAAAGTCACCTCAACCTAATACGGAGCAATAATTATGGTTTAATAATAATAATAATAATAATAATAATAATAATAATAATAATACTTAAAATATGATTTTAGAGTTAACATATGAAATAAGAAATTACGATATAAGAATGTATTGATTATATTAATATATAGAAGATGAGCGAAAGATTAGTTAATTACAAGGATAACTTTCTGATTAGTGATATTATACAATAGTAAATGCAATGAATAGTAAGGAGCGGATGATGGAATGTGTTAGAGATGTGTTATTTAGGCTAAATTATTTGACTAGTCCTATGATGGTCAGTCTGCAGGCGTCAAGTTAGACTGTTAGAGCATTTCTAAGAGCATCTACATTTGTTGGGGAGAATAGGGGGATAATGTAAGAGTGATTAGGAAAGAGAAGATGGGAGGGGAGAGAAAAAAAAATTAAATTTAAAAAAAAAAAAATTCAGACTGTCAGGCGCGCCTGACGGGCGGTGCACGCGCCCGTCATGCACACTGGTGACTGTCACCAGTGGTGGCTTTTGTGGTGGGTCCCACCATTTCTGCATTATCTCTTCATTTGCAGACCAATTATTTCTCACATTATCTCTTCCCCACATTAGTTATTATCTTGGGTGGGGAGAATTCATTCTGAAATATCTCCCTATTATCTATAAATGTGGATGCTCATAGCAATGATTTTTTATTTTTTTGTGAGTTTTTAGGTGCAAATTAAAAGAAAGGGGATGAAAAAAAAAAAAGTAGAAAAAGAACCGGACGTGCCAATGGGCGCGTGCAGTGGCTAGGCGTGGTCTGTGCAGGCCACGCAGCCACGCACGCCATCCCATCATCTCCTTTCCATTTTCTCTTTCTTGGCGGCCGGCCTCACAAAAAAAAAAACCAAACTTGCAGGGAGAACCCAACTCTTCTCTCTTCCACATAAGTCATCTGATCTACTCCTCAAACTTGTGAAAAAATCACATATGGAGATACTCTTAGTCCCTTCTTGCTCAAATCTCTTGGTTATAGGCATCACAATCTGGTCGTCTAGTTGATTGTGACCCTTTAAAAATTGACTTCTTGGGCATATTTGTAGCCCGTTGATAAAGTTATGTCAAAATTGTCACCTCATCAGGACACAACCATTTATATATTCACCATTTACTACTGTCATATACTCTTAAGACACGTAAAAATGTCATATTCTGAAAATAACAAGTACATGTAAGCGTGTTCAACCATTTACATTTTACACAACTTTATAAAATATACCAAACCAATTTCATTATGAAAGTATTACATTTTTCCATCAAACATTAATGATCTTTATAATAATTCCAAAGTAATTAAGCAAGAAATTTCATTTCGATTGACGCATGAAAACCTTATCCCAACAACAATTCTGTCAATCAGAAGAACCGATCGAACCCAATCTTGTGCATGCTACTGTACGGCGTACATCACAGTTCTTGACTTTGGATGCACACCAGCTAACAAGAAGGCAATAATACTGTTCTGTCGTCTTCCATTCATATTGTCAATGATGTGGATTAGATGACTTGTACCTTCCACCAAATATATTATTGACACTATTCCAACCCAACCATTTCATCCAACTCAATTGTAAATCAGCTGCCTTTGCTTGTACGTTTGGTCGTTTTCATACCATTTTTTTTTTAATTATGCAAGATTATACATGTTTTATACTTTTAAACATTTGATAATAATGAGGAATGGCTCGGGTCACAAAATAGATTGGGCGGGAGTGGAGGTTGAAAGATTAATTTAGGTCTAGAGGATGATTAGAGTGAATAGGCCAGTTGTATGATGGGTTTAAATCTAGTTATGAACGTTTGAATTTGGGTCGGACTTATTGTATAATTGAGCGTTGAGTATTGAAATTAAATTAACTTAATTTACTTCCTTTGAGCATAGATGGGTTCATAAAGTTCATATAGAAATTGAAAATTTGATAATAACGAAATTAAAAAAAAAAAAAATTGAGGATTGACGAGACTTATACTGGAGTACGACCTGGTCTATTATAGGCGTCAACGTAAGCAGCATTAATGAAAGCGGTCCTACCGAATACCGACGTAGAGTTAGTCGTCGCAATTAACCTAAACTCACGAATACAAAAGGTCTTCAATCACCAGCATGCGGCAACCAGCTCAGAGCTCACTTCATATTTGCCTGCCCAATTATGAGTTTTTGAAATTTTCTATATACGATAAACTTGGTTGGTGTCTTCAAAAGTTTCTTCATATATATATATATATATATATATATATATATATATATATATATATATATATATATATATATATATATATATATATATATATATATATATATATATATATTCACTATCAATCAAAAAAATTGGAAAATGTTTGTAAATATTACTGACTATTAATTAATGTAATTAGTAATACCAACTATGAACACAAGTTGAAAAATTTTTGCCCCTATCACTTAGTGTGCTGACAGTAGGAACGTGGGATTAGTTTTCTGACTACCGGCCTTTGGATAAAAAAAAAAAAACATTTGGTATCATCCGAATACCTTTCAAGTCATGCTTGCAAAGTGCGGCTAATTAATTTAAATATAGTTTGAGCCACGCCGGTAAAATAAGACTAATTTGAATACAGTTTGAGTAACACATGTAAAGTATTGACTTTTTATTCGAAGAGAAACTTGGCCCAAATCTTATAGTTATGTTAAGCATGCCGGTAATAATATTTTTTGAATGATGAGGAAAATTCGAAATTATTATCGCTCGTGTATTGAGTAGTATGAGTGTGCTAGTGTGCTAGTCCACTTACTCTATCATCATCAGACGACCAGGACTCTATTACATTATAGCCTAATGAAGCAGTTGCACCTGACTCTATGTGCTTTCACTAAAGTTCGATTTCATGACCTCCTACATGGAAGGGGTCACTATCTATCATTTAAGCACAAGGTGTTTGGAAAAAAAAAAATTATAATCAAACTTAAATAAAGAATTTATGTTTTTGATGATGAAGCCCCTAATGACAACTGGAATTGGCCGTAGGTTTGAGTCGGCCAGCCAATGAACATTACTTTTCATTAACCTAACGTAACGTCATACGTTATACGATGCTACAATAGTTAATGTCAGCCGCAGGCGATGAGGTTGGCCGGATTATGATTTCACGAAACGTAAGGAGTTGTCACATTCACACGTGTATCTCATTCATGACTACTTCTTTTGGATATGATTGAAGCCAAAGCCTCAAAACCAAACACAGCATTGTACAAAAACTTTATAATGTCAAAAAAGCTAAGATTGTACGTGTCTGCTTTTATAATATTGAAGATCAGAGGTAAAACTTTTTAGAACTTTTCCATTTTGAATTGATTGTCAAAATTCTTTTGATCATTTGGCAGAGTAGTTGAATATTTCAATTATTAAAGTGGACATCAATAGGAGGACAAGGGATTATTGTATCGTCTTTACTATTATTTGAGTTATTCATTGTTAAAAATATTATTAGTCCTAATTAAATTAACATATCAACGACGGCTAAATCTCCGAAGGTTCAAAGATGCAGATTATTCTCCATCCATTATATTGGATAATTGAATTTGAAAGCTACATAATTACATATACAATAATTCATTCAAAAATTCTAATATTTCAAAATTTAATGCTTAGTCAGAAAAGTTGAAAAAAAAAAAAAAAATTAAAAGTTTTTGTCTTTTTTAGTGATTGGGAAAAATAATTAAAAATTGAGTAATTTTCCAACCGTGCATGGAGGATTTAATTTGGCAACAAGTAAACCAAAAGCTAGGGTGGCCCCAAAAATGTGGAAATGCAATTATGGTTGGTGTGGGCGTGAAAAAGATGTACGCACTGCATATTATATGCGATTCAATTCAATTGTGAATATAATTGAAGTGAAATGAACACACACGAGTCAAATGTGGCAGTCATAAAAAAAGGGACGTTTGGACGGGGTATATCTAGGAATGATATGGGCAACGAGGTGTTCTCAATATCATACAGGTTGTAAACTTTGAGATTGGATTTCGCCATTTCATGGTTTTGCCGGTTGCACGTCGTTCAATATACGTACGAGAATGAGGGGCACACATTTCTTGACAAAAAAAATGCTATAGGTTATTTGGTAAATGGTTGTTTGCTTATAACTGTTAACTGATTGTACGTGTTAATGAGTTTGATTGGTTGATAATATTAGCTAATTGTAGAGTATTTGATAAATTAATTGTTACCGGTTAGCTGATCTGATACATATAAAATGACTTTCTCAAAAAAAATTGATCAAAAAAGTTACTTTGAGTAGTTTTTTTCATTTTAACATTTTGAAACAATAAGTTAATTGTTACAGAAAGCTAATTAATCAAACACTCATATTGATCGTCAATCTAACTTTGTACCTGTTCCACTTTCTCATATTAATACCATTACCTGAGGTGTAATGGACAAATTTAGGGATAAACGTATTATAACCAGAACTATTTTTGCCTCAAATTATTGAAATAATAATATATATGAATTCATTCCCTCTACCCTTAGAGCTTATCCTCTAATTTAATTTGATTGTTCTCCCTCCATTATTGGATGTTGTTGTTGCTTGACAAGCTAGAATGAAATGAGAAATTGTAGGTGTAGAATATGATCTACGTAGGGTAGGTTAGTGAGAGGGGTTTGATTGAACACCCTAACCCACCCTCAAACCCCACAAATGATTGACACATTGTATGTGTTCATTACCCGTATATATCTATCACTCTTGCTTGTGTCATTTCTTGTGAACATTTTAAAAGTTTAAAGTTTGAAAAGTAAACACAAGAAAAAGGGGTTTCTTTTATGGAAAATGATGCAATGCATGAAACAAAGTTTTAGAAAGAGTAATACTATATATGAATTTTTAAAGTGACAAAATTTGTTCTATGTGATTTACTGATAATTTAATTATATACTTTTTTTTAGTAGTACTGACTATGTTACAATGTAATATATATTTATAATTACTTTCTCAACTTACTGAAATACAAAGAGTCAATATCATCCCACTGATGCTCAAAATCATAACCTCTCATTTAATTATATCTGATAACCAGTAAATCAAATTAAATTTTATCGAGTATTTTTCATTTTGAATACTTTTCAAGTGAGGATTGTATGTTTCTTTTGTCATTAAAAAAAAAAAAAAAAAAAAAAAAAAAACAAACAAACAAACAAACAAAACCAAAAATACATAACAATTCCTACCACAGAAGATCAATAAGGCGTGCAATTGGTTGCTTCATTTGGACAAGTGGACTGTATCCCTCTAATTTCTAAACATAATTAAAGATAGACTTTAATCTAAATAAATACAATTAGATATCTTAATTGCGTACAACTGTTTCCCACCCTTAAGCCTATATATGTCACAATATAGACCCCATGTAGGGTCCCAACTCTTTATATGCAGTACGAATATAATCACATTTTTAATGTACATTAAATGGGTAAGTACTGACTAATGACCCTTATCCTTATTCAGTTCATTACCTTAATTGATTCCAGCCCCACCTACCAAAGAATAAAGAAAAAATAGCAAATATTTAATTCTTTCAAAATCCCCCAAAACCTAACAAATAAGTTCTATTTTATAAGTATATATAAATATTTTTATGTAATATTCAAGTAGATAAATGTTTAATTGAGATATGTAACATATTTAATATTTGCTGTTTTTTTTTTAAATAAATGAAAAGACCAATACTTAATTAACTCAATACCATTGGCTATTCACTTATTTTCACACCGGATTTGGTAAGGATTATTTAATGGATTTTTCACAGTTTCTCTTATTATTGGGAAGATGTAAATCACGGTAATTTAACTCAATGGCTTAGCAGACAGGGCCAAATGGTGAGGTTTAAACATTGGTCTCTTCTCCCAAATACTGTTTACTGAATCAGTAAGCTAAGTCCGTACAGACTAATTTTATTTATTTTAGGACATACTATTTGTTGTATTTTGTTATTATTGAGATATTGCATGCGAATTATAATTCAATTATTGTAATTATATTGTCTGAAAAGAAAAACAAATTATTGATTGAAATACAACTATACAATAGTTCCATGTATTTTCAAAAAAAAAAAAAAAATACAATAGTTCCATGTAGATGTTCCTTTCGGCCAAAACATGCCGACACCAACAGTGGTACGGTAGCATTTCGACATAAAGGTGTTCAAAAAGATATACTAGAAAGAAAATGGGACATTTTGTTTTTGGCATTATTGATTTTGAGTCAATTAGTTATATGATTATAAATAACTTAGATTGATTTATCTGTTTGTGGTCATTTGCTGATTTGCATCATATTATCTTATCAATCAAAACTAATTGGGTGTTATGAACATTGTTATAAAACCATTTTTGAGAAATATGTAACTGTTGAAATGTCTCATAATTTGCTTCATTAACCACTCTACCAGAACTCCAAAACAGGATCAACAAAAGATTTGAAAATTAGATGCAATCATTTTCTGAGACTCTATGTAATAGTTTTTGACAAAATTGGCAGACATTAGGCCAAGTTGTACTTTTACTACGGAGTACTATTTGGTCTAGTGAAATTTTTTACCTATTCCAATCTACTATGATGTCATGCCAAGAAAATGTTTGTATTATTGTCAACTTTTAAAGAAATTGATATTGTGTTCTCTAGATTAGACGTTGTGCTTCTTAAGTTAAAGTATGGAGATGAATCTTTTGTGCGCAGGTCAATGTTAAAGATTGATAGGGAGGCTGCTTAAGATACTCATGATGTATTTCTTCTAGCAACTCTTGTTATTAGGAATTTTGGGGGCTTATGATTACTCTATCATAAACTAAAAATCTATATCTATATATATATATATATATATATATATATATATATATATATATATATATATATATATATATATATATTGGATAGCCAAGTAAGGGCATACTCAATTGTGTAATTTTTAACACAAATTTTTAGGTGCCTACTAGAAGAGAGAACATGAAAAAGAAAAGAAAAAAAAAAAAAAAAAAAGAAATCAAAGCGTCCCTGAGTGGGCGCTCATTGTGCGCCTAACACACAATATTCAGGTTTGCTTTGTTTCCTGGTGGGGCCCACCATGCCTGCAAAAATCAAGTATTTGCTAGAGGATCTTGAACCATCTCTCTCCTTCCTCTCTCTCATCCACATATGCAATGTTGTCTCAATAAGCACACCAAGAACCTTAGAAAAAAAAAAAAAACAAAAACAAAAAAACTACTGGTGATGCCTTAAGCTTATCTTCTGATTTTGTGATTTTCCCCCTTTTTTCAAAGATGAAGAAAATCACAATTAGTATCCAAGAGTGTACAATAGTAAATCTTGTTCTTATGTAATAATCTATAAACCATACAAGTTAAGTAAATTGCACTAGAAATACCCTATATAACAGACTTGATTATAAAAATATTGATTTAGACTAAACTCGTGACCAATAATACAACCAGTCTTCCCCTTTGACAGTTCACGTACTAATGGCACAATACCCCATGCCCAGTCTTAGAGCCACCCCATTAAGGGTTCTTTGGTGTTTGTTTTTTGTTTTTTTGTTTTGTTTTTTTTTTTTTTTTTTGCAATCAAAAAAATCAAGGGATGAGTTTTAACAAATGAGAGGTAGATTTTTTATTTTTTTCGAGTTCTTTCTCCTGCAAAACAAAAATTTTTGTGGGATTTACTGGATGAGAAAAGAAAATAAAGTAGCAATGCACTCTTCGCGTGTGAGAGACTAATACACCCAACAATGCACACGCCCGCTAAGCCCGTAAAGGACTGTTTAAAAAAAAAAAACAAAACAAAAAACAAAAACAAAAAACAAAAAGTTACTGTTTTTTCTCCTTTTTTTTTTCTCTTTCTCTCTTCCCTTCTTTCTCCTATATATATGTGCAGAGGGACTTTCCCTATTACTCCAGCGGGCACAGAATAATGGTTTGATTCATGACTGTAGAGTGGCGCGAGGAGCACCCCCGATTTCTCATTTATTCTTTGCTGATGACAGTCTCTTATTTTTTAAAGCTAATCAGTATGAGGCAGGTGAAATTAAAAATTGTTTGGCCAGGTATGAAACTCTCTCAGGACAGATGGTTAATTACCATAAATCTAGTATTTGTTATAGTAAGAATACTGGCAGTGGGGACAAGGAAATGGTGGCGCGGATCCTGGGAGTTACCCAAGCTCCAAATTTTGGGAAGTATCTTGGTTTACCGGCATTTATTGGACGAAATAAAAAGGCAGCTTTTGCATATATTGAGGATAAGATCAAACAAAGAATTGGCTCGTGGAACAAGAAACTATTAACGCAGGCAGGTAAGGAAATATTATTGAAAAGTGTAGCTCAGGCAATGCCTACCTTTTCAATGAGTGTGTTTCTACTGCCGGTGTCTGTCTGTGCAGCTATTGAGCGAACAATGAACCGATATTGGTGGGGAACAGGAACTAACCGGGGCATTCATTGGAAGGCATGGGATAGATTGTGTATACCCAAGGAATATGGTGGTCTTGGTTTTAAGGATCTAAAGGCATTTAATTTGGCTATGTTGGGAAAGCAAGCTTGGCTTTTTCTAACAAACACTGACTCATTGGTATCTCGGGTATATAAAGCTAGATATTACCCTAAACAAGCTTTTTCAGAGGCAGGTATAGGGAATAATCCTAGCTACTGTTGGAGGAGCATTATGGCTGCAAAAGAATTAATTACCGGTGGTGTGCGAAGGCGGATTGGGAATGGTGAATCAACCCTAATATGGAAGGATCCTTGGCTACAGGATGAATTGGATCCTATGGTCCATACTGAGATGCATGTACAATTGGCAGATGCTAAAGTTGCAGGATTGATTGACCAAACAACTGGAATGTGGGATCCTCACATTTTAACTGATATTTTCCAACCAAGTGATGTACCTAGAATCTTAAAGATCCCTATTGCCCCGGAATATGAGGATACATGGTACTGGTATGGGGATCCAAATGGATGCTATTCAGTAAAGAGTGGATACAGGCATATAGTGGGTACCTATAATGCTGGTATGGGATTTGATAAATGGAAAACTCTATGGCACCTCAAAATACCACCCAAATGGAAAATGTTTCTATGGAGAGCAATAAGCAATATATTACCCACTACTACTAATTTGCTTATAAAGAGGGTGGAAATTGATCCGACATGCGCCATGTGTGGATTAGAACATGAAGATATAATGCATTTGTTAGTGTTGTGTGACTATGCAAAAGCCATATGGACCCAATCTAACCTTCCAATCCCCCAAATTGTGACAAACGTTTTTTATGATTGGTTTGGAACATTATTAAATGTTATAGATTCTGATGCAATATTGTTTGCAGCTGCAATTTTATACAATATTTGGAGGGCCCGGAACGATGCTGTGTGGAATGCTTGCTTACCAAGACCGAAGAATGTTGTAGCCACGGCCTTAGCAACCGTGAAGGCGTGGCACAACCTACGAGTGACTACCCGAACGATGCATGTGGCTGCCAGCTTAAATGCCGCCATACCCACTACACCGGCCCAGCAGATCACACTGCCCAATCCCGCCATTTTATCCCAGCAGCGGCACCAACTCAACATGGCGCAAGCTCCTGCCGTGGACCACCCACCACAACCAAGACAATGTTATTTCGACGCCGGCTACCAACCGTCGTCCATGACGGCCACTGTTGGAGCGGTCTTATTTACCCACACTGGCAACTATATATCAGCATTTTGTGCACCCCCGCAGAATTGTTTTTCACCGCTTATGGCCGAGGCTCTGGCATGCAAGGAAGTGTTATCGTGGCTCAAAGACAGAGGTGAACAGTCGGTAAACCTCTACACGGATTGTCAGACACTACTCACATATTTGACATCAACTACTATTCAGATAAGATCCTATCTTGGTTACGTACTGGATGACTGCAGGACGCATTTAAATATGTTAGATTATTGTTCGGTTAATTTTATTTCTAGATCGCATAATACTTTAGCTCATACTTTAGCAGCAACTGCTTTTAATTATACGCTACCAATGTACTGGGACAATGTCCCTCCTGACTCTATTATGATTCATCTATAAATACAATCCAATGGTTGACTTTCAAAAAAAACAAAAAAATCCACAAGGTTGCTCTTACAAAGTACGGCTATTTTTTGACATGGTTTGTACGCGTGTCACGCCAAGTGGCCTTTCGGTCGTCGGTTTGGCTTTTCCAAACGTCGCTTAGCTTGCCATTAAAGCATTAACACAATTATGCCCCCTACATTGCACACGGATTTGAGTCATTTGACCTTGTTCAATGTATATGGGCTTCCGTGGTTTGAATGATTTTAAAGTGTACACTAAATTTTGTAACAAATCCTAATTAATACTTCATATTTAAGTGTTATAAGTAAGGGTGTAGTGTAAATTTTGGTTCAAACAAAATATAAATTGTTTCATTGGTTGGTGACAGACTTTTTTTTTTTTTTTGTTCCCTACTTATCTCAGCTTCGCAGGATTAATCCTAAGCTTACAGGATCTCGCCCTAGAGACACTATAAAGATAAATCACGAGTCGCACAATTCGATCAGATCCTAGTCTTCATGCGTGCACAATCCACATCTTCCATTATTCTGAACATTTTTCCTATGAGATTCGAACCCACACAATTATCTTCAATCGTGACACCAAGTTAAGCAACTGATTTTTATTTTTTTTTAATAATTTGGTTAATGGTTGCATTTTAAAAAGTTTTTCATTATCGTTTAATTTGATTCTAAAATACCGTTAAACATAATTAATCAAAGTATTAATTGAATTATACAAATTTAGGCAGCTTTTTAAAAATTTATATACATAATTAACCAAAGTATTAATGTTTGCATGCGTTCACCCCTTGCGGGTATCTCATCAGCTATTTTCTTCCCAAATATTGAAACCTCAACTCCAAGGGCCCCACGCCCTGGCCCAATAAAATATAGGGATAAAGTACAAATAAGCCACTGAATTATTTGGAAAACAGCAATTAAGCCATCGAACTCAAATAACCCTCAAATAAGTCATTGAACCCTGAAAAAAAGAGCAATTAACATTTTTTACAGGTTAACTCCAGGTTTTTGCTGATTGGATTGCCAAATGTTTATTTTATTTACGTTTATTATTATTATTTTTATTAATATTATCCACTTGGATAGTATTATATTTTAAAGTAATTATAATCAAAATAGTTTTGTCTTGTCGAGATTTGATTTATTTATTATTATTATTTTTTCACTGGATCTTTTGTTTAAAAATAATAATAAATAAATAAATTAGATCTAGACAAAACAAAACTACTTTGATTATAATTACTTTAAAATATATTACTATGTAGCTGGATTATAATAATAAAAAAAAAACGTAAATAAAATAAACATTTGACAATTCAATCAGCAAAAACCTGGAGTTAACATATTAAAAATGATAATTGCTCTTTTTTTCCGGGTTCAATGGCTTATTTGGGGGTTATTTGAGTTCGATGGCTTAATTGCTTTTTCCCAAATAGTACAGTGGCTTATTTGTACTTTATTCCTAAAATATATGGGAGGATGTAAATCATGGTAACTCAGCTGAACCGCAGGGACTAGGCCTTTGGTTACTGCGCACAAGGAGCCCTGCTCACTTTGAGAAGTTGCTCCCACACACTAATGAATGAGACTCGATCCATGGTCATTCTTCCTAAATTTCACCCTATGATCAACTGAGTTGTCCACACGGACTCTAATAAGCTATTTTCTTCTCACAATTAGAAGTCAAAAGTGCTATTTTGGCAATACAAATGGTAGGCATGATTTGGGAGGCCATACTTATTACATGCAAATATGCAATCATGAATATTGTTTTAGGTAGGCTACAATAATATATGGCTAGAAGTTTCCCAGTCTCCCAAACCCGGCCTTACTCCACACGTGATGCACCACTTTTCCGCCCTTTGAATTAAAGTCCGCCACCGGACAAAACACACAGGGCCACCACCGCCCCCAACGGAGAATAATCATGCATTTGACGAACTAGATGTCGGAAATCTTGAAGAGTACACTAAAATATATGAATTTGGTACAATAAAGGGAAACCCATATCCAATAAACTTCTTTTATTTCATGCACGATTGCCTTGCCTTCTAACACATTATTGCAACAAGCTATATATGTGTAATATTACATGTTTTTGTGTTATATTGTAAATTCAGCCGCCTGAGACAGTTGATAAGCAAACTATTAATATAATTATAAAGTCATAAACTTAATCAAATTAATCAAATTGTTAACTTTACAATTACAAGTTTTAAAGTTTGATTATCCATACACATCATTAATAGTGGCAAAAAAAAAAAAAAAAAAAAAAAAAACCTTATTTGTATCATAATTTTTCTTGATGGTATGATGAAACCAATGAATTGAAGAAGTCGTCCACCGTCCAACCATTTCTGACTGCGCACTCTCGGCAGTGGAATAAACAAATAAATCCATTTCCCTTTTCGTTTTCTTTAGCACCTCACACTCAAAAAGTAAAACAAAAAAAAAAAAGATTAAATAAATAAATAAAAGTTCACCAACCTCGAGCAATATATTTTGTTATTTAATTTCGGAATATTTTTTTTCGTAAATTTAAGTAAATAATAATTTAATGATGCAGTGTCATAAATCCACTTAATAAAGAAAAACAAGATTGCAGGATTCTAAGAGTGGCTTACGGTTCACGAGAGCAGTGGGTCGGTTTGAAGAATAAACAAGGTGGCCGGTTGGGGGGGAGTCCACCACTATAAGCTTAACTTTTAATCATTTGGTTAAGGATAATGTGTGAAACGTACTACAACAATATTAATTTAATCAAGGATGAGTGGAAGCACTATAAATAATTTTAATGAGATAAATCCTTTAATTTGATTTACAATATAGCTACGGTTAGTTTCTAGACTTTTGAAAGTTTATCGGTACGTGCAACACAACTGGAAAAGTTGGTAAATCACCGAGAAATAGAATATGAAAGATAGATAGAAAAAGAATCGACACGATGATTTTTACGTAGAAATCGAAAGGTAAAAATCACGGACTTTTGGGCAGTGATAAGTCTAAAAATTCACTATTTTGTAGGATATCCTTGTACATGTTATATTGCTTTTTCATATATAGAGATAGAGAGCCTTTGTGAGAGAAAATGGAGAGAGCCCTTTTGCGTGAAGATGAATGAATATGGAGTCTTCTTGCATGAAAGAGTGGTATGGAAGAGTGAAGCCTTCTAGTATGAGGAAGAATAATACTTTGTCCCCCTTCCTTGTGCTCCTCCCCTCTTTTATAGTAGTAAGATTAGAAGTATTCGTTAGGTGAGTAATTAGTAGGGAAGTATGGATGGTTTTAATAGGATTTAAAATGGGGTAGGAATTTGGTGGTTTATGGGTTGTAATGGGATTGGAGGTTATGTATAATATAAGTTAGTAAATATGTAATTAATTGGATAGCTAATGGGTTTTGGATATTTAATAGGCAATGAAGGTGTAATAGTGGGGTAGTAAATGGGGTATTTATGTGGGGGTTAGGGGTGTTAGGTATTTTAGGTTAGGGAGTCAAGAATTGATCGGTTAGTTGGGTCACGTCTCGGTTTGTTGTTAGGCGGTTCGATCCGGTTCTCATATTCGTATCCATCAGCTACATTTGTTATTCAGTGCATTATGTGTGAACCTCGCCTTATGATTGTAGTTGACTGACTCAAACCATATATAATCTATAATTGACTGACTCAAACTAAGAAAGTCAATCAATAGATAGCTCAGCTCTCACGAACAGTCTAACTTGAAACCTTATGGATATTTTATACCATATTGGATATTTAACACAAATTATTGTTAATCATTAATGTCGAACATGTAAAGCAATTATAAACTAGACAGTAATAAGTGTTATATTTAATGAAGTTTCTTTCTCTCAAAAAAGTGTTATATTTAATATGAGCAACATATTTGAGGACTGATCATTAAAAAAAAAAAAAAGTATTAAACACCAATTATTTAACCTTCCTCAACCTTATCCAATAGTGATTTCTTTTCCAGAAAACTTAGGAGATATGAGATATCTCTGCTCTGTACTTAGGAAATGATAAAATAAAATAAATAAATAAGTAAACAAAAGACTTATTATTAGATGCACGCAAGTCAAAACTGAGGGTCGAACTACCCCGGTCAGAGCGTCCCCCATTTGAGTAGACCGCCACGTCAGCGGTGGCATCCAGCCTGGCACCAAATTATACTATTCCACGTAGACGCCCTGATGCTGACGTCTCCCTCTTCCCCCCTATAAAACCCTACTCTCTGCTCAAAATTTTTCAACAGTTCAAACCTCATCTTCAATTCCTTCTTCTTCACTCTTCTCCCTGCGAGCTTTCACCATGGCTGCTGCTAATTACGCTTCTGCCCCTCTTCTCCTCCTCCTCTGTCTCTTCAGCGCCGGTTTCAGGGCTTCCTCCGCCGCTCTGGTTAAGGAGCAACCGCTCGTGTTGAAATACCATAACGGTACCCTTCTTAAGGGCACCGTCACCGTTAATATTGTCTGGTACGGGAAATTTACTCCGGCCCAGCGCTCCATAATCGTTGATTTTCTTCAGTCGCTTAATTCCCTGAAATCTCCGGCGCCGTCCGCCGCGGGCTGGTGGAAGATCACCGGGAAGTTCAAGGGCGGTGGCTCCTCCACCGTTGTTGTCGGGAAACAGATCCTAATTGAGAACTATCCTCTCGGGAAGTCTCTTAAGAACTACCAGCTTGCTTACTTGGCTTCCAAGGGTGGAAGCTTGGCCGGCGGCGTTAACCTCGTGCTGACGGCGAAGGACGTTTTCGTGGACGGGTTCTGTATGAGCCGGTGCGGGACTCACGGGTCGACTCGGGGGAAGACTCGCTCCGCTTACGCCTGGGTCGGTAACTCGGAGACCCAGTGCCCCGGCTACTGCGCCTGGCCGTTCCACCAGCCGATTTACGGCCCGCAAACGCCGCCGCTTGTCGCGCCCAACGCCGACGTCGGAGTCGACGGTATGATCATCAACATCGCCACCGTTCTGGCGGGAGCCGTCACCAACCCCTTCAACAACGGCTACTTCCAGGGCCCCGCCACCGCGCCGCTGGAGGCCGTCTCCGCCTGCACGGGGATATTCGGGTCCGGGTCTTACCCAGGTTACCCGGGTCAGCTCCTCGTCGATAAGGCCACCGGCGCCAGCTTCAACGCGTACGGCCTGAACGGGCGCAAGTTCTTGATTCCGGCCATGTGGGACCCCCAAATATCTGCCTGCGCGCCGCTCGTCTGATGATATGGACAATCGGTGTCGGAATCACCTGTGAGCGTGTCTACGGTCTATACTTCTATGGATGCAAAAAGAGATTTTAGTTTAACATCTTGGTTTATGGTTGTGTATTTCGGTATATCTATGTATATTCTCTTTTTTTTTCCCACGAAAAGAAAAATGTGAAAATATTTCAAAATTGTGAAAAAAAAAATGCAGTTGTAATAGAGAAAAATATTTACGGAATATGAATTATGATATAATAGTTTTTTAGTTTTTAGTTTGCTTATATACGATCTTCTCAAATTAAAAAATTAATAAACAATTTTTATCATAAGTTGATTTTGAAATCTTATACTCCGTAATTATTAAATTAATTGACGGGAGTTCGATCTCCTTTTGTATGAAAAGATCAGTCTGAACAGCACTTAGTTTTTTAATTAGGTCGATTTGGTATGAATATGAATTAGTCTGAGTATGATACGAATTTAAAAGTACTTTCTTATAGTTAGGACTTACACAGGACATCTTCTAGTCCGAAAAAAAAAGGAAAATTATCTTATCAAATTGATTGAAGCGATCTAAAATTTATACCTCTTTTTAGCGGCTAGCAAAGCAAAGATGAAAGTTTTTGGATGTTTTGTCGTATAGTGAATGTTGGACCAAAGGTGGTATGATGGATTGTGTATAGTTTTTTAACTTTGTCATTATCACCAGAATTTTAATTTTAAAATTTAGTAACTTTATTATTAGGTAACGAATTTAAAAAAAATAATCACTATTTAAAAATGTGATTTTTTTGTTGATTTCGAGGTGGTGAGGTCACGAGAGAATAGATACCCATAGGCCGTATCGAATATTGTAATGGCCATACTTGAAAACGGGCACTAAGAATTCATAAAAGGGTTGCGTCGGGGCCCCACAAAATTAGAGATATTATATGATGGTTTCACACGCAATTGTTTAATACGGTGTATTTAATCCAACAAATATAATAGGGTGTAATATTATTTTGGAATAAGGGTCAAATAGGCCACTGAATTGCACACAATAATGCAATTAGGTCACTAAATCTAAAAAACTTACAATTGGGTCCCTAAACTACCCTAAACTAACCAATTTCATTCAATTTGTCCATTTCTCTGATTTCTCAAGTTGCTAACAGGTTACCCCTCCACCTAGGATGCATATGTGACATTTAAAAAATTTTATTTTTAATTTTTTTTTTGAACACCTTAAATTAGTTTTTTTTAATGTTTAATAAATAAAAACTAAAATAATTTTTTTTTTTTGAAAATAAAATCCAAGCCCTATACGACTTAACAAATTATTTTAATTTCCAAAAAAAATATTTTAATTTTATTTATTAAACATTAAAAAAATTGATTTAAAAATAAATTATTTTAGTTTTTATTTATTAAATATTAAAAAAACTAATTAAAAAATAAATTATTTTTAAAAAAAAAATGCCACATATGCATATCAGGTCGGAAAAGATTGGACTGAACTTTATTCGCATAGTGGCCCGTTACTGACCACCATTTACACACGATTATCGAGAAATAATCCCCATCAAAAATGATAATGAAATTATTCGCACGAACTTAGTTCATTGCTTCCATATGTAGTATGTGGAAGAAGAGACCAAATTTCAAACCTCGACAACAATAGTATGGACCCTGTCTATTGAGCCACCAAGTGATTTACATCCTAGAACATTCCAGATAAAGATGAGTGTATATATGCATTATGTGTATATTCACAGTGTCAACTCTGAATTCAAGCTGCAATTTGTCATCAATTTACACAAGAACAACAACAAATTAAGCCTCTTTTAATTCTTGGTTTTGCATTTTCACCAATCTTGATGACACCAAAGAACAAAACCCTGTAAAGAATCACCATTCCCAGCAAGACGGCAAGATCAACCCACTTAGAATACCCAGTTTCAACCTCCCATACATTCTTCAAGATCGTCCCGCCATCAATGGCGGGTGCAGAGTCACCGGACTGAAACACCATCCCTTCAAACTCGTTCTTGTACAGTCCCTGGAACGCATATTTGTGGAAAGCTATGTAGTACAGTGGGTATTTCCAGAACAGCTTGGGAAGATCATCGGGAAGTTGAAAAAATCCGCCGCTTAACATCATCAGTCCCTGAATTCCGGCGCCGACCACCAGTCCCATAAGAAAATTTGGGACCATGCTCGCCACCATCATCATCAGACTCTCCACCAACATCATGCAACAGAGTAGTACTGATGTGAAATACAGGAATTTTGTCAGTCCTGGTTGCAGGCCGGCGAGGTAGTAAGCAATGGCGCCTGGGATCACTGATATGAGGAGCAGGAATGGGATTGATGAAATGGCGTTGCCTATCACGAATGCCGCAACCCCATAATGTCCGTTTAATCTTTCTCGCCGGAAAATCTGGGGAAAAAGAAGCTGCACTGATTATATGCAACACTCCCCTCACGTGTCATGATTATATGCTCAACAATCCCCTCACGTGTGCGGTGGGTTTCAAGCAACACGTGGACCGTAGTCGCTTATCAGGTGACATTGAAGCATGTACTTATCTCAATTAAAAGTCTAAACTGATAGTTGGATTGCAGATTAATGATTATATGCTCAACATGAAGGATGTGTGATTCAGAGATTGTAGCCTGACCTTCATGTCCTCTACAAATGAAGGGAAACCGCCAATTGCCATGATCGTTAGCAGCGAAGTTACAAACATCAGCATTGATCCTCTAGCCTGCATGTGCATGAAGAAGATTGAAAACGAAAACGAAAACGAAACTCTCATTATCAATTGAGACAGAATGCATCATTCAAACTTACATGAATCGAATTGTAGGTGCTTCCGATGTCAAAGAACACAGTTCCCAGACCCATCCCGAGCCCTATGTAGATTGCAAATCGCAACCAGTAGTAGCCTAAATCGCGGTACATGTTCACAGATGATCTTCTGGAGAGGACAATGCATTCTGTAAAAAAGCTAGATTGGCTGCTCTGCTTCTCCATTAAGCCATTTTCCTGCACGGAAGTTTCATATTTGCAGATCATAATCTGGGTATTTAACCTGTAATGATGAACATCATTCCCTTTAACTTCACTCAAAGATTACCTCTTTGCTCATCTCACCCACTTGTTTCTGCACTTGCTTATAAGTAGCAGATGAGTTGTATGATTTCACAAGCTCATCAATCACTTCCTCACCTGTCATCTTTCCACCACCACCCTGCTCTATATCCTACACATTTCATTCACACCTATTACAACCCTGCCACAAAAGGCGAAATTCCTTACCTCAATGGCCCCACACGTTGGCCTGACAAGATCGTAGATGGATAAACAGTGTCTGATACTCACAAGGAGCCACCCCGAAAGGGCAAAACTCCAGCACTCTGACTGCTAAGACTCAATTTTGCGTCTTTACCCACAATCAGCCACCCAAAAATCATTCCAGCTACCCGTGTGGGCAAAGGGATAAATCACAACCTGGTACTATACAACATTCAAGAAAAGGGAAAATGACATTTTTTCAGTTCCCAAATTATGGAAAAATAGTTGGTAGTCCTTCAATTATCATCTCTGTGGCTCCCAAGAAATTGATTTGCTCCTCAAGGGCTTAAATTGATTCGGTTCTATCATCAAGAGACTATATCTGCCATGTGCCACCAGGTTGATAATTGAAAGACTACATGTGAAACCCCCATAATTAGAAATTTGAGTCAACAGTTCTCCATAATTAGGAGAGACTAAAAGTGTCATTTTTCCTTCTGTATTTATGATTCGAAGATGGGAAATAGTTGACTAAAACATTGTTTACCTCATAGTCATCAAAATCTGTATTTATGATTCTAAGGTAGTGATCAGCAGGATTCTGGAAAGTTGGGCATTCAAGACCATTCACCCTAAAAAACTAAATTCCATTACAGATAATTAGCTAGAGCAGTGGATATTCAAGAACTAGCTAACTTCTAGCATGGAATCCTCAAACTCTCACCTGTCTAGCTGCAAAAGAGGGCCCAAAGTAGACTGTTCTACCAAGGGAAAGAAGGCAGAGGTTGTTAAGAAGCTTGAAAACTTCACTGGTTGGCTGATGCAAAGATGCCACAACTGTCATCCCATGTTGTCTTGTGAATCTCATGATTCTGCTCATTACATGGTACGATGCTGCACTGTCAAGCCCGCTTGTTGGCTCATCAAGAAAAAGAATCTTGGGTCGCATCAGGATCTCTGTGCAGATGCTCACTCTTCGTTTCTGCCCACCACTCAGACTCCCGATTCTCTTGTCCATGGAATCTTGCAGCCCCATCTCCTTTATCATCTTCTCAGCTGTTTCTTTCCTCTGAGTTTTCGGAACTGTGTTTGGCAGCTGCAGCTGTGCTGAATAGTACAATGCTTCTCTCACAGTCAAAGTCCATATCAAGACATCATCTTGAGTAACATAGGCCTAACCAAACACCAAACAAGGATCAAACATCAAACATCATAGTATAGTATTCGTTGCGAGCTAACTCATGAACGTAGGTTTGACTCGAAGCAAAATATGTGCAATATAAGGAATAACATTGGCCTAACCAAACACCAAACAAGCATCAAACATCATAGTATAGTATTTGCTGCTAAAAAACGAACAAAAATCCTAACTATACTACCAGAGCTAGCTCGTGAGCGGAGGTTTAACCTGAAGCAATGTATGTGCAATTTAAGGAATAAAATGTGTGGTTGGTGCAATTATTCAAACACAAGAAAGATGTTGTACCGATGTCCCATAAGCCAACTTCTGTTTTTGACCATTCACTAGAATTTCTCCACTCTGTCTTTTACTTGAATCTAACCTCCTTGTGATTATGCATCAAAACTTTCAAGAACCAACACATAAATTTCAGTATTTAATCCTAAATCTGGAAAGAAAAGTTGTAAAGATTGAAACTTTACCAGCTAAGGCATCAAGAAGAGTGGATTTGCCACTTCCAGAAGGACCCATGACTGCCAAAACCTCACCAGGACTAGCATACCCAGTGAGAGACTGAAGGATTGGCTTACACCCATCTTTTGATCCGCCATTAGAGACTTTGACACAAAGCTCCTTCCACGTCAAACACACCCCGGTCCTGTTCAAAGACGCCATGAAAGAAGATTAAGAACACTGTTGTAATGTTCACGCATTGGGCAGTCCAAAAGTGTTGCGGGCTATAAAGCTTCAGAGGTGAGAAGGGTTAAAATTGTGATCTTGAATCGTGACTCTACAGTAGAAGAAGACAAACAACAATTCAATGGTTTCAATGGCTCTCTTCTCCATCTGTTCTCGTGAGCCCAGTGGCCAATGTAAACAAATTTAATTTTATTCTTTCCTTTTGTAATTTATTCATGGGCGAAGTAATATAAAGACAATCCCCAGATTCCACTATTTTTTTAATGTTCTTGTTTCTTGAAATACCTATGACTAGAGTCGTGTGCATTGCTAATATCCGACAATCTTCCATGGGAATGACCGAATGACGCCGATGCTCGTATGTTCACACCATACGTTTACTCGACACATCCAATTTATATGCAGGGAAATGTCATGCCATTTTTCTGGTGCTTTGTCTCAATTGTCTTGTTCTAAACATAAAACTTGTGGCGATCAAAACCAACTATTTGCTGGTTAGACTCATAAAATATGTGTGGATTAACTTGAAAAATAAATTAGAACAAATTTTTAAAGAACGTTATCTTTAATAATAGTTAAAATACCTCTTTGATTAATTTTATGAAGCAATTTTGAGACTCAAACATGTCTGGGAATAGCTTATAGTCTTTTTGGTTCTAGGTGTAAACTATTTTTGCATACTAGAGTCATAAGATATTACGTGATGCATAAGTGATATGATTAATAAGTGTAAGACATGTTTATGTTGATTGGATGACAATAAAGTTTGGTCATTTTAGTCTTGGGTTGCATATATTTGAGCATCCTCTACTGTTTTTTCTTTTTTGTGTGTGAGACTGAGACAGAAATCGCATTAAGAAAATTTTGTGTCTTAAAGGGAGATGATGTTGGCAAGAATAAGTATATAGTATACTTTGTCCCATGTAGTTTGCAACTTAATGACACTTTTGACTCTTTTAAATGAGGTTACATGTTTAAACCTCAATGAGGATATTGACTTTTTGTATTTCAAAAATGTGTATAGATAGATATTGCATTGTAATAGACTCAATAATACTTAAAAAAGTTCGCATGAACAGATCAACTGGTAAAGAATGACTAGAAATGAGTCTTACTAGCGGCAGTGTGAGAGCAACCTCTCAAAGTGAGGGGACTCCTTGTGGGCAGTAAACAAAGGTATAGCCTCTGTGGTTCATGTTCAGTTAAATTACTATGATTTACATCATCTCAGATGCTCTGTCGGTCCGGGTGCAAGAGGCTCTTAGACGGGTTCAACCTTTTGGAAAGAATAATACTTAAAAAAAAAAAAAAAAAACATATTAATCCGTTAACATGGCCACAAATTGTGAAGTAAAGAAGGACGATTGTGACTGTGAAGATGAAAAACAGAGCAATGCAACATGGCGACAAAACGCTTCACTCTCAGTGGCTGTCCTGCCTTACGCCTCCTCTCTCACAGTCACCTCTGCTCTAATAATATCTCCTCTGTCCTCTCTCGCCGGAAACAATATGGAGACTCTGCCACTTCACTCTCCATCTTCACCCACTTCCTTTTCTCCTATCTCCTTCCATTGTCTCCGATCACTTCCCTCCATTTCTCTACCTTCCAACCTCCCCGCCACCGTTACCGTTCTCCGCCCAATTTCGTCTCTTTCCGCGCCGAAACTTCCTATACTCAAACATAAACCGCTCATTTCCCCCCTTTCCAAGCCAATTTCGAAAGGCCCATCACTTGTCACGTGTTTCTCATCCTCCGGGGATGACATCTCCACCGCCACCGAGCCGAAGCCGGAGCCGCAAGGCGCAAAGATTATTCCTTTGATTATCTCTGTTTCTGTTGGGCTTCTGGTTCTATTTGTCGTCCCAAAACCTGACGAAGTTTCCGCTCAGGCGTGGCAATTACTTGCCATCTTCCTCTCCACCATCGCCGGACTGGTTCTCAGTCCATTGCCGGTCGGGGCCTGGGCTTTCTTGGGGCTTACGACTTCAATTCTCACAAACACGTTAACTTTCTCCGCGGCGTTCGAGGCCTTCACCAATGACGTTATCTGGCTGATTGTCATTTCTTTCTTCTTCGCTCGCGGATTCGTCAAGACTGGATTGGGCGAGAGAATTGCCACTTACTTTGTGAAGTGGCTGGGGAAGAGTACTCTCGGGTTGTCTTATGGATTGACTCTTAGCGAGGCCTTGATTGCTCCGGCAATGCCCAGCACCACCGCCAGGGCCGGCGGTGTTTTCTTGCCGATTATTAAGTCTCTTTCACTATCCTCTGGTAGTAAACCGGGTGATCCTTCTTCAAGAAAGCTCGGCTCATACTTGGTCCAATCTCAGTTCCAGGTTAGCTGCATCTAATTATACCTTACTGGTCCGAAAATAACCTTCAGATTTTATATCTATAGTTGGCACATTCTGTACATGCACTAGTTTTTGTACTTGTAGTTATCATATCAAGTCAGATTCTGTATCTATAGTTGACACATTCTTATCGGCTGTTGATAATTTCTATACCTGTAGGCTGTAGCTATCATATTATGTGTCAGCAATTATCAAGTAATTTGTATACATATACAAAAACGGTTAAGTACAAAATGTGTTAACGGAAGGTATAGAATTTTTGTATCAAGGTTCAGAATGCAATATGAACCCTGGTCCCATGGTATAACAATTGGGCTAATCTGTTTGAAGGTATTCGATTTACCAATGAATTTTCATGGTATCTAATCCGTAGATAAATTCATATTCGTGGGTATTTCAGTGTTTTCTTGTAGTGTTAATGTGGCCTGCAATTTTCACAGGCTTCAGGCAACTCTAGTGCTCTTTTCTTGACTGCTGCAGCTCAGAACTTACTATGCCTCAAACTAGCTGAAGAACTTGGAGTGATAGTTTCAAATCCTTGGGTTGTTTGGTTTGAGGCTGCTAGTTTACCTGCATTTGTTTCACTTCTGGCTACTCCATTTATCTTGTACAAGTTATATCCTCCCGAAATCAAAGATACACCCGAGGCGCCTGCTATGGCTGCAAACAAACTCGAACTTATGGGTCCTATCACAAAAAACGAATGGGTGATGATTGGAACCATGCTTCTAGCCGTCTCCTTGTGGGTTTTTGGGTACGTTTCAGTTTCCTTTTTCTCTCCTGATTGAAAGGCTAGTTTTTGGACTGACACTCATATAATCTCAGGGAGGCGGTGGGTATTTCTAGCGTTGTGGCTGCCATGATTGCGTTATCGATTCTCTTATTGTTAGGAGTGCTTGATTGGGATGACTGCCTAAGTGAAAAAGCAGCCTGGGATACACTGGCTTGGTTTGCAGTTCTAGTAGGCATGGCAAGCCAGTTGACAAATCTCGGGATTGTTAGTTGGATGTCTAGCTGTGTAGCCAATTCCCTCGCGTCTTTATCACTAAGCTGGCCTGCAGCTTTCGCCCTTCTCCAGGCCGCTTACTTCTTTATACACTATCTGTTTGCAAGCCAAACCGGGCACGTGGGAGCATTGTATTCTGCATTCCTCGCTATGCACTTGGTCTCGGGAGTGCCTGGCGTTTTAGCTGCATTGGCTCTAGCTTACAATACCAGCCTATTTGGTGCCCTCACTCACTACAGCAGTGGTCAGGCTGCTGTTTACTTTGGAGGTATATATGCCTGTTTACGCCTATCTGATCTCTTTTCTTCCATATCACCATATTAGTATGTAAACTGCCTATGAAAAGAACATAACTTTGAAAGAAAGTTGCAGACTTTGCAGACCCCATGCCCTTTACACTCTTAGATACATATATATATATTGCTGACAAATTTTTGTTTGGTTTTCGAAAACAGCTGGGTATGTAGATCTACCGGATGTGTTCAAATACGGGTTTGTAATGGCAGTTGTGAATGTAGTAATCTGGGGAGGTGTTGGAACACTGTGGTGGAAATTCTTGGGCCTGTACTGACTTCAATTCCTCATCATCTCTGTGTAAGTTGAATCATTTCTCTTGCTATAACCATAGGAACTTAGCAGAAGATTGTTCAAATGATGGCTAAAAAGCAGGCTGGCATTGTATAGTAGCTCTGTTAGATGTCTGCAACACTCTCCAGTATATAATTGTTCTTGGCATTCGGATGGTATATTTCAAATCCGAAACGAATTTTTGGAGAGTTTTAATTAATGAATATTAGTTCATTTTGCTGGGTTTTTTTGGATGTTCGTGCCAAAAAGTTATAAGTTTGATTCTTGTCAACATTCTCTCGGTTAAACTGGTCGCTATTTAGTAGAATTTAAGTACTCCGTAATTATTTATCACACAGAATCATGCTCAATCTAATTAAACTTAAGAAATACAGTAAGAAAAAATTTATATTATTCAAATAGTTTGTACAACACATTATTTCAATGTCAAAATAAATAAATGAATAAATAAAAATATTGATAATATAAAATTAGATGTGTTAATGATACAATTATAAACTCCTGGAAGTAATCACAAACTATTATTTACTTTGTCATTTTTTGACTCTTCTATGATCTTATCCACCAAAGGTTCAACCATAGTCTCCAAACTTTCCAAGTCTTGCTTCACCTCCTCTGCCTACAAATTAATTCAATAAAAAAAGAACATGAATACAATTGATGAATTGCGTCCTTCATATGGCCTTGTCCTAGGTCTATTTCAATCCATAATTACATGACACATTTTCTATTTTTTGAAAGGAGAGTTGGGTTGATTTGTGTTCAAATTTAGGTTTTTAAGGAGATACATGAGGTAAATGGTTCAAAACATTTTTCTATTCAAAGCAATAATTCTATTCCTATTTCATATTCTTCTTAGCAGTCTCTTTGGTTTTTGACTGTTCGTGTTGACGCGTCGTCTACATATTGCACAAGTCGAAAAAACCAACAATAATAATAGTAGACAGAATTTTATGATTATCCTAATAATATGTATGTATACCTTGTGAATGAAGACAGTTACGTTACGAGCATCCTCAGCAACTTGAGCAGATGCATGTTCTACAGCCTCAACTGCTTCTTTGAGGATGGTATTCGTCGGAAGCTTATCAGCCACCGCTCCTATTACATTCTCTGCAGCGGTTGCCACCTTTTCCACCACCTCTGCAATTTCCTCCACCTCCTCCACCACTTCTTCCACTTTCCCTGAACAAGAATCATCCAACTTTTCTTGAATATAATTTTAAAAGAAAAGTAGTGATTACAGTTAAATAAGTAACAGTACAATTTATTAGAGACCTTCTATCTTCCGAATGCCATTCCAAAATGGAAAGATTATTGATAACAAAGACCCAATTATCCATTTTGCCCTGCAAAGGTAAATATTCCCTTTATAAGCATCATTTAATAAAAAAAATACTTAAAATATTTCAACAAGACAGCTGCCCCCACAGAGAGAAAATTTTAAATAGGATTGTTTTTATGAGACGAGATATGTCCTGTTGGGAACAATTTAATTAATTAAAGCATACCAAGAGAAAATTTTGAATTTAGGAGCGGCTAATGGGTCTTGTATATTAACTTTCTTTGCTTCACTCTTTAGCCTACAACCAACCAACCAACCATACAAAAGAAAAAATAGGGAAGACCATGAGCAGAGGTGAAAATAGAATAATAATATAAATTAGGGACTAAAAGATAAAGATGGTAGAATTACAGAGGAGCATCGGGTTTTATATTATCTCCGGCGGGACTGCCACTAAACAGTCTGAGTCCTGGGTTCATATAATAAGGAGCGCCACCGTAACCGCCGTAGCCGGCGGCGCGGCCAAACGTAGCAGTCGGCACAAGAATCCGAGAAAACGACGTTGACGGGCCACTGCTTCCACCGCCGCCGCCAACCCGATAATACCGGTGAAGTAATCCGACCAAACCTCGGACATTCAGCGAAGACGGAGGATTTCTGCACATTCTGAAACTCATCCGATCCGTATAAGTTTTATGAAATGCCAGATCAGAGCTCTAATAATATATTGCAGACCAAGATAAACTTGGTATATATTATGGAAAAAATAAAGCGAGTATAGAAGACCTGGCCTTTTCGTTGCTTATTTTAAGGATTCATTTATGGTGAATTGAACGACAAAAACGTGAGAGAAGAAGATCCTAACACGCCAAGAAATGGTGTATGTGACGATTGATGACTTTAAGGTTTAAACTAATCCATTGCCGAGTCTGCAGTTTCTTGCAAGTTACTTTCTTGGGGGTTTCTTATTAGGCCATGTTGGGTGGTGGTGTATTAAGGTAAAGTTAGTTTATTGAAGATCCATGAAAGTCTTCTTCAACTCTTGGAAAATTGAAGTTAAATTGTGGAATGGTAATGGATATGTAAAATATTCACAAGTTGAACCATTCTACTAGCTTGGGGATGATTGACTTTTACAATGTTGACTATGCATGGGTACGGTTGTTAATTTGTTATACATTCAATAGTTTTTATTTTATGATCAGGGAATTCAGGATCAATATATTTGAGAGTGTGTATTAAATAAATCATGCTTATATGTAATAGTTCATATAAATCACACAAGAGAGATAATTTGTATAAAAACGACCACGTATAACGAGTTCGATTGAGAATGTTGGTAAAAATCAAATAATTTTGTAATTTATAATTTGTCGGGTTCGAATATTTCTTCTTTAGATGGACAATTTGAGAATTTGTAGGTAAAAATGTGTTGAAAAGCTAGATATGTTTGTTTCAGCTTTAGACTTAGCTTTTTGAGTAGTTGAGTTACAATAATTTTGATCTTATTTGAAAAAAGTATAATGGCCCGTTTGGTTCACGGAATAGGCCGGGAATGACATAGCATTTCCAGTAATAGATATATTCCTTTGTTTGGTAACCATTTCTATTACTAGGAATAATATTTCTGGTAATAGCCTATTACCTCAAATTAGGTAATAGCTATTACTAGAGTCCCCTGGTATTAGCCTATCACTGAACGCTCAGGAATAGATTTTAGAATCTATTTTCTTTTTTTACCCCTTTCTTTAACCCAATTTTTTTTATCATGTATATAAATTTATCCTATTTCACCACCATCGCCGCCCCCACCACTGCCACCGCCACCGCCACCACCACCATCACCATCACCGCCACCACCATCGTCGCCGCTGCCACCACCGCCACCATCACCACCACCGCCACCATCACCACCTCCGCCACCACCATCACCGCCGCCACCAGAACCACCACCCAGCAGCACCACCGCCACAACCGTCACCGTCACCACCACCACCGTCACTCCCACCACTGCCACCGCCACCACCCCAGCAACATCACCACCACCGCCACCATCACTACCACTGCCACCATCACATATTTTTATAAGGGTATTTATGTCTTTTAAAACATATTTCATTTTTATTCCTTAAATCAACCAAACACTGTAATATAATTCCTAAAGTCTATTCCGTCCGCGAACCAAACAATAGAATACAATTCCTATTCTATTCCTTGCATATTCTATTCCTTATGGAATAACATTCCTATTACCTCAAAATTCATTCCGTGAACCAAACGTGCTGTAAGGTGGCGTTTGGTTCAGGTTATATAACATAACCAAGGAAATGTGACATTCCTATGCTCACATTCCTATGTTTGGTTCACATTATCTCAGGGAATCTAACATTCCCCAGGAATGTCACATTCCCTCCACATAGGATTTTGAAGGGAATGTGATTCCCTTCAATTTCTAAGGTTATGTAAGATAACCTTGGTTATGTTAGTTTATTACACACACACACATATAATTATTTTTGTAATTATATATTTTTTTATTTTTATTATGTTAGGTTAGCATATAAAATAATTTTGTTTCTCAAGTTCAATATTTTAGTTAATATTTTAAAATCATGTAATTATATATGATACCGTTATCTTATTTATTTATTTTAATTTTTAAATTTATTAAAATATATGAAAATATGTTAAGGATATTATAGTGTGTGAATAAAAGATAACCTTAAACCAAACATGATTATATTACATACCCCAATTTTAACCAAACACATGAATCTAACATTCCCAGTAATCTAACATTTCCAGTAATCTAACATTCCCTAAGTTCCGTGAACCAAACGACCCCTAGTAAGGTAATCTAACATTCCCTAAGGATATGATTATGATATGCACCAAAAGGATGGTTAATTAGCTAGCTAGGTAGCTAGAGATGACATAATTTTGGTATTCGAGGGTCATGAGTTTAATTTTTACTAATATATATCCTCTCGGTCGAGCTTTTATTTTTTTTAATTCTTGCTAATATCCTCTCGGTTGAACTCTCATTTTCTTTATGAACAAAATAAAGAATATTTTGTGCATATTCTCGAATAATAATGGTTGGTTTTTTTTTTTTTTTTTTTTTTTTTTTTTTTTTTTTTTTTAAGATATAATATAAAACTCATTGTGTTGTACTTCCTCCTAAGTACAGTTGGCTAGAAAAACTAAGTGAAGAACCTTGTTGTCCACATAAATATCACCGCCGCAAGAAACTAAGCTCTTCCCCATATAAATCTTGGCCGTGTCGCTGCCGTCTGAATCACCCACTCCATTCCATACTTTTCTCATTTCTTAACATCAATGGCGGCACTTCTCCATCATAGGAAATTGATGTTCAGCGATGATGGAGCCATTACTGAGGAACCATGCGCACGACCCTGCAGTTATCCGACATCGTACCACGACACTATCATCTGTCCCACAGAATGCTTTGACGTCTGTCCTTCAATCTGTGGCGGCCACATCAATCCGCCGCCAAACGTCGACCCCAACCCCAACGCTCTCTACGTCGTCGTCTTTCTCCCTGTGATCATGACCACCGTTTTGGTATGCGGCTGCCTCTCCATCTACAGGTGGACTGCCGGGCAATCACAGCCGCCGCCGCAGCTCGCCGGCGCGCGGTGGCACGTCAGAGCGCCCGGAGGCCTGCGTTCCTCCGTCATCGACGCGATCGCGATTCGCAGGTACAGGAAAGGGGAAGGAGCGGTGGAGGGATCGGAGTGCCCGGTTTGTCTGAGCGAGTTCCGAGAAGATGAGATTCTTAGGGTTTTGCCGAACTGTAAGCACGCTTTTCACGTGGCGTGTGTTGATGCTTGGCTAAAATCACACGCGAATTGCCCCGTCTGTCGTGCCGGCGTTGAAGGTAGTGAAAACTCCGATGTTGCCCCGCCGGTGCTGGCTCTGAACGGGGGATATGGAGGAATTCCGGTGAGTAATGGAAGGGAAAGAGAGGGCTCCGAGGCTCATCAGGAACTCGGGAGTCCTGTGAATGAGAAAGAAGACGAGTCAACGGAACAAAATATAGTGCCAAAGAACAATAATATTGTTGAACATTCTTGATCATTCTACAAAATATGCCATTCTTGTTATTTCTTTGACACACTTCTAAGGCTAATGGATGGAAGAGACCAAACTCATTCATGTTTATAAAGAGCAAAAATAATGTAACTTTCTACAAGCTATTGACCCTCTACTCATTTTAACTAGCAAACAAATTAAGGAGGTGTTTGGTAAATAACTGTTAGTTGATTGTGTTAATGAATTTGACAAGTTGATATCATTAGTTAATAGTACAAAAGTGTTTGGTAAATTAATTGTACCCTAATAACTAATTACATACAAAATGATTTTTTGTTTCAAAAAATTTGGTAAAAAATTACTTTGAGCAACTTTTTGAATTTTGGCATTTTGAAACCATGAGTTGTTACAAAAAACTAATTAATCAAATACTCATGTTGATTGTTTAATTAAGTCAAACAGCTAATAATGGTTAAATAAATCATAATTGATTGATAAACTATGTTATCCGGCCTTAAAATAAATAAATAAAAGCATGGTTGAAAATTTGCTAAGCCCTCCTCAGACGCTCGGGGGTGCTTAGACGACGATTAATCCGACCTAGACACCCATGTATTTTTCATTTTATTTTTTTATATTTTATTTTTTTATTTTGTTAAACTTGGTAATTATAAATTATTTAATAGTTTAATAATTAATTATAAAATATTAAATACAGAGTATTAACTTAAAAAACATATAAAGTTTGAACAATTTAAGGTTATTTCGCTCAAAATAATGTTGTTTTGAGCACTCATTAAAAAAAAACAATAGCTAATCAGCCGACTTGACGACTTAGTTGGTACATAAACGACCTAGTCGGTACTTAGGAGGCCTACTAGATCATTAATTCGGTCAACCTTCTAAATCGCTGATTATGGTAATATGTAAGGCAGTCAGGTCTAGGCACCGATTAATTTGGTGCGCATATGCGGAATTTTTTGAACACATTTATAAAAGTAAGAAAGATTGAAAAGGATTTAATCGTATTTTTAACCCAAAAGCACGAATTGGTGCTGTACTACCGTGGCATATACTTGCACACGTTAAAGCTTAAAGATTGAAACTTTATGACCTATGGCCAAACCGCCGGAGTCACCGCCGACAGATGCCAACGAGTATTCACCGGCCAATACTCTCGTTCCGTTCGAGCGCCCGGTTCCGTTGCTCCGAGGACCAATCCGGACCGACCCGAAGGATGACCCAAGCGCCGGCCAATTCACTCTGGCATTCAAAGACCCAGTTTCATGGGCATCCGCTTACCGGGCCTGCGAGAACCAAATCATTCAACAATGCGAGGCCGGAGCCAGAATCGGCTGCTCCGTCGCCGCTTCCCAGAGATGCCAACCCCCCTGGTGGAAATTCCTCTTCGGCGGCGGCGCATCCAAGCAGGAATTCGCAGAGAGGCAAAAATGCGAAGAACGAGAAATGGAGGGTTGCCTTAGTGAGGCCAAGGAGAGATGCTCCGGTTACGCGAAGGAGAAGTGTTCGCGGGCGTTTCTCGATGCGAGGATTGCCGTCAAAGCTTCGGAAAATCCAAACTTGAACTGGAGAGAAGCATCGAAGTTAATATCTTGTGTAAACTTAGCTGAGAAGAATTTGGGAGCTGATTTATTGCGATTACAGAAGCCATGGATTGGGTTCAAGACTCAATTTGAAGTGACTTGTTGCAGAGGCAGAGATTTATTGGGTCCTGATTCTGCAAATATTGATGATTTTTTGAAAACCCAATTCCAGATATAGCAATTAAGATGAAGTGCACACAGTTTTGGAGTAAAATTGATAGATGTAATCACTCTGGAATAGAAAAGACTTTTTCTTTGAAAGGGTAGCCCCTATTTCTCAAGTTTCAATCTTTCATTGAAGTACTGTTGCACTTTTTATTGGATTAGTATCTTGGGTATGAAGAGATTAGATACCATGTTTTAACATTTTGAATGACGAGGGAAACCTTGAGGGTTAGGGTGTGTACTGAATAAACCCGCCCTGAGACCTTAGCTGTCATGTTGATTGGTTGTCATGACCGGCTCAAATCAAGTAGGCCAATAGGTGTTTTAACATTTTGGATAGAGGAACTGTGACAATATCTCTTTATGCTCCTTGAATTTTGCTGCTGTGATATGTTTAGCTGATCTATTGTGACTTACAAGGTTAGGCTTAGAATTATACTCTGCTAACTTTTTATCTGAATTTCTTGTGTTTATTGTTATCAGTCTTACTATAATGTCATCAGATCTGAGAATTTAAGGCATCTCAACTTGAATTTTTTTATTTTTAACGGATACGCTGTAGTTGAAAGAAAAAGTAAAAGAAAGTTTAATAGAAGTGCAAAATTAGGGAGTTGCTATGCATGGACGCATGGTGGTTATGGCTATTATTCTTCACAAGAAAAATCTAGATAAGGGGAAAGAAGAAGAAAAGGGACTTGGGATAAATATCTAAGCAAAAAGAGCCAAACTTGAGCCACTTATTATTATATGATGAATAGCTATACTGCAATGCATGATTGCATGTAATGATGAAAAGACCAACACATTATATAATTGACAAATTTGTTAGTGGCTAGATGTAGACCTTTGCTTACAAATGGAATGTGATCATCATCCCCGAGTGCAACCTTGAATTCCTATCCTTCTCTTCTTGGTAGACTGTACAAACCAAAACAGATATGGCCACCCCAGCAATGCTACCTCCCCAGAACTCAGCTGTTGCTCCAGCTTCTCATAGTTCTGCAACTGTGAAAGTGCTGTCTGAATCACCTGATCTCAACTCCATCCCTTCTAACTATGTTCACTCAAGTAGCTATGAGGAATCTCCTGATTCCTCAGATGCTGAGGATTCAAGTTTAATACCTGTCATAGATTTCTCCCAGCTCACCTCAAATGACAATGATCAAAAGTCCAAGGCCATCCAAGTCCTTGGCAAAGCTTGTGAAGAGTGGGGTTTCTTCATGGTATATGGCTTTTATCTCTTTATGGTTTCTGGACCAGTCTTTTCTTTATTTCCTTTTAATAAAATCAATTGAATATATCTGCACTTTAATTATTTTTGCTGAATGGTGATGGCAGGTGGTGAATCATGGTATCCCAGATAGCTTGATGAAGGCAGTGATTAATGTCAGTAACGAATTCTTCAACATGCCCGAGGAGGATAAGAAGCAGTTTGAAGGTAAACATTTATTAGACCCCATCAGGTGTGGCACTAGCTTCAATTCCTCAAAAGAGAAAGCTTTTTTCTGGAGAGATTTCTTGAAGGTCGTTGTGCATCCTGAATTTCACTGTCCCTCTGATCCCCAGGGTTTCAGGTATATTCGTTTTTATTATAATGATGGTTATGCCTTTGCTTGTATCAGATTTTCTATTCAAGTTGCCAGCTTTCATGTAGATAACTAAAAACGGGACAAAATGTAAGCAGGTATTCCTAGTATGGTGGTCTATGACTACTAATGATCAACAAATTTGAAATTTTATCAATTATTTTTCTACGTTTGTCTTACAAGTCTTGAAAATCATCTTTTAAATTTTAATTTAAGCAAATTAAGATGTCCTTAAACAAAAATAGCTCATTTATTGATTGATCTACGCTTGTAGTGACCTTATGTTGGAATATTCTGAAAATTGCCGGAAAGTGGTTAAGAAATTACTGGGAGCAATATCAGAAAGTCTAGATCTGGATGAGTGTGTCATCAACGAAGCCATGGGATTGGACTCGATGCTTCAAAAATTCAATGTAAATTACTACCCACGCTGTCCTCAGCCTGAGTTAGCAATAGGCCTGCCACCACACTCAGATCATGGCCTTCTGACCCTTCTCATACATAATGAAGTCGGAGGACTGCAGATAATGCATAAAGGAAAATGGATCAACGATAACTGGAGTGCCCTTCCCAACTCCCTTCTGGTCAACATTGGCGACCAGCTTGAGGTAATCTTTTTGTCGAGAAATTAAATGGTACTTATGTAGCAAGTCCAATCACATGACAAGTAATACAGAATACATATAGATCAAACACACACACACGCACAGCATACAAATTCCATTGCTGGACAGTAAAATGGGTTGTGTTTGGTACCTGTGCAGATATTTAGCAATGGGAAATACAAGAGTGTGTTGCACAGAGCTATGGTAAATAACGAAATGACAAGAATATCGGTAGCCCTAACCCATGGTCCATCACTTGAGGCAATTGTGAGGCCGGCTTCTCCACTGGTGCAAAGAACAGGTTGCTGCCCAGCGTATAGTCCTATGACATACAAGGACTACTTATATTTACAGCAGAGTAATCACCTTGATGGGAAATCTTGCTTGGATCATGTAAGAATCCAGAAGAGCTGACCTTCATTTTAGCCTCTCTATCCCTTTGCCCTTAGGATTGATTCGTGTGACATGTGCCTAGTGTGTTAGTAATGTGCCCATTTCCATGTGGCTCACAATAATTGGCTCACATACAGTCATACTGTCCTTATGTTTTCTCTGAATTGCTATATGCCTATATTGTTATCAGCTCTGAGCATTTATACTTGAAAGGACAATGGTTCTTTATCATGAACTGTGAACATTGTTCTATACATAATTGCTAACAAGAAAATGAAAACTAACATGCCAGATTGAAGAAGAAAAAGGTTTTAGCATCTGCATTATCATCAAGAGACTAGGCAGCCTCTGTTACTGTCTGAAGCTGCATAGTGCATGTCATCTGGCCACTGCCGCCATGTCCAACCATTCTAGATAAGGGTGAAGAACAAGAAAATGGACTGGACTTAAAAGTCTAAGCAAAAAGACTGAAACTTGAGCCACTTAATGGCATAATGCATGTAAAGACCATTATAATTCAAGCCCTATATAGCAATTAAGATGAAGGGCACACAGTTTTGGAGTAAAATTGATAGATGTAAGCACTCTGGACTAGAAAAGACTTTTCCTTCGAAAGGGTAATCCCCTATTTCTAATGTTTCAATCTTTCATTGAAGTACTGTTTATTGGATTAATATCTTGGGTATGAAGAGATTAGATACCATGTTTTAACATTTTGGATAGAGGAACTATGACAATATCTCTTTATACTTCTTGAATTTTCCGATGTGATATGTTTAGCTGATCTATTGTGACTTGCAAGGTTAGGCTTAGAATTATACTCGGCTAACTTTTTATCTGAATTTCTTGTGTTTATTGTTATCAGTCTTACTATATTGTCATTAGATATAAGCATTTGAGGCATCTCAGTTTGATTTTTTTATTTTTTATGCTGTAGTTGAAAGAAAAAGTAAAAGAAAGTCAATAAAGTGCATAATTAAGGAATTTCTATGTGTGGTGGTTATGGCTGATACTATGCTTCACAGGAAATATCTAGATAAGGGGAGAGAAAAAGAAAAGGACTTGGGGTAAAATATCTAAGCAAAAAGAGCCAAACTTGAGCCACTTGTTATATGATGAATGGCCATAATGCAATGCATGTAATGATGATGTAAAGACCAACACATTCAATAATGGACAAATTGGTTAGTGGTTAGATGTAGACCTTTGCTTAGAAATGGAATGTGATCACTATCCTCAGGTGCAACCTTGAATCACTATCCTTCTCTTCTTGGTAGACTGTACAAACCAAAACAGATATGGCTACCCCAAAAATGCTACCTCATGAGCACTCAGCTGTTGCTCCAACTTTTCTTAGTTCTACGAGTGTAAAAGTACTCTCTGAATCACCCAATCTCAAGTCCATCCCTTCTAACTATATTCAGTCAAGTTGTCCTGAGGAATCTCATGTCTCAGATGCTGAGGATTCAACTTTGATACCTATCATTGATTTCTCCCAGCTCACCTCAGATCACAGTGATCAAAGGTCCAAGGCCATTCAAGTCCTTGGCAAAGCTTGTGAAGAGTGGGGTTTCTTCATGGTATATGGCTTTTATCTCTTTATGCTTTCCAGATCAGTCTTTTCTTTATTTCCTTTTAATAAAATCAGTTGAATATATCTGCACTTCAATTATTTTTGCTGAATGGTGATGGCAGGTGGTGAATCATGGAATCCCAGAAAGTTTGATAAACTCAGTGATTGATGTTTCTAATGAATTCTTCAACATGCCCAAGGAGGATAAGAAGCAGTTTGAAGGTAAACATGTATTAGACCCCATCAGGTATGGCGCCAGCTTCAATTACTCAAAAGAGAAAGCCTTATTCTGGAGAGACTTCTTGAAGGTCTTTGTTCATCCCGAATTTCACTTTCCCTCTGATCCACAGGCTCTCAGGTATTTTCGTTTTTCCTATAATGATGGTTATGCCTTTGCTTGTATCAGATTTTCTATTCAAGTTGCCAGCTTTCATTCATGTAGATAACTAAAAACAGGACAAAATGTAAGCAGGCACTCCTAGTATGGTGGTCTATGACTATTAATGATTTATTGATTGATCTACTCTTGTAGTGACCTTATATTGGAATACTCTGAAAATTGCCGGAGAGTGGTTAAGAAATTACTGGGAGCAATATCAGAAAGTCTAGGCCTGGATGAGTGTTTCATCAACGAAGCCTTGGGGTTGGACTCGATGTTTCAACTTTTCAATGTAAATTACTACCCACGCTGCCCTCAGCCTGAGCTAGCAATAGGCCTGCCACCACACACAGATTATGGCCTTCTCACCCTTCTCATACATAATGGAGTCGGAGGACTGCAGATAATGCATGAAGGAAAATGGATCAATGACAACAGGAATGCCTTTCCCAACTCCCTCCTGGTCAACGTTTGTGACCAGCTTCAGGTAACCTTTTTGTATCGTTGGGCTTCAGTAAGTTGAGAAAGTATATTTGAACAGATACTACAAGTTAGGAGTAGAAAATGGGAGTACACATAACATTTTCCACTGTAAAATGGGTTGTGTTTGGTACCTGTGCAGATATTTAGCAATGGGAAATACAAGAGTGTGTCGCACAGAGCTATGGTAAATAACGAAATGCCAAGAATATCAGTAGTCGTAAGCCATGGTCCACAACTGGAGACAATCGTGAGGCCGGCTTCTCCACTGGTGCAAAGGACAGGTTGCTGCCCGGTGTATGGTCCGATGACGTACAAGGACTACATCCATTTAAAGCTGAGTGGGAAATCTTGCTTGGATCATCTAAGAATCCAGAAGAGCTGACCTTCATTTTAGCGTCTGTATCCCTTTGCCCCTTGTTTTAGGATTGTAAAATGTGTCCATTTCAATGTGGCTCACAATAATTGTTTCCCTCTATATGATGAGGTATGTTTAGCTGATCCACTATACCTTGCAAGGCTATGGATACAGTTATACTCTCCTTAAGCTTTATCTGAAATGATTGTGATTAGTGTTATCAGTCCGGCTATATTGTGCCTGCATAGACAGTTCAGTTGGTTTTTACGTGGTAGATTGTGTGCAAGGACATATATCAAACCCCGATAGCTGCATTGTGGGAGTTGTACTCAATGTGATGGGCTCCTTGTGAACACCAAGCACGATTTCTCTCACCTAATGAGCTTTTGAGCTATAGTGATTTACCTTTCTGCTATCCTGTCGGGTTGGGTGTGGGGCCCTAGGGGCGAGGGAATTTCGCCTTGTGGGCAAGTCGATCTTGGTATATTGTCAATCAGCTCTCTGAGCATTTATACTTGAAAGGACAATAGTTCTGTATCATGAACTGTGAACAGTGTCCTATACATAACTGCTAACAAGAAAATGAAAACTAACATGCCAGAGTGAAGAAGAAAAAGGTTTTTAACATCTGCATTATCATCAAGAAATTAGGCAGGCTCTGTTACTGTCTGAAGCTGCATAGTGTATATTATCCGGCCAATGCTGCCATGTCCAACCATTCTAGATAAGGGTGAAGAACAAGAAAATGGTCCAAGCAAAAAGAGTCAAACTTGAGCCACTTGTGAGGGTGAAGAACAAGAAAATGGTCTAAGCAAAAAGAGTCAAACTTGAGCAACTTGTGATATGACAAGAACCCTAAATGGCATAATGCAGTGCATGTAAAGACCAATACAATTCAAGCCCAATATAGCTAGCAGACAAATTGGTGAGATATAGACAATATATTTCATCCCCCAATGAAAGAGACATTTGGAATTGTTAGGCTAAGCCTCTTTCTTTATTTCCAGATTTGGAATTGCTAGCAGGCTAAGCCTCTTTCTTTATTTCATTGGGTTTCATTTTAGATAAAACCTTTCACTCTTTCTTGGTAGACTGTGCAAATTAAACCAAAACATAAATGGCCACCCCAGCAATGCTACCTTTCCAGAACTCAGCTGTTGCTCCAATTTTTCATAGTTCTGCAACTGTGAAAGTGCTGTCTGAATCACCTGATCTCAACTCCATCCCTTCTAACTATGTTCACTTAAGTAGCTATGAGGAATCTCCTGATTCCTCAGATGCTGAGGATTCAAGTTTAATACCTGTCATAGATTTTTCCCAGCTCACCTCAAATGACAATGATCAAAAGTCCAAGGCCATCCAATTCCTTGGCAAAGCTTGTGAAGAGTGGGGTTTCTTCATGGTATAGTATATGGCTTTTAATTATCTCTTTATATATATATATATATATATATATATATATATATATATATATATATATATATATATATATATATATATATATATATATATGCACTTGTTGAGTTGTTTTTCTTCAATGGTGGTTATGTTGCAGGTGGTGAATCATGGAATCCCAGAAAGTTTGATAAAGGCAGTGATTGATGTTACTAATGAATTCTTCAACATGGCCGAGGAGGATAAGAAGCAGTTTGAAGGTAAACATGTATTAGACCCCATCAGGTGTGGCACCAGCTTCAATTCCTCAAAAGAGAAAGCCTTATTCTGGAGAGACTTCTTGAAGGTCTTTGTTCATCCTCAATTTCACTGCCCCTCTCATCCCCAGCCTCTCAGGTATTTTCCTTTTTTCCTATAATGATGGTTATGCCTTCGCTTAGATCCCACTGACACACACGAGCAGCTCAGTTGATTCCTGGTAATAGATTGTACGTTACATCTAATGTGGCCAGCTCATTGAACACCAGATACTAGTCCTCCCACCTAATAGGCCACTGAACCATCATGATTAAATTTAAGTATATTAGGGTGGTCTTAAACAAAAAAAACAGATCATTTATGGATTGATGTGCTTCTGCAGTGAAGTTATGTCGGAATATTGTGAGAATAGCCGGAAAGTGGCCAAGAAAATACTGGGAGCTATATCAGAAAGTCTAGGTTTGGAGGAGTGTGCCATCAACAACGCCTTGGCATTGGACTCAATGTTTCAGATTTTCATCGGAAATTACTACCCGCGTTGCCCTCAGCCTGAGCTTGCGATGGGGCTGCCGCCGCACTCCGATCACGGCCTTTTAACCCTTCTCATACAGAATGGAGTCGGAGGGCTGCAGATAATGCATGAACAAAAATGGGTCGACGTCAACGCCCTTCCCAACTCCCTTCTGGTCAACACCGGCGACCATCTCGAGGTTATATATATATATATATATATATATATATATATATATATATATATATATATATATATATATATATATATATATATATCACAGACACACTAATTATATATTGCTGGAAACTAAAATGCATGTTTTGTGTTTTATCGTACTGGTGATGCAGATATTCAGTAATGGGAAATACAAGAGTGTGGTGCACAGAGCTGTGGTGAATAACAAAGAGAAAAGAATATCCATAGCCACAGCTCACGGTCCTTCGCCGGAGACCGTCGTGAGGCCGGCTTCTCAACTGATGGAAAGGGCAAGCTGCAGCCAACCGCCGGCGGTTGCATATAGGCCGATGAAGTATAAGGACTACATACATTTGCAGCAGAGTAATCAACTTGATGGCAAATCTTGCTTGGATCATGTAAGAATCCAGAAGAATTATTGATGACGTCGATTCTAGCTAGCCGCCATGTCCCATGTTGGGTTCATGTGAAAAAAATACTATGTGTACTCTTATTTTTTACTCTTAATTTTATTTTCACACCCAAAATTTAATTTAGATATTTGTATTAGAACTCACATAAAACAATTTATTAGTGTTCAGTAATCAGAAAGTAAAATTTAGAGAGTAAGATTTAACTCATTTGAAAGTTATATAATATTACTCCACATATATGACATGTATCATGTACCTCGTAAACACCTATAAAAAATCTTCAAAAATTATAATTATTGAAGATGAGCGCTTTTAAAAAGAGTTGGTAAAATTCTATTATTATCATGCAATATACAGCATTTATTTTTCTGATAACCTAGAAGAAAATAGCACAGTAAAAAATAAAAGGAGGGGTCCACGTGGAAGTGATCCTAACCGTCAAGTTGTACGTGGCGGGTGATTAACGCATGAGATTGGCGCGAGGCAGTAAAAGTTGGTTGATAGGTAGTACAACGATCACGTGTTTGGCAGTACAGGAAAAAAGATGAGTCTTTTCCTCTCTTTGCCTCTCATCACGCAGACACAAATCCTTTGTTTACTCTTCACTCTCTTCATTCCTTCCCAATGAAGGTGAAAACCCACCATATACCCACTCTCTCTCACTTTCTTATCTCTTCTTTTGACTCTGTTTCTTGATCTTGCTTTCCATCTGGGTTACATGGTTTCTGAGGTGTTCTGTTGTTTCTTTTTGCTCAACTTTTGCTTTTACAGATTGCTTCTTTGAGGGGAAGAAGCAAACCCGTGGTTAAGATCTCTGGGTCGTTTGTACAAATGGGTCGCAAGAAGAAGAACAAAAGGCTTTTCATAGCAGGTTCGCTGGTTCAGATATTAGTTTTTGTAAATTTTATGCCTTTTCTTTTTGGGGTTGTTTGGTTGTTTAAGTGGGTTAGATTGGATTCTGATCTAGACGCATTTGCTTGAATCGCAGAATTTGATAAAAGATTGGAACTTTTCACGCGTCCGCTTTCGAGTTATTGGTAGAGCTTGCATTGCAAATGAGACTAGGTTGTTTAGGGTAATTTGAGGAGGGTTTAACTGTTGTGTGGCTTTTAAGTTGGGGATTTCTAGGAGGTTTTGTGTGTATGGTAGTGAAATGTAGTTTCTAGGATTTGGTTATGGTGCATTTGGCTTTGTTGTTTTAAATGGAGTGTTTGGGGAAGAAGAGGAAGGGTGTGGATATTTCAGTTGCTTGTGAAAAAGAGGAGGCTTTGCTAACATTGGTTCGTTCACACTTATCGCTGGAAGATTACTCGAGGAGGAGAAAGAAATGTAAGGAAGTAGTGGTTAAAGATGATGCTGTGACTAGGAAGAGTGTTGTTACTGGGGTTGTGACAGCGCCGCCTTGTGGGAGTGAGCATTCGAACACACCGGGGAGGGGGCTTAAGAGGAAAATCGGGTGCCTTGATGCAGCAACTCGATTAGGCAGAAAGAAGAAGATTGATCAGGACTATGAGCTCGGAGAAATTATAGGGAAAGGGAAGTTTGGATCTGTGATGTTGTGTCGAAGTAAATTGAGTGGACAACAGTTTGCTTGCAAGACTTTGCGCAAGGGAGAAGAGAGTGTGCACCGTGAAGTTGAGATAATGCAGCACCTCTCTGGATATCAAGGTGTCGTGACACTTAAGGCAGTGTATGAGGATGCCGAGTATTTCCATCTTGTGATGGAACTTTGCTCCGGGGGACGATTACTTGACCAAATGGCTAAATTTGGGCCCTACTCTGAGCAGCGAGCTGCTAATGTGATCAAGGAGCTTATGCTTGTTATCAGATACTGCCATGAGATGGGTGTTGTCCATCGAGACATAAAGCCTGAGAACGTCCTGCTTACAACTTCTGGTCAAGTGAAGCTCGCAGATTTTGGGCTAGCTGCACGAATTTCAGATGGTAACTATAGGAACTAGGAATCAGCTCTTTTTTATTACCTTGATTTCAGTTTTATCAACTAAGAATGCGTTTTTCTTGAATGTATCGCTCTATGTACAGCTTCTTCAGTGCATTAGAATGGTTATCACTTATTGGTGTTTTAAAAGGAACTTCTTTTATATGGTCTATGAATTTAAGTTATCCTTTTTGCCTACTATTGGATTATTACATAATTGATTGATGTTCTCACTTCTCATGATAGGTCAAAGCTTGACTGGTATAGCTGGAAGTCCAGCCTATGTTGCTCCAGAAGTTCTTCTCGGTCATTATACAGAGAAAGTAGACATCTGGAGTGCGGGTGTTACCCTGTATGCACTTTTGTGCGGTCTACTCCCATTTCATGGCAATTCTTTGGAATCAGTCTTCAACGCTATTAAGAAGGAAAACCTCACTTTCTGTGGTGAAGTCTGGAAATCTGTATCACAACCTGCTCGTGACCTGATCTCTCGTATGTTAACAAGGGATGCCTCAGCGAGGTACAGTGCAGACGAAGTACTAAGTGAGTGATCTGGAGACACCCTTTGCACTTTCCGTTCTATACATACACATATAACATGTAATGACAATAGAAAAATCGAAGAATCATAATATCAGTAGATCTAGAGTTTTGTTATGGATGTTGACAGATGGGATGTGGTTAAGTCAACTAACAGGAGTACGGGACCCCAGCCTAAAGTTAGTTAATCAGTAACAGATAATACGTTATACCTAATTTTCATCGTGCAAATAAAATATCAACATCATGCTACCTAATTTGCTTGGTTGCTGGCTGAACATAACAAGCCTTTTTCTCACAGTTTCCATGACTAACATGTGGTGTATTTTGTCCTTTTCTTGCTAGGGCATCCATGGATTTTGTTTTTCACTGAGCCAACATTGAATACACTGATTTCAAAACCAAGAATTAGGAACCATGTGAGGTTAACTAGGAACCAGCTGATAGCTGTTCACGGGTCAGAGTCTGAGAGAAACAACTTAACAATCAAGAACTCTTTCAATGATGACTCTGTGTCCACTCCATCATCTGGCAATTTGCTTGAAGGCGAAGAAGAGTCTAGTTTGGTTGATGTTCTTGCCATGGCTATTTCACGTGTTAAGATATCGGAGCCAAAGAGAAGCAGATTATGCAGCCCTGCCAGACAAATTGAACAGGAGTGTAGCTCTAACATTAAAGTTAACCACCTATGTACAGCATTTTGACGACCATGACCCACTGATGCATCATCAAACGCGTTTCTTCTTTGCAGCAAACACCTGTGGTGGCTGGTGACCGATCCTTTTATCCATTTTTCTGCAGAAAATAATGTTATCAGATAGCCTCTGGTAACCATCTGATTGCTCTTATCATGTTAGTTTTTCTTTCACTTAACTGCTCTTGAATGCTGGTTGTAGATATATGCTGTAAATAGTGTGTGAGCTAATTTGGCTGGAAGTTTAAACCAGCCACTTTGTTGAACACTTGTGACTTATTAAGGAATGTTATGCATTAATATTTGCATTATTCACTTGTCAAACCTTAATACCAATCAACCATGTCTCTGGAACTTGGAAATGCATGTTGTTTTCAGTATGAGTACAGCCTACCATCCTGCCAGTAATCTGAAGCCATTAACACCATGAAAGGCAGTAACAGTCCTCTTGAATCCAACTTTCATGGTGAAAATGAAAAGATAGGCAAAAGAAAGAGGGGGATATAGACCAAGCCCTCAACCACCATCATCTTTTGTGTTTGTATTGAGTGGGTGAAGGGTGCGGGGACAATCCCCAGCCAAGTTGGTCAGATAGCAAGGCTTCAAGTTCGACTTTCCATGGAAACTATTTATTAGCCTTCTTGGTCTGAGCATGCCAATTATAGTTTAACACATTCTTTTTTGAGGATAATAGACTGAATTCATTAATAATCAACCAAATGAGAGATACAGGCCGGTAGCACAGAGAACCACGACCCCGGGACAGACGAAGAATCAGTTGTCCGTGCCAATAGTTTAACACATTCTTTAAATGATGTAAGATTTGGTACAAATAACGTCAATTGAAGAAGCAGACACCAAATACAGAGTGATATTTATAATTGAAGAAGCAGACACCAAATACAGAGAGATATTTATAGTAACCACAACACAAAACAGATACATCACACCATAATCATGGCATCTCAAGACATGAAGGGGGGTCCATGGTCAGTTCTCATGAAACACAACACGCCAACTGAAAACAATATAAAAAGAAACAAACACCAAACTTGAAGACAAGATTTGATCATGGAGGGATGGATGGATGGCTGCCCCCATGCCCCATCAACCCTTTTTTCTTGATAAATCTTTCTTTTTTCCAGGCAGGGCCCCTCACTCCATGCGCCATCCCATCTCTTCATACTTTTTGTATACTACTTCCAGCCGTCATCACCCTTTTGGGAGCAACACAAGATAAAAGAAGGATTCACAACTCATAAAGACAAAGAACCAGTGGGGATGGGGATGGGGATGGGGGGTGGTGGAGGGTGGGACCCAAATCAAGAAACACGCATGCTTTCAATCCATGGAGTGATGGTAATAGGGTTCTGTCTTCATTTACAGCACAGCACTACCATTAAACATGCTTTCAAACGTGTGACTTACCTTTAATCCTTAAAAAACTTGAAAACATCATCTCTACTCAAAGATTTATCATCCCTTTTTGCTCGCCCTCTTCAAGAAAAAGCACAAAATTAAGCACACCTCCCATTGAGCTTCTCCTTTATCAGATCATTTAAGTGGAGAAGTATGGCGCCCGCTTTTCACTGTCTATTGAGGAAATGGGGTGTGTGCTTGAGGGAGTTGAACTCCCATCTCTTTCACCTTCATCTTCATGAACTTCAGGTAGTTTATTGCCTCGTCGATGACCAACAATGGATCATTATTGCTGTTTATGTCCAGAATCAAGCTTTGAAGAACTCTCAATGTCTCGCGGATTCTTATCTTCTTTTCCCTACTGCACATGTGGGATTTGCTTTCCTTAACACAGCTTGATTCCCCGTCATCCACATTAGTGCAGGATTTGGGTATCTTTGCTGATGTTGCAGTGTGTGTAAATAATGACTTCTTGTACCCGCCATCATGCAGCCTTTGCCTTTTTGATGAGCCATCAGAGCTTGCGATGTTCTCAGAAAGTTGCCTCACCTGTTGATGATCACTTATACTTTCTGTAACCATAAACGGAGAGTGACCCGTGCTAGTTACTTCATCATCCTCCCCATCAACATCATCATCATCATGCTCCTCATCCTCGTCTCCATCAGAATAGAGTAATGCATTGATTTCTTCCGAGTCTTCATGCATCTCGCTTCCTTTACAGCTGCCATGGGTCCTATTCACTGGTTCTTCAATTATGGGCTTCATAGGAAAACTGTGCCCACTGAGAGTCCCCAAGTTTTTGCATTGTGAACCATAATTCCCAACAATTTTCTTGGGCAGAAGCTCATTCTGAGGACTAAAAGATGGACCAATAAACAATCTAGTCTGGTCCCCGGACTGATCAAAAATGAGAAATTTTTTCCGAGAAGGGACAGATGTGTCAATTGGCAGAACTCGTCTCCCAGCTGGTTGAGATTCACTCGGATATTGATCATTTGTAGCAGGAGGAGATAAGATGTTCAAATCGGGAAGCATTGGTAAAAACACCCCATTGATTTCACTCGCCTGGGATGCTTTTAAGTTAGGAGAGCCATTGAGCAAAGTGGAAATCCCTGGAGAAAGTGCATGTGCAGTAAATGCAGAAGAATTTGGAAAAGATGGCAGATTGACTTGCTGCCTGAGCTGCAAAAGTGCAGAAACATGGCTCAAATTCGGTGAATTCCATGCAGGATACTGCTGGCAAGGTTGAAGCTCGTTGCCCGTAACCATTCAGTCACGTTAAAAACCTGCACAGAATGCTGAGACTTAAAATTCTAATGCAAAAACCAAATCAAGAAAGTTTGATCTCACCCAAGAACAAGAGTATTGACCATCATACCGTGTATATTGATGTTTGTGGTCCCGGTGCCAATTGTTTTCAGGAACAAGAAAGAAAGGAAAAGACTAACTTTGAACTTAAACACAACGATGTACGTCTTGGGGATAATCTACGTGACAGGTTTAAGCAATTGGCGGAAATACTCAGCCTGGTAAAAAGAAAAAGAAAAGGATTAATGGCCTTTCAATTAATCATCAGACACCAATATTACCCAGAAGAATGGTCACAATAAAGAGAATGATCCATACAAACCTGGCAATTCTGCAATGGTTGAAAGCACGCTATAACTCTAACTATAATGGTTGCTCGTCCAGGAATCCCACTCTCGTGTTTTAAAGCCCGAAATTTTGTCTGACTTGCTGCTTGGCACACCATAACTTCTTTCAATCTTGGAATGAACTTCAGTGGATGCAGATGGTAATGTTCGAAGCACAAAGAAAAGGGATGGACAGACTAGAAACAAGATGGAATTTATGAAAGCGAGAGAATTGGAAAATGGAAGTGAAGTGGAGAATAGGTAGACTGAAATTGGCTTCAAAAGCTACTTTAGCTAACCGTATAGACTATAGATATAACAAGCAAAGAAGCACAGGAGATTGGCATCCATGGATAATGAGTAACAAGAGGGCATGCTTGAATAAGTTCACAGAATCGATAAGTGTTTACAAAATCACCCTGCAATACAAGTTCAAGGAGATAACATAACAAAACACGTCAATTGGCAGGCCCAGCCACCGCATGTTTTTCACCTACGTGGACACCAAAACACGTCAATCTAGTTTTTGCCTGAAATGGTTACAAAAGCACATATTACATTAGAGTCAAAGAAAAAACTCGGTAAAGGAAAAACATCAAGAATCCCTCAAAAGAAACAGATATGCTTCAGACACAAAAAAGGTACGAGAATCAAATACCAAAACTCAGAAAAAGGCAAGGAAGGCATATTTTTCTGATTTGTTGTTTTTCCTGTTTTCTTTCCATACTACACCGACAGGGTTACCACTCAACATCATGTTCTGAAGAGTGATGAATTTGAGGTATCAATCCAGTTCAATCAGACAATAAACACAGGAACCATACAACGCCAGAAATTGGGATTTGAAAAATTTTCAATTGGGTAAGAGATCATAAGAAAGGCACAAACAAGCAGAACAATGGGAAATCAAAAGGAAAGGACCAAAACATCTCAAACCTTCATTATCAAATAACGTAAATGACTACAGACCAAAATGAATCATTTAAAACATCATCAGATTATCAACCCTAGTCATCAATGTTTGTTCTATGTTTCTTCAGCTATGGCCTGTGGGCTGCTTCAATTAGCTTTAAAACTGTGTAAACTTCATCAAAATCACAGCTTTACAAGATAAACACAGAAAGATTTTCTGGGAAAACCGGCTAAAGGTTCAGAAGACCATCAACAGTACATACAATATCATATATAATTGTATAGTAAAGAAGCATAAGATGATTAGCAGAGGAACTTACACTGAGGGATCTTGGAGGCAGCCTGATAAAAGTTGGAGGGACAGAAGGAAACCAGGGAAGATGATGAGTTATCTGGACACTGTTGACCAGTAGGGGAAGGTATAAAAATAAATACTTTAGGGAAGGTGGGATTATATAAGTACTATGACATTTCCTAGTGACAACATTACCCTTTACTGTTCCGCCCCTTTTCCCTTATATTACATTGTAAGTTCATATAGATATTAGCAACAAATTTATCACCACCTGTAAGTGTAAATTTCATGTTTACTTGAATAAATTTATCCTCGTTTATAAATATAAGTCTTGTTATCAATCTTGAAAAAAGAATAATAGAATATTTTGAATTGTTTATGCTTTATAAGTCTTGCTTTCGATCTTAAAAAAAAAGTATAATCAATGAGAACATTTTGAATTGTTTGAAAAAGCATAAAGAGGGAAAAATTCTCCACTGAGGGGAGATAGTGGAGGCAGCCCTCCATGATTGAATCCATGGCGCCTTTGATACTCCATTAGGCATAACCAACATCATTATGCAACATTAATCTTTAATTAATGCTAAAGATTGTAACTTTACGAGGTAACATATGCCAATTCCTAATTGCCAGTTTGCCACTTTCACTAATCAGTGAATTAAGCAACTTTGATCATTTATGACTTGAATTGCCTGTGTCACAACCACAGTATAAGTATGATTAAGCATGCCTAACCAAGTATGGTGTTCATTAATCATAATAGCAACATGGCTTGATCATGAATCATGAAACATCAAATAGTAAACACGTGGCTGAATGGCTGATGAACTTCATCATGTCTGACACACAAATGGATTATTACAATATAGATCTGGAGTAGAACAGTGCAGAATGCAGATTACATTGGTTCAGTAGTATCCAAGGGGTAAAAGTGTAAAACAATTTATTCTCACCACTCAGAGTCTCAGATTGTACATAATAAAGACTAGAAGTAGTTCATCAAATGTTAAACAACTCAGAATTACTGTGCACCCAGGACTTCAATCTCGAAAATCAGAACCGAGTTGGGCTGAATACCCCAAGCTGGGAATCCATTGGGACCATAGGCGTAGTCGGGAGAGCACTGCATGATAGGGGCATTTCAGTGAGTTCTCGAGTGGTTAAGAGAAGATACCCAACCGAACCCACGATTGGTATTCATCAAGCACTTCAGTTGAAATAACAAACGAGTAGATACAAATTAGCAAGAATTTTACCTGTAATCGAGCAACTTCTCCTATTTGCATTCCCATGACACCTTCATCCCACCCTGCAAACAGTGGCAAGAGCATTATTTATCAGCAACTGGAGGAAGCCTCCAACGTAGGGAACTAGGGTCAGCAATCAGTATACTTCTGCTTCATTATGATGAGGAGGCAATCAGAATGCAGTTATCATTTCAGAGATACACATAAATTCAGCTAAATTTAATCATCCGAGACTCTGAGCCAATGTATTGGTAGTGAGACTTTCATAACCTCAGTACCACAATATCTTTCCACTAGAGAAAAAATGCAAGTAACAACACCTCCCTTCTTTCAAAGATTGTATTTGCTAAAGCTATGACGAATCGATGAGTCTACACCCTCAACTTAATTACTAAAGTTATCATCTTTGTACGTGTATCTTAAACCCGTAACTGTGCAATCCACTCTTTGTTCACCTTATGAGTGGATATGTCAAACAAAAACATTAATTTCAGCACAGAACAACATTTTCAGAGGATAGCCCTCTGTTGGTAGAAGAAAATCCATCAAAATATTAATCACCATTTACTGAGCAAAGAAACATAGTTAAGGACACAAAACAAAGACAACCCATTACAACACATTGATATATACAGAACTAGAAAAACAATAATTACAACACGTTGATATACACAGTTTAGCACAGCTACCTTTGATAACTTTGCCTTGACCAATTTGGAAGGAAAAAGGCTGCTGCCCAGGGTCTTTTGTGCTGTTACAATCATATTCAGATGTATTAATACGGATATAAAGTCATATAACAGCAAAGATCCCACCTTTCTTTTGCCGACACTCTCAAAATCGACGTTTAATTGAATTACCTCCAGAATTTCTGAGAAAGGTCGCCATTTTTGCCTGGACGAAGGATAAATTATGTTATTAAAATGCAGAAATTGCATAGAATGATAGAAACACATCTAAATTAGCTTTGCCAAGCATATCGGTAATGGTTAAGGGTATAAATGCTAACCGAAGCCGGTGCAGTGGACGGTGACAGTCTGACCACGAACCGGCTTTGGACCGTTTCCGGCTGACAGGACTTCCTTCTCAAATCCCATTTCGTCAGTTAGCTAATCGATCTTCTGGTTAGGGTTTAGGTGACAATTGAATGATTGATACTGCTCGGCGGCACTACTTGTATACAAGGACATCGAGAACACGTGACTATCACGTGCAACACACAATATAATATATCTACAATTTATTCTTCAAATTTATCTCTATCCCTTTTATTATTAAGTTATTAAAATATTCTTCAAAAATAAGTATAACTTATCAAAATCTTTTTACGTGCAACATCTAATATGAGTAAATTCCATTTTTGGTCCTACTGTTATAGGGGCGTTTCTAATTTTAGTCCACTTTAATTTTTTTTGTCATTTTACAACCACTGTTATTGAATGTGTTCCACTTTTAGTCCATCGTTAATATTTTCGTCAAGAGGTCGTATAATCCACGGGTATTTTAGTCTTTTTATGGTTGTCTCTTCTCTTTTAATCTAGGCGCTTCGTCATCCTTCTCCGTGAGAATGGAAAGCCAAAGCTACATCGTTTCGTTCGTTCCAACGTGGACCGGCGAGGTTTCTTAGGTTTTAGGTTTAATGTTCTCATTTCTTTTAGTCAAACATAGTCTTGGATGAGAAGAAAGATGAAAATACCTCTAGATTACATGGCCTCTTGATGGAAGTACTAACGGTGGACTAAAAGTGGAACACATTCAATAATAGTGGTCATAAAGAGGCAAAAAAAATTAAGGTGGACTAAAATTGGAAACACCCCTATAACAGTATGACCAAAAATGGAATTCACTCATCTAATATTGTCACCATAGTGACATTGGCCCGAATTTAGTCAAATTGTATCCATGACTCTTATTGGGTCCAAATTGTACCGTAAAATTTGACTTCTATTCAACGTTTGTGAACATGACAGAAACTTACAAGAGTTCAAAAATAATAAACTTGTAGTCAAATGCTAAAAATGAGACTTTTCGTGGGGACAACCTCAATAAGTTGGTCAAATTATTGATTTGATAATAATAAGGTTACAAGTTTACTCCCAGCCGGGAATGGCCTTGTCTGGTGGTATATCAGATTATCTCAAGTAAGAAATCCCATCATAATATATAATAGTCACACTGATTATATTATATAGCAATGAGGATTTATAATCCTTTTATTACACTGCAATGAGCAGCAGTGCTGCTACAAAGCTTTACTAAGTGGCCAGTAGACTTATGCTATCCAAACAACTAAATGATACATAGATGATGAAATTAAGCTGTCTGCAATGGACCTGCAATACCATTTGACAGAAGTAGAGAGCTGAGGCGGCCAAGTAATGCAGGAAATGGTGAATCCTTTCATGGGGTGGGGGTGGAGGATCCAGTTGCAGGGGGAGAGTTGGAGGGGAGTCCAGGGAAAGTGGGAGGCCCTTGAGCGAAGGGAAAAGGAAACGATGGGAAGCCGCTCGGGGGCAAGATTGAAGGGTTGGGAAGAGTTGGGTTTGTGAATCCAGGCAGCCCCGGGAGAGATGGCGCCTGCAAGAGACGACGAGCCAGCACTGTGTTCTTGGCACCAGTGATCCCTGAAAGTGACAATGCAGTCAAGAAAAGAAAAGCAAACAGCTTTGGGTTAGCCATGTTGAGTCTCTGATCTGCTGGTTATTAGTGTGATGGGGAAAGTTTGAAGTTGCTGTTGCTGAGAGGTGAGTGTATGGGAATCTTGGTGATGTTTATATACTGCTGGTATGGCTAGCCTGCAGGCCCTACTGTTCTTGGTTCTTAAATGCCGCGATGGTGGTTAGCATTGGCAGTTAGATACCAGGGCCATCCAATGGTTGATTATGTCAAAACTCAGTACATACCACTGCATTAAAGAAGAAGAAGAAAAAAGTGACTTTCAATACATTTTTTGATGTCTGGTGTCTAAAAGTAGGAGTGGCTATTTTGCGGTCTTATTGTTAATTTTTCTGCCCAGAAATGAAAGCTTTTGCTGGACATTTGAAGTGTTTTACGGCTGCAGTTAATGCAGAGTTCAGAAAGAGCAGCTGGTTTGGTAGATTCATTTAAGTACTTTCAAGTCTTGAAGCTGAATTGTCAGCAAGGTTGCAGACATTCAAACCAAATTGCGGTAATGGACACATGATGTTTGGCTTGTGTCCAATGAGAATCCTCTTGTTGGGGATGGCCATTGCCAAAGTCATTAAAGCAGAAGGGCATTTCCATCTACCATTTTTAACAGTTAGGTGCAGAAACTTCTGGTTTAGGACTTAGGAACTAGGAAGTCCTCCAATCCTAAGAGCCTTTTTGATAGCAAAGCCACTTAATTAGGTACTTGGAAGCAGAAACCCATTATTCTGTGAGAACACATTTTACAAGCCTCAGTTTCAAATGAACTGGTTTGATTGGTTGCCTGTATCCATATGATGAAATCAAGAAAATATCTATCCATTATGCTTTCATATGTCAAAGCCTTTGAGACATGTTTCTTGTTCACTTGAATGTTGTGTTTTCACTTATGAATGGTTGTACTAGGAATAACAATATGAAATACAAAAGCAAGATGAGTAATGAAACTGGGGATAGAAAGGATTATGACACTCCAGGAATTCTGCAGAAAGTAGCATTCAAGGGAACTATGGGTTTCCTGGGAGTTGAGGCACTGGCTTTTGCAGAGCTGGAAACTCGGGCCTTGGTCTGAATGGCATCACTGGTCTTCGGGTTGTAGGCCCTTCGGGTTTTGGGAATGCTGGCAGCTCGTGCTCCGGGACTGTTGGCAGCTGTGGCTTTTCTGGCATTGGGAATTCAGGCACTTCAAGTACATGGTTTGGTACTCTGGGGATTTCGGGAATTGGCAGTTCGGGCAAGGTTGTTGTCTCCAGAAAACGCCGTGCCTCTGTCTGAACCATGATGGAGGTGGTTGCTGACAGAGTGACCAGGAAAACCAAGAACAGGTATGGTGGATTGAAGTGATGAGCCATTCTGGGTGCAGATTGATGTTGTCAGGCGAACCGGTTTCTGCTTTGATCAAGTCAATATGCTCTTGGCATGTAACATGATGAGTTTATATAGGAGATGGGATGTAGTGAAAAGGCAAGAACTATTAGAAGATTCATAGAGTTAGTTCAAGCTCTCTATACATATAAAAATTTCATCTTTGAAGCAGACTTTTCCTGGATGCAAATTTACTGGTTTCTTGCTTTTCTTTTTTTACCATGACATACAGACTGTTCTTCCAAATGGTTACCTAAACACAACCTACCATCACCATTTCAGACCAATTCTTTATTACTCACACTAACAGCACATATCTGCAAGGAAACATTATTATAGCAATTTTGACTGACGAGGGAAACCAGCAGTCACTGTCTGAGGGTATACCAGAATGAGATAAATCAGCCATAGCTTACTGGCTCAAACCAAGAAGGTCAATATTGAGTGACGAGGGAAACCAGCCATAGCTTACTGGCTCAAACCAAGAAGGTCAATATTGAGTGATGAGGGAAACCAACAGTCACTGCCGGAGGGTGTACCACAATGAGACAAACCAACTTAGGTTGTCCATAGCTGACTGGCTCAAACCAAGAAGGTCAATAGGCTGCTCTGACTGGAAGTCGAACTTGGAACCTTGTGGTTATCCAGTGAATAACCTGACCAACTTGGTTAGGGTTGCCCCGCAGCCTATATTTCATAAGTGCATGAGGTTAAGAGTTGAAAGAGAATGGATACTAAGACATGATTTTCCCCTTCAAGAACTAAATAGGAAAACTGCAGATTTTGCAGAAGAGTAGAAACATCTCTGAGATGGAAGGAAACAAATCATTTTCATTAGTACATATATGGCTCACAGTTGATGCAAGTGTATTACTATATCTAAGTTGACACAAGGAGCTTTATATTAACTTGTAATCTATCTAAAAGCGAAGAATGATAAATGGAGCAACTGAGAGTAAGTTAGTCAGCTCCAAAATTCGCGGTTTTTTATACAGTATTGGTTGTGTACCATAGAGCTGCTTTTCGTATACCCGAGAGTCCATTTCTCAAATGTACAATCAACAAAGTCATAGTAGCCACCATGAATTAAAAGCTGACCTTCCACCACCTTGTTCTTTATCCACGGGTATGTAAGCAAGTTCAACAACGAGTGGTGGAGTGACTCCTGGAAATAGAAGAACGTGTTCTTTAGTTTTAGTATACTCCCCCGAAAACAAAATCTCATAGCAAGTCAAATTTGCAGGTTTCTATTGTATTGATTGTTCAACCCGGAAATAGGCTCCTTTGTCCACTAAAAATGTACCTTCTCGCAGTGCCTGCACTGCTCATCAAAGCTCAGTTTGGAGGCAATGGCCTTTGTGTTAGACCTCGCGTTCTTCCCAATAACTACCCAATTATGGAGAAAACTACTGCAGAGAAACGTAACAGATTAACACAGGTAAGTGCACTTTCCTAAATTTCGACACTTGTGTTTGTGCCACAAAACTGAAAACTGAGAAGGAGCAAACCTTGAATTCATCTCATCTTCCATACTCATCAAGGCACGAATCCCCCCACAGCAGCTATGGCCAACAACCAGTATATTTTCCACCTGCAAAGAGTTCGTGCCAAATTTTGAAGCATAAAAATTATGTTATTGCAACAGATAGCTTCATTCAGCTGCATATTCGGAAAGAAGTAATAGAAGAAGGCACAGGTGTGAGCATATAGTCATTAATGTGCAATCCAACTATCAGCTTCAATTTGGTATCAGAGCCAGACCAAAGGTCATGGGTTTGAATATCAACGCTACTATAGCCATTAATGTGCAATCCAACTACCAGCTTAGGCTTTTAGTTGAGATGGAGCACATGCTTCAATTACAGGAACAAGTTGATCATCGGCTAGATACCCAGTGAATCCTAAATTCGGAGTCATGGAGAATTTAAATAAAAAAAAAAAAAAAAAAAAAACAGTATGTCAGTATGATGATCGGCAGAATTGACTCACACAGAGGGTGTTAACAGCAAAGTCAAGAGCAGCATTTACTTCTGAAGGGCCATTCTGCATGAACAGCAAAACTATATTCATATATATCTTGGATGCGTATTATTTCACTAGAGATGTGTGTGCTTAGTAATCAGCAAATAGAACAGAATAGTTACCTCATAAGAAGGCACCAGATTTGCGATGTTGCGGATTACAAATGCTTCTCCAGGTTGAAATCCCAGGACAACTGAGGGACAAACCCGAGAGTCTGCGCAAGCAATCACCATAAACTGTCCTTCAAACAGGTAAGAATTTTCATCACATCGACTGCATAATTAGGCAAGTAGCAGAACTTAATGATCAAACAGAAAATTCCAAAAACGAGCAAATGCATAACATATACCTTTGGTTCTTGAGCAATTGCAAGCTCCTTAAAGTGTTCTATATTGGCCCTAGTTCAAGAAAAGAAGCAACCAATCAGATTGGGGCCACCCCTAAGTTCTAAACATGATGGAAAGGGTTATGAAGCATCGCATTCAGCTTACAAGTACTTATCCTTTTTGAAGCTCAAAAACCGATCCTTCATCTTAGTGAAGAGATCAGAAGCGGTTTGAGTTAAAACAGTGCTTTTCTGTTCATCACCAACAATTTCCTGAGTCAAGCCCATAGGTTCCCTCGGGGATTTCAACCTTAGAGCAAGCGTATTCCTGCATCTCATTAAAGCTAATTTTCTCAGATCAAGTCTCGAATATGGCATGGCATATGTATATGAGTATATCTCCTTCCTCAAGCAGCACAAAAACTACAGTGAAGCTTTTGGTAGCATGAGAACTAACTTTAAAGCTTTATTCCCTAAGCTTCCTTGACCTTATCCCTATACAATGGACAAACAATGAACTGATGTGGCAGATAGTACAGCCCAATGTTATCCACTATTCAGATGAGTTCCGTGCAAGAGAACCTAAAGTTAACTGCCACGTGGTGCAATTCTATTATTGATCCCCTGCTTTAAATTATAGAATTCCTTAATGATTAAAGGCTGACAGTTTTCCCCTTTTTTTTCCTATTTTTTTGCAAAGCTCTAAATTAAAGAAAACCAAGAACAAAAATAGAAACTTTTTGAAGTGCACCCCCACCCACCAAAAAAAAAAAAAAAGTCTCCCTCACGACTTGCTTTCTTCTTCTTGGTTGAAATTCTCCTCACGACTCTCTTTCTTTCTTCTTGGGTTTGCTGGAAGGGTTGAAAATGATGCATCAAAATGGAAATGTTTACAATTGGCATGGCCAAATCAGGAAGCTTAAACAGAAGTCTTACTCTAATAACAGTAGGCATTAACTTCCTATCCATAGAAAGAAACAAAGAGCAGAGGCATTGTCATAGAAGATGAGAAAGAACAAGAAATAATGAGCCCAAAATTTTCCTCACTAAATACAGGAAAAACAAAAAAAGATTCAAACTTTGGCTGTGTTTGGCTGACCTAGCTTGGGATTACCTGGAAGAAGTCGATAATCTGACATGGGTCTGTTCAATTTCCAAGAATCTCAACTGGGCACCAAATATCTGCTCGGAAACATCGAAATAAATCCCCAATCAAGGATGAAATGAAATTCAACAGATCACATATCAGTGAACAATATACTATACGTGTGTTGTAGCTGAAGTCGTGCGGGGAATGGAGGAATGAAGGACTGGATTCGCCATTTGCAGAGATCTAAGATCCATTTAAGCTCGATAAAAAACGCACACAACTTAGTTACAGTATTATACTGATTGTTGGAAGCGCATATGTAATGTAAGTAAGCATTTGTGAACTGAAATTGTATGTACACGTGTCGATCAATGTTGAAAGGAAATTAGTAGCATGCACTGTGGATTTATTATGCAGAGTTCCAAGAAAGAAAGGAGAAAGCCAGGTTATTATGTTCATAGATTGAAGGAGGAGAAAGCCAGGTTACTTCCATAGCTAGAGTCTAGACTCTAGAGAGACCGACATGGTCTCTACTGCAAACTAAGAGCATCAATGAGTTTTTGTAAATGTGATTATGAAAAAAAATATGAGAGAATGAAAAAAAAAATTAATTAAAAATAAATAAATAACATGTCATTGTCAGGTATGCTGTCAGCACGCCCAGCAGACGCGTGTAATGGGCGCACTCGTGCCACGCACAAGTAGCACGCTAAGCTTAATTTTTTAGTCAGTGGGATCCACTTTTCTGCATTATCTCTTCTTTTGAAGATACTCTCCAATTTTCTCTTTTTTGCCTCTCTCCTCCAACAAGGCTTCCTTTCTTAGAATTTGTGCATTATGCTCTAAGGTACAAGCTTTAGAGCATATTCAATAGTTGTAACTTTTTAGAAATTTTACATGTCTAATTAAGAAAGAGAAAAAAAAAATACTGAAAAGCGTCATTAACGCGTCTGACTGGGTGTTGTGTTGCTTCTCACACATTACAAATGGCACTGTTGTTGCGCTATGATGGGGTCCACTTCACTATCAAAAATCAAGTGCTTGCTGAGAGATTTTTATTTTTCTCTCTATCCTCACCATTTTTCTTCCACATAAATCAAACTTCCTCAAAACTTACCCAAAATGTATAGATGGAGATGCGAAAAGTACGAGTGCTATTTTTTTTTTTTTTTTTTTTTTAGTTTTGGGCAGAACTATTGGTCTGTTATATTGGCGAAAGAACAATTGGGCCCTTTAATTTCTGTGGCCCAACAGCATCCATACTTTGCGGGTCAGATTGAAATTGATGTGAAATATATATGCTATTTAATTTTGTACATAAACATGGTAATTGCCTATGTAGATTCTGTACATAAATATGGTAATTGACTAATTGCTATGTAGATTGGATGAACATGTAAATGGAGGATAACTAAAGCCGAGTATTTCAGACTCTCCAGTAAATCGCAAATTGCCCAGACAATTCTCTAATCAAATCGTTGCTGGTGGTGAGTCTTAAGGTCAGGTGGTTGACCAGTGACCCATCTGAGCTAGCTCCAAGGGCCATTGAAATGGCAACATGTAAATGAAGGACAGCTCGACCTTGAGTACTTTGGACATGGCAACCAGGGCAGCCATGAGATTAACCTGAATTCAGAACAGGAAGCCTCTTCATCAGTTGCACATGCTACCACTGCAATAAAACAATGGCCCAGAAATGCTGTAATGGTGGCCATAACTCCATAAGCCATGTAGCATCAAAGTATGAAGATATGGCAATTTAGAAGAGCAGAAACCAGTAGTGTTAATGGTGACTAGCTGCAACTAATAAATATGGAACAGAACTTCATAAAGCAAATACACACCAGAAAGATTTATGAACTCAATTATCACCCACAATACTGCTAGTGCTGGTCCAGGCATTTAAAAAGTACAGCAGTAATAGCAGCAAATGGTGTGGCACATGAAGCCATGAAGGCTTATTGCCATCTTTCATTCAATACATATCAATGATATCATCCCATTTAAACTGGCATGGGAAATACAAAGAGAAGGATCAAATTCCACATTTCAACCATGAGGCTATGACCTTTATAACAATATAGAGAATATCAGCTGCAAAAACAGAAACTTCAAGCAATTTTTAATTTGACTGATACTGCCAACGCTGTTTTTGTTGTTCTATTATATGGGTGATCAAATTCAAATCAGGAAAACTGTTTTAAAGTTTCAGACATTCAGCTAAGAATATGAAGGTTCTGCTGGTTCAGACTACAAAGAAGAAGAAAGAATCAGGTCCCAACTTTAGCCAGAAAATATAGATTTTACACTAATTATGTTCACTAATATCGTCAACACTGATCTTTTCAGTTAACAAAACCAGAAAAGAGGAATTACTAGAAAGGGAACTTAAATTACTACTAATTCAGTCAATAGTTCTAACAGGATTCAATATAAAAAAGGAGGAACCAAGATTCAATATTCTATCTACAGACATAGCAAAGTGTTTGACATGGAAATAGGCACACCACAGATAAATGTTCTACAATGCATGAACCCATGTCAATAGTACTTACAACGCAATAAGATAGCTATTCAAGTCTCAGTTTCAGGTCAATCTGTTCCTGCAAAACAGGTATGTAGGAGGCAAGCAATATAGTTCCGTTTAGTTCTAGAAACCATTTTGCAATCTAGGAAACAAGAAAAAATGAATCATGTAACAAAATAAAAACCTCAAGCAGCTAGCTTTTTCCTGTTTTGCAGCATAGTAAAGGAGACAGAATTATTGAACTGATTGTTGCAAATACAAAAGGCAGCATGAGGAAGAAATCACTGCCACCACATTTGCAGCGAAAAAGCTACAGGAGAAACCATAGGCAAGTATCCAAGTAGCTCCACATTGTTCCTTACTACGAACATACAAAAGGCAAAAGCTAGACTAAAGCAACAGTTAGGGCATTACGGCCATTACATTTGCAGCACACAGCTGGAGAAAACATCAAGGCCATTATCCAAGTAGCTCTATATAGTTCCTTACTACATACAAAATGCAAAAGCTAGACTAGAGCTACAATTACAACAAAAGAAATGCCTAACTTCACTAGGCAGCCTTTACCTTATCATCACCAACAACATTGAGAATAGGAAGACTGTTTAAAAATTCATCAAGACCCTCAAAAAACCCATTCCCTTCAATGCCATCATCTTCTCCTCTTCCTGTTCCATCTACTTGCCCATTCATTCCTGGTGGAGGCTCTTCAACCTCATTACTAAACTCCACATTCAAATCCAATTTTCCATAGTCTTTGGCAATCCTCCCAGATTGCCTCCTTGTGTTACTTGCCGCACCTTTCTTACGCAATTCAGCTGGCAAGCGAGCACCACTCCGAACTGTAACACCATCTTGAAAATTATCTCCAGCATTATCTTTGACATTATTTCCATTATCAGCTTGCTGTTTCATAGCAGTTCTATTAGGAGTACCTGTCCCAACCCCTTTTCCCTTCAAACTCTTTGCTTTCTTTCTCTTCTTATTATAGCCATTCCTCCAATCCACATCCGACTCTTCACTAGAGTCTGATAATTCTACAAACACATCATCATCAACAATAATTTTTCGGGCTGACTTCTTTACACCACCCCCTCCAAAACCACTAACATTGCTCCCAATCCCCTGCCCTCCAATAGAATGATATACATTCCCCCCAGTGAACCCATTTTTCCCCCCAGTTTGAGGACAATTAAACATAGGAGAAAAAGGGGTCCAAGTTGTGGCCTGACCTTTATACTTCTCCCAGATTGATACAGAAAACCCCAAAGGTAGAAAGCCCCAGCAACAAAAATAAGCTTCTTTCCCATCAATAATTGGTGGGGGAGACGAAATTGCTACAGCCTGGAATGCCATTCTGCAATTTTGGCACCGCAAAGTACAGTCGACATAAGCCTCAGGGTACTGAAACATATGATAGCAATACGGGCAAGCAGTCCAGAAGCTAGGAATGTCATCCTTTGGCTCATCTTCCTTCAATTCATCATTATTTGATTCATCTACTCCACTCTCTTTTTCTTTAGCCTTACTCAGATTATCGGTAGAACCACCTGAGCGATAGTTTCTTTCGAAACCCTCATTTTGCTGCAGTGACGGCTCATTCCTTTGCTGATACACAGTAGAGCTCTCGGTGGGAGCAACAGGAGGTGGAGGTGGAGGTGGAGGTGGGGGTGGCGGTTGGGCTCGAACCGAACTTGGCGTAAAGGAAAATGGCTGTGGTTCACTACTCGAGCCGGGCATATAGGTCACTGTCGGTAGTTGGTCTACATTCAAGCTGGGCACGGAGGTTACCGGAGGTGGTTGGTCCCGACTCAGAAATGTTACTGATTGGGGTGGCGGTGGCGGTTGATGATCCCTACCCGTATTTGGCTGCTGCAAAAACGTCACTGTTTGAACCGGTTCACGGCTCAGAAACGTTAACGGTTGGCCAGAGGTAAATGGCTGCTGCTGCTCTCGACTCACAAAGAACATTTGCTGCTGCTGGTCTCTGCCGGAGTTCGGAACAACGGAAAAAGGATTGGGCGGCTGCTGCTGCTGCTGCTGCACAGAGGGCACCGGGTTCGGGTTAAGGTTTATGAAGAACCCTAGCTCTTTATCATACACGCTTTTCCTGAACGGGTTCGAGAGCAGAGTCCAAGCGTCGACGACGAGCCGGAAAGCCTGGTCGGCGAACGGAAAGTTGTTCTTCTGAGGGTTTAGTAGGACCGCGAGTCGGCGATACTGAGTCGCAATGAACTCCGAGTCGTGCGCCTGGTTGGGAGGGACCTGGAGGATGCCATACCAATCGAACTGATTGTTCACCAGCTTGTCCCCGGCGATTAGAGTGTCGATGACGGCGAGGATTTGCTCGCCGTGCACCATCGTCGGGTCGGACTCCTGCGCCCGGGTCGCAAACGATTTACTCCCCATCAAGTCACGGTTGGCCAGAAGCTTCTCGGCGATGGTCAGCCACCGCAACGCCTCCGTCCGGTTAGGGTTTGTGATGAAAAACGGATGCTCCATTTCCCCTCTCTCTCTCTCAATCAATCTGCAAAATTTTCTCTGCACAGAGTTTTTTGAGAGAGAAACGAAGAGCATGAAGAATGAGGGGAGTGATATACTATGTGAGTGGACGAAAAAGGGCATAGATTTTACTCAACAGACAAGGCATTTCGCGTTGACTAGTGTGTGGGGAGTTGGGGGCAATTAAGGTAATTGCAATAACCGGTCTGGATAAGTAAGGGGTTTTAATGTGATTTTGATTTTTGAGTAAGCTCAGTTGGACAGGACTCAGGAGTACTGTGGGAAGGGTGAGAAAAACGTTTTGTTTTATTATGGATATTCTAGGAATTTCACACTTGTCCTCCCGTACCCTCACTGGCATGCGCGGGGCGTAGACTTTTTAGACTTTAGACTTGGAGAGAGTTGCACCTGTCATTCATTTAAAATCTTAGGTTAAAATTTTTGTGGTGGAACAAATATTGAAAGGTTGTTGTGAATAATAATAATAATAATAATAATAATAATAAGATGAAAAGAACAGTGTAATACAGCGAGAGATGAAGGGAGGAGCATTTTGCAAGTGATGTGAGAAAAATTTAGTCGAGAAAAAAAAACAGAGTACATGATGTATGTTAAAAGGTTGTAGTATAAAGGTAAAGCGTGAATTTGAAACATCGTCGTATTTATAGATGGACTGGGCGCGAAAATTTAAAAAATTTGTAACGGATCCAATCAAGTCCGCCAACGAGGGCACGAGACGTGTTTGGGGAGTTAAATCAAGTGGTGAACCGCACGCGACATCATAAGCCCGCATCGTAGATAAACACAGCTCGATAACGAGTCGTTAGTGTTTGATCTGATCGGGTTCTGTAGTCCAAGCCCTCCTAAGTAACTTAATAGCGAGACACGGACTAGGGAGCTACTTGATAGAAAATATATCTTGGAAGAAGTCGACGGGCTTATTCATCTCTTCTCTATCCAATATGACAAAGAAATCTACCCAAGTTTCTTCGTCCATGTCAATCTAGACAAAGAAGACATATTCTCTTTCCAATCAATAGGGATGTAAAAGCCATGGTAATTTTTTTTTTTTTTTTTTTTTTGGAAAATGATCAAATAGGCCCTCGAACTTTAGCTTAAAAGTCAATTAGGCCCCTAAACTTTTTAAAGGTTCAATTACACCTATCAACAATTCATTTAGGTGCAATGAAGCCCAAAAACAAGTTAATGACCTGCTATCATAGGTCATTAGGGTTCAGGCCACCTTCCGGCGAATTTTTCGACAACAAAATATGTGACCAGCAACCGACCCAGATTTGCCGAAAATTTCGCCGGTCACTTCTTTTGTCGAAAATTTCGTCGGTCACTTTTTCTATTTTTTTGCCGGAAAATTCGTCAGAAGGTGACCTGAACCCTAATGACCTGTGATAGCAGGTTATTAATTTGTTTTTGGGCTTCATTGCACTTAAATTAATTGTTGATAGGTGTAATTGCACCTTTAAAAAGTTTAGGGGCCTAATTAACTTTTAAGCTAAAGTTTGAGGGCCTATTTGATCATTTTTCCTTTTTTTTTTTTAATATACTTTTTTTGATCTTTTTATATATATATATGTGTCTATGTGTGTGACACATCCCATGTGACATGATATTTAATTTAAAGGTAATTTTATAGATCAAATTACATTTTAATAAGTTTAAGGATTTAATTACTTTCTTTGATTCAAATGTTTAATTGTATTTTGATATCGAGTATATAATTGGAGGGTATATTTCAATCGTTATACCCTGCACCACGGCGCACATAGCACTGTGCGTCTCGCACCTCCCAAAACGATGTCGTTTTGAGAAGCGCGGTAGGGAGTTGACATGATTACGTGTATTTGTTTATACAATTATGTGTATTTATTTATACAATTATGTATATTTTTATACAGTTATGTGTATTTATTTATATAATTATGTGTATTTATTTATACGATTATATATATTTTTTATACAATTATGTGAAACGATATTGTTTTGCATCAAGGCGTATAATGCATACGCACTCTGGTGCACGATATAAATTGCCTATAATTTTTCTAGAAAAAAAAAAAAAGAGAGAAAGACAAGCAAAACTGAAAGCCTAAAAGCAATTATTGATTTGACAATAGCAAATAGAGTTGGGCAATTAAAGACAAAAGGTTAGAATAGTCATTTAACTGGGGAGAAGGAGATAAAGTAGAGTTGTACTTTTAGTTAATTATTAATAATCAAGTTGAAAAGTCGTAAAAGTGGTGGCAGCCAACTTACAAAAATATCCTTAAGTTGCGAGTTTTGTAGGGCGCGGCGTTGTCTTTTGTACGGAAATAGAATTTTCTTTGGCATACCCCACACTCGCTACTGTTTGCTTTTAAACTTCACATCACATTACTATTTAGAGCAAAATTTCGCTTTAATTTGCATCTACTCCGTAATCTCCTGTTTGCTTCACCTGTCTATATCTAAGGATATCAATTTAGACTGAGCCCGATTCGACCCGATAAAATCAAAATTGACAAGGTTATGGTCCGAACAGACTAGTCCGATAAAAAACATTAATTCGATGAGCCCGAAATTAATACGTTTGATGACCCGATAAGACTAGCTCAAAATTAAAAAGGCAAGCCCGATATTTCGAACTATTGAAAACTATATTCTTTAGTGATATAAAACCTAAATACATGAAATAATTATTATAATTAAAAATATATATATATATATATATATATATATATATATATAGTTAATTATCGAAATGGTCCCTTGCTTATAGCAAAATTATCAATTTGGTCCTTGACTATTTTTTTTGACCAATTAAGTCCCTCAACTTTAAAAATCTTAACCAATTTGGTCCTCCGTTTGTTTGACCGTTAGTCAACCGTTAACTTTGGACCAAATTGGTAATTCACTATAGTCAAGGGACCATTTTGGTAATTAACTTTAAGGGTCGGCAATTCGGTTCAGTTTTCTCAAACCGAGCCGTACCAAACTAGTTAGATTCGGAAATATACCGAACAACCGAACAGTAATAGATTCTTGTATACCGAACGGTTCGATAAAAACTCGAACCGAACTGAATTGTTCGGTAAAAATTGAATCGAACCGAATACCGTTTGAACTTTGGATTGCTATTTTGTTATATATTAGACTTTGGATATGGACTATGTATATATCATAACACATAATGTAGAACTTTTGATAATAAACCATAAAGAAATCAAATAAAACATTTACGAGAGGTACCCGTGAGAATATGAGCTGAACGGCAGAGCAAGCAGCAAGTGACTTGGATTTATTTATTTATTTATAATTATAATTATTATTATATTTTTTTAAAAAAATCAAACGGTATTTGATTCTGTTCAATTATTTATTGAACAATTCAGATCGGATCGGATCGGGTTTTTTATCAAACCGTTCGGTATACAAGAATCCAATATCGTTCGATATATTACTTTGGTTCGGTTCGATTCGAGAAAACTAAACCGAATTGCCCACCCCTAAAGTTAATTACCAAAATGGTCCATTGACTATAGCGAAATTACCAATTTGGTCCCAAGTTAACGGTTGACTAACGGTCAAACTAACGAAGGACCAAATTGATTAAAATTTTTAAAGTTGAGGGACTTAATTGGTTAAAAAAAATAGTCAATGATCAAATTGATAATTTCGCTATAGTCAATGGATCATTTTGATAATTAACTCTATATATATATTAAGTAATGCGACAGAAACTAAAATTGCACTTGCAAGGCACTCTGTTTAACGTACGGAATCTCTAAAAATTGTAAGAGATCCCCACCCAAATTGAACCCTGTAAAAGTAAACTAAAAAGGAAAGGAACAAAGAAAAAGGCAAAAAAAGGAGAGATGAGGTTTTCTTGACCTCCATTTTCTGCAGTTTCTTCTGCATAGATACCCTCTCTCTCTCTCTCTCTCTCTCGATCTCTACATGATTGCTTGCAAAGCGTTTGTGGAAATGCGGATCGTCTCAGCTCACCAAGAAGCATCATTCTAGCCCTATCTCTCCATCTTTTCTGCAAATTTTTCTCACACAATTAAGCTACTACCATCTTCTTCATCTGTCTGGTATGTTTGCTTCTTCTCTCTCTCTATGTAGGAATCTAGGGTTCTGTTGACGTTTACCCGCTTTTGGGTTTTGCTGTGTGTGAGTGTGTGTTGTGTTGATGTCTGCAAAACCAATTTGATAATCCTCAAGAAAGGGAGAAAACTAGAAGAAATTTATAGATATTCTTGCAAGCTAAGTTGCAGACTTAGCTTGCAACTCTCTCTAGCTAGCTTCGTTTCATATTTGATAAAGATCCTGTTTTGCAGTTCTTGAGAGGCGCTGTACTAGGTAGCTTAGCTTAGCTTAACAACAACAATGGTGAGACAAAGAATCGAGATCAAGAGGATCGACAGCTTGTCGGCGAGGCAAGTGACCTTTGCCAAAAGAAGAAGAGGGCTTTTCAAGAAAGCCCAGGAGCTTTCCACGCTCTGCGATGTCGAAGTCGGCCTCATCGTCTTCTCCGCCACCGGAAAACTCTCCGACTATTCCAGCTCCAGGTAGACTCAGCTCTCCCACTTTCCGGCTACCCTTTTAGTAAAAGTCAACATCTTTCAGAGTTTCAGCTCCATTTCTGCAATACATACAGTAATATGAACTTCAAATGCGCCTGCGGCAGTCTGCAGATACACCAAATCTTCGTTCATATATTGAAGAAATTGCAGAACTGGTTAAAGATCAATAAAATATAAGAAAAGTCCCATACAAATTAAATATACAATACATATACTTTCAAGTGGATTACTCATCATGTGACTACTATAAGTCAGTCATGCTTAACCACAGAGTTTTTAGACTATGTGATTGTCATATCCACAGAGTTTTTAGACTATGTGATTGTCATATCTTATAAGTAGCTGGACATTAACCATTTAACATATCCCTTCACACATTGTGCGTATAAAATGCTAGTGAATATATATATATATATATATATATATATATATATATATATATATAGGGATGCACTCAGGTGCGAATAAGTGCCCAGGAAGGAATATGTGAACGAATCAGCGCGCAACACGTGTCTAGATCTAATAGCTTAAACAAAACGCGGTGGCATTTTCGTAAATAATTGAACATCGAAGTGCAAGTAAAATAACTTACAACTGCACATACTTTCACCTAAAATTGCATGTAATTTTGTCGTGTTAGCATTCACTTCGAGCAAACATTCATTCACTTGGGTGTGCTTATAACTATAGGTGCAACTATTTATAACTATATGTGCAACTACTTATAACTATATGTGCACCTACTTTCACCTATAATTGCATGTAATTTTGCCTTGTTAACATTCATTGATCTGAGTTCAACGGGTAGTAATACCCCTGAAACCCACCCGCAAACATTCATGCATCTAGGTGCAACTACTTATAACTATCTGTGCAACTACTTAGAACTATAGGTGCAACTCCTTAGAACTATAGGTGCACTTAGTATTGATACTCGGTGTAAATTTTTACTTGCACCTATAATACATTTTACATGCACTTGTAATACATTTTACTTGCACTTCGATATTCAATTATTTACGAAAATACCACCACACTTTTTTAAAAAAATCAGTGTTTCACATCCATTAGATCTGGACACGTGGACGGACATAATCCATTCCTATTTCGCTCCTGGGCGAAGCATTCGCACCTGAGTGCGATTATATATATATATATATATATATATATATATATATATATATATATATATATATATATATATATATATATATATATATATATATCTTAACTATAATATAGCCATATGGTTGGTGAGCAATTATCTTAACAATAATTGCTCACTAAACCATATGGTTATATTATAGTTATTATTAAGATTTATTTATTTATTTATTACATGGTGCATAAAAATTAAAATTAACAATAATTCATTTTCATATCTCTTGCCTCATCCAATTCATCCAAAAACTCACAAATAAACTTCAATTGAGATTATTCTAATGAGGTCAATCTTAAAAATTTAGTACATAGTATTTAATATTACAAATTTTTAAGAACTTAGTAAACTATAATAGTAATTGAATTACAATTTTCAGAGTTATCACGAATCAAAATTTTTAGACCTTTGGAATTTCTAACAATTTTCAAAGTCAGATCAGAAATTTTAGACATTTGAAATTTCTAACCATTTTCAAAGTCACCACAGATCAAAATTTTTAGACCTTTGAGATTTCTAACTCTAGAAATCTCAAAGGTCTAAAAATTTTGATCCGTGGTGACTTTGAAAATTATAATTCAATTACTATTATAGTTTACTAAGTTCAATTCTTAAAAATTTGTAATATTAAATACTATGTACTAAAATTTTAATATAGTTTAAGATTTGTAGTAATTACCCACCTTAAATACCAATTCTTATTTTAATTATAAATATATTTATGCTCATAATTTTATCATAGTATTTCACACATAATTATTAAATAACAAATTTTTTTTATATATGAATAAACCTCATATAGGGTATATTTTTATAACATATATTCTGTGCATCGCACGGACAAATAATAGTATAACAAATACTAGTATATATATATATATATATATATATATATATATATATATATTATTGGATATAAAATGATTATACATAGGATTTAGACACATATAAACAGGCCATATATAGTTCCCAACATAATCATTAACTTTAATTTGTTGAATGTTGAACGTTGAATGAGTGCAATGAACAATGTAACCAATTATTGTTCATGAGAATATATATACGGTTGAATTTCAATAGTCTTATTATATATATTAGGATAATTGTCAATTGCATATATAACTAAAAATGCATGATGAGAATGAAATATTTGGTACGCTTTATATATGTACTAACAATATATTTTATTTTAACTAAAAGTAGTTTAAACTAATTGTAGAATTGTTTTCAACACCTGATGACAAATTCTCGAGTTAGATCAATAAATTAACAGTTTATTTTTGGCAAAATGCAAATTGAAGTATGGTGCAAGTACTTGCAAGGCACAATATGCATTCAGAGAAAAATGAGAATGATCTTGAGCATCATCATCATCCTCAGCCACCTCTCCAGCTTCAGGTGAATACTGAAATATATGTGTCTTGTTTTACACTTTCTGAAAGTAAGAACATTTCTGTTACAATTATGGTTGCTGTGAAACGATTGTATAGTAGTCACGAATTATTTCCTAAAAGGATCTTGTTTTGCATCGATCTTAAGCAAGATAATAGATATACCCATGCCATGCTCCTGGAGGAGTACAAGGATAAGGACCACCATTTAAGGTATATATATATTTAAGGTTTTAATTTGGTCTTGTCCATCAACATTCTGTGTAATTTTCTGTGCATTTTTAAGCGTTGTATTTCGGGTTTTCTTTAAAAAATCATACTACTGCAGGCAACTCAATGGAGAAGATCTGCAAGAGCTTGGCATGGAGGAACTGATCAGACTGGAGAAACAGATGGAGAGAGGGCTGAGCCGTGTCCAGAAAACGAAGGCTGGTTTCTCTGTTACTTCTCATTAATTATATATATTGTGTGTTTTTCTGGTACGTGGCGACTAATTTATACAGATTTGATATTGTTGTGCATCTTTCAGGATGATATACGTTTGAAAGAGATGAGTGCTCTCATGAAAAAGGCCAGTCTTGCATACACTTTCTTCCTTCTTTTCTGTATTGAATATTATATGTCTTGCTGCTGCGGGCACTCCATTAATGGCAGAATTGCATGCATGTTCTTAGGAAGTATGATGAGTTTTAGCACATTAAAGTTTAGATAATGTAGTGCCTGTGTACTCTCATCATTTAAGACAGGTTGGCTCAATGCTAATAGAAATTAATCTAGGCATTGTACGAATTTAAAGGTGCCTTTTGTAGTTAGGATCTACTCGAGACAGATAGTGGTCTAACAAAAAAATATTATTTAATTGCTTCATGCATGTCTGACTGCGTTTAATTAGCTCATCGTGAACCATGCAGGAAGCTACATTGAAGGATGAGAATGCGCAAATGAAGCAGTTTTTCGATCAGGTTATAACAATTTTTAATCTTCTTCTTCTCCCTACTTTATACACCATACTCAAGAGTGCCGGTAACACTGATCACTAACAAAGTTCGTAGAAAATTTGGTTAAACATTGGCCATGTTTCTATAATTTATGACCAGTAAGCACGGCTAGAAATTATGGAATTTCCGACCACCTGAAAGTGATCTTAAATCAAGTCGAAAACCTTGTTCCGAGACAAAAGAAAAAAGTTTAAAAAATTCACTAATATGTGTACATTTTTTTATCAGTAATTGATAATAGCAAGTTTTCTAAATTTAAGTTATAACGTAGATAATAGCCATTTCTCAACCATTATTGTATTGCATAGATGGGATCTTCCATGGCGGCCCAAGAGGACAAACCACCACCAGATCAACAAGGGCAATATGATGATTCAGTCACAAAAACTTACAACTTAGCTCACAATCACCATCATGATTGCAACTCTGATACATTCCTCACGTTGGGGTAAGTATGTTGAACGTCAACCACAACACTTTCTAAGGAAAGCATGCATACATGCGGCGATATCATATCAACGTCCACGACAATAAGTAGTTTGACAGTTTATGAGGTTGGTCAAAGCTAGTGTACAAATTTAGTGGTCGATTAAATGTTGGTGTAGTTTCAGTTCAATTCTTCTTTTCTTTACTCAAATATTGTCTACTGAATCAGTGAGGTAAGCTCATGCGGACAGTTTTAGTTCAATTCTCCGAAGATGATAGGGTGGTTTTGAGTTCTGATAGTGTATGATATCAAAGTTTCTAATTGGAAGTGAAGACAAACCTTCATTGCATTACTGATGCTTTCTAACTGTGAATCTTTTGATATCAAGTGGTGAACCGCACGCGACACCATAAGCTCGCATGGTAGATAAACCCAGCCCGATAACGAGTTTTTAGTGCTTGATCTGATCGGGTTCTGTAGTCCAAGCCCTCCTAAGTAACTTAATAGCGAGACAAGACTAGGGAGCTACTTGATGGGAAATATACTTTGGAAGAAGTCGACGGGCTTATTCGTCTCTTCTCTATCCAATATGACAAAGAAGTCTACCCAAGTTTCTTCGTCCATGTTGATCTAGACAAAGAAGACATATTCTCTTTCCAATCAATAGGGATGTAAAAGCCATGGTAAGTTATTTTTTTTTTTTTTTTAAATATAACTAGTAATTCATCCGCGCGATGCACGGAAAAAAAATTATGTTATTATAAATATAAATAAAAAATAGAAAAACTAAAATATTTTAAATTATTTAATATAATAATATTTTTGAGCTTCCATTGGTCAAGTATTTATTATTTTTATAGAATACAAAATTACAATTAAAATTAAAATTAAAATTAAAATTTTGTATGGTTAATATAACTCTAATTATGTGCATATTCAAATAAACTTATAGAGATAATTTACATAATTACATTGATTTATTCTTAATTGTATTTCATCTATATTATAATTTTCACAATACGAATAATAACTAAGATAATTACATTTGGAAAGCAAATTTCAAATTTTGTATGTGTAAATTTAAACTCTAATTGAACACATTTTTTATATGATTATATAATATATAGCTATTTTATTTTTCAAAATTATATTTTTTATATGATTATATAATATATAGTTATTTTATTTTTTAAATGTTGTGCTTTTTTTTAATAATAAAAGATGGTGTGACATTAATTGTAACATTAATTATTTCCCAAACCATATAGCTTTATTATATAAAGGATTTTTTTTATCCTTCTATATATGTGTGTGTGTGAGACCTCCTATGTGGCAGGATATTTAATTTAAAGGTAATTTTATAGATCAAAATAAGTTAATTGTATAATTTTAATAAGTTTAAGGATTTAATTACTCTTTTTGATTCAAATGTTTAATTGTATTTTGATGCCGAGTATATAAATGGAGGGTATATTTTATAATTTTTCTTAAAAAAAAAAAAAAATAGAGAGAGACAAACAAAACTGAAAGCCTAAAAGTAATTATTGATTTGACAATAGCAAATAGAGTTGGGCAATTAAAGACAAAGGGTTAGAATAGTCATTTAACTGGGGAGAAGGGGATAACCCAGGCAAGTAGAGTTGTACTTTTAGTTAATTATAATAATCAAGTTGAAAAGTCGTAAAAGTGGTGGCAGCCAACTTACAAAAATATCCTTAAGTTGCGAGTTTTGTTGGGCGCGGCGTTGTCTTTTGTACGGAAATAGAATTTTCTTTGGCATACCCCACAGGCCCAAACTTGCTACTGTTTGCTTTTAAACTTCACATCACATTATTACTATTTAGAGCAAAATTTCGCTTTAATTTGCATCTACTCCGTAATCTCCTGTTTGCTTCAGCTGTCTACATCCACGGTAAAATGTCCTATAATCTGCTAAATTAAATTAAATTTGTGAAGAAATTTTGAATTGGACATCTTATGAGCACATCTATTCTATTAATTTTGAATGTGCAGAGTATCGATAGTACTATCACTCATCAACCTTTCACGAGCACACAAGGGATAACTTAAATGATAGTGCAAAGTCTGGAGAAGCTATTGATTTTGTTTTCAGATAAGCAGTCACGATGATGGTGGTGAGGATGAGGAATGAGAGAGTATCGGTTTTCTCTGGGTTTGAATGAGTTAATCTACTATACTAATAAGAGCCCAAGAGAGTTAGGCCTATAATGGGTAGAAAAAATGGCTGTCAAAATTTTTAATTAAATGAATCACTCAGATGGATCAGATTTTAATTTTTTCTTAAGATTTCCTAATTTATCCTTAATGAATATGATTATCCGTTAACTTTTCCGTTAAATATTATCTTTTCCGTTAATTTCTGTTAGTTCACCGTTAACTTACTCCTTGATTTTAATAAGAAAGGTCTTAGGTTCGAACCACATCCCAATCAAAGTTGGCATACTTAGTACTCTATTTTACTCTTATTAAATTAAATAATAATTTAGTAGCTACAACAAAAAATAATACATATGCATTTCTTTAATTTAGAATTATGTGTCTACAATGTCTTTATTCAAAAAAAAAATATTCATTACCAATAAATTAAATAAGAGAAATAATTTCATTAGTTATATTGTATTTATTTTTCATTATATTCGCTACATTGTCCCTACAATGTCTTTATTAAAAAAATTATTCATTATCAATAAATTAATTAAGAGAAATAATTTTATTAGTTATATTGTCTTTATATTTCTCCAATGTAAAAATTCTTTACATTCAAATTCATCATTTGATTATATTCACTACATTGTCTATTATCTTTTTTTTGTGCACTATTTTAATTAAATATCAAATTTATAATACAAAATAATGCTATATATTTATTTACCAAGTATTTTATTAATACCATGAAAAAATTAAAAAATATAATTAATAAAACCAATCATATTAACTACTTTGAGGGATTTGTTGACAAAGAGAGTATTCAAATCACACAACAAATTTAAGTGAGAACTATCTCGCAATGTCCTTGTTTGACAATCAGTAATTAGCGGTTAGCGTTAGCGGATTATATTAGCGAATTTGACCAGCGAATTATATGAACGGTTGGTAAAAACATATTTGAAAAAATTTGCTGTTTAGATTAACAGGTAAAGAGACCTAACGGTATATATTATAATAATAATAATAATAATAATAATAATAATAATAATAATAATAATAATAATAATTGTTTAAAAAAATAAAAAAAAAATAATTAAGCCAATCATATTAACTATTTCGGAGATTTATTGACAAAATGAGTATTCAAATCACACAACAAATTGAAGTGGGAAACTATCTCGCAATGTCTTGTTTGACAATCAGTATTTAGCTCCTCAATATTAGTATATATTTAATATTTTATGCCCTAATTTTTATTTTCTCTCCCTTATGTCCCATATTTGGTTTCAACCATATCTATACAATTATTTTATTAACAATTATAATCAATCTTGACTATATTATCTTGCATTTGTAAACGTAGAATGACCTATTTAAATACGTAAATTTAACATTCAATTATCTATGCATGAACAATTCCAATATAATCTTGCCTTTATATATTTTAACGTACTTATTTAAGCAAAAAAAAAAATAAAAATATTGGACATTATCTCAATCGCGCAATGCGCGTAAAAAACTAGTAATGAAATAAGTCATCAAATTATTTTTTATTTAAATTTAATGTCAGCATTATGAAAGAGATACCTCATGAAAACATGAAGAAAATGATAAGCGAACACAATTTTAAAAGTAAATGAAACTAATTAAGCATTTACTAGAGTTAGATGATCGACACTATTTTACACTTTTGCCAAAAAAAAAAAAAAACTAAACTAAATATGCAATAATTTTGGCAAAGAGAGTCAACATCCAAATTTAAAGCGACAGAAATTGAAATTGCAACTTGCAAGGCACTCTGTTTGGCCATGAACGTACGGAATCTCTAAAAATTGCAAGAGATCCCCACCCAAACTTGAACCCTGAAAAAGTAAACTAAAAAGGAAAGGAAGAAAGAAAAAGGCAAAAAAAGGAGAGATGAGGTTTTCTTGACCTCCATTTTCTGCAGTTTCTTCTGCATAGCTACCCCCTCTCTCTCTCTCTCTCTCTCTCTCTCTACATGATTGCTTGCAAAGCGTTTGTGGAAATGCGGATCTTCTCAGCTGACCAAGAAGCATCATCCTAGCCCTATCTCTCCATCTTTTCTGCAAATTTTTCTCACACAATTAAGCTACCATCTTCTTCATCTGTCTGGTATGTTTGCTTCTTCTCTCTCTATGTAGGAATCTAGGGTTCTGTTGACTTTTACCTGCTTTTGGGTTTTGCTGTGTGTAAGTGTGTGTTGTGTTGATGTCTGCAAAACCAATCTGCAGAAAGGGAGAAAACTAGAAGAAATTTATAGATATTCTTGCAAGTTGCAGACTTGCAACTCTCTCTAGCTACTAGCTTCGCTTCATATTTGATAAAGATCCTGTTTTAATTTGCAGTTCTTGAGAGGCGCTGTACTAGGTAGCTTAGCTTAGCTTAACAACAACAATGGTGAGACAAAGAATCGAGATCAAGAGGATCGACAGCTTGTCGGCGAGGCAAGTGACCTTTGCCAAAAGAAGAAGAGGGCTTTTCAAGAAAGCCCATGAGCTTTCCACGCTCTGCGATGTCGAAGTCGGCCTCATCGTCTTCTCCGCCACCGGAAAACTCTCCGACTATTCCAGCTCCAGGTAGGCTCTCCCACTTTCCGGCTACCCTTTTAGTAAAAGTCAACATCTTTCAGAGTTTCAGCTCCATTTCTGCAATACATACAGTAATATGAACTTCAAATGCGCCTGCGGCAGTCTGCAGATACACCAAATCTTCGTTCATATATTGAAGAAATTGCAGAACTGGTTAAAGATCAAACATAAAATGAATATAAAGATTTCTGGGCACAGGTTATTCACTCTAATAGAGATAGTGTTGCCGTGTTGGTAGGAAAAAGTCATAAAATATAAGAAAAGTCCCATACAATATATTTACAATCATACATGGTTATATTCACCATTGTAGATAAATTTATTTGGTTGCCACGTGTCTGAGTGAGAATAGTGCCTTGATGGTTTGAAGAAAATCTGGGAGAGGATCATGTCTCTAATTAGTTTACTTCTATTTATGGTAAAATCTTAATGTGATTAAACTTTCCAGGCCAGTTGGAGCAGTTCTTTCCTTTACTAGATTGATGGGCATTTATCTTGTCTTTCTTGTGTAGTTTGTGCCTTTACAAGTTATTGTACAAGAATGAAGTTTACTTCTTATATATTCTCAAGTAGTAGTTGCATGTTTCCCTAGTCACTAAAAAAATGTTACATAAATTTTAAAAAAATTATAACACAACATTATAAAATGATGGGGGAGTTATTAATTTAATAAAATTAAGTTGAATGGTATAATAATGATGGATCTCAACGTTGCACTATGCTTAATTCCCAGTATATTACTCATCTTTTCGAACCCGTGACCTCAGCTCTGAGTGGTGCACTATGCTTACTTTCTAGTGGATTACTCATCATGTGACTGCTATAAGTCAAGCAGGCTTAACCACAGAATTCTTTGGCTATGTGATTGCCATATCTTACTTAAAACTAATTAGTGCATGGTAAGTAACTAAACATTAACCATTTAACATATCCCTCAATAGTAAGCCACATCGCCACTTCTTGAATCAAGAGGGGTTGACTCGGTCAACCCGACTAACGCCAAACATACAAGTTTTTGTTCAAAACTTTTGGTACTAATATACCATGGATTGATATTAGTTTTTGGACAATTTTTAATATTGGATCGGACATGCATTTTGATGCATTGTGTGTATAAAATGCTAGTGAATGTATATATATATATATATATATATATATATATATATATATATATATAATATATATATTATTGGATATAAAATGATTATACACAGGATTTAGACACATATAAACAGGCCATATATAGTTCCCAACATAATCATTAACTTTGTTGAATGTTGAATGTTGAATGAGTGCAATGAACAATGTAACCAATTATTGTTCATGAGAATATATATATATATATATATATATATATATATATATATATATATATACGGTTGAATTTCAATAGTCTTATTATATATATTAGGATAATTGTCAATTGCATATATAACTAAAAATGCATGATGGGAATGAAATATTTGGTACTAACTATATATTTTATTTTAACTAAAAGCAGTTTAAACTAATTGTAGAACTGTTTTCAACACGTGATGACAAATTCTCGAGTTAGATCGATAAATTAACAGTTTATTTTTGACAAAATGCAAATTAAAGTATGGTGCAAGTACTTGCAAGGCACAATATGCATTCAGAGAAAAATGAGAATGATCTTGAGCATCATCATCATCCTCAGCCACCTCTCCAGCTTCAGGTGAATACTGAATATATATATATATATATATATATATATATATATATATATATATATATATATATATATATATGTGTGTGTGTGTGTGTGTGTGTGTGTGTGTGTGTGTGTCTTGTTTTACACTTTCTGAAAGTAAGAACATTTCTGTTACAATTATGGTTGCTGGGAAACGATCTAAAAGGATCTTGTTTTGCATTGCATCTTAAGCAAGATAATGGATGTACCCATGCCATGCTCCTGAAGGAGTACAAGGATAAGGAGCGCCATTTAAGGTATATATATGTTTTAAGGTTTTGGTCTTGTCCATCAACATTCTGTGTAATTTTCTGTGCATTTTTAAGCATTGTATTTCGGGTTTTCTTTAAAAAATCATACTACTGCAGGCAACTCAATGGAGAAGATCTGCAAGAGCTTGGCATGGAGGAACTGATCAGACTGGAGAAACAGACGGAGAGAGGGCTGAGCCGTGTCCAGAAAACTAAGGCTGGTTTCTCTGTTATTACTTGTCATTAATTATATATATTGTGTGTTTTTCTGGTGGTGACTAATTTATACAGATTTGATATTGTTGTGCATCTTTCAGGATGATATACGTTTGAAAGAGATGAGTGCTCTCATGAAAAAGGTCAGTCATGCTTGCATACACTTTCTTGAGTTCTTCCTTCTTTTCTGTATTGAATATTATATGTCTTGCTGCTGCGGGCACTCCATTAAATGGCAGAATTGCATGCATGCATGTTCTTAGGAACTGTGATGAGTTTTGGCACATTAAAGTTTAGATAATGAATTCCTCAGAAACTATAGCATAACTAGTTAGGTTGGCGTAAGTGGCAGTGGACTCATATTTTAAGAGAGGTCGGCCCAATGCTAACAGAAATTAGCCTGAGCATGATACGAACTTAAATGTGTCTTCTATCAATTGTTATACTCTGCACCACGGCGCACGCAACACTGTGTGCCCCATGCCTCCCAAAACAACGTCGTTTTGGGAGGCGCGGAAGTGAGTCGACGTGATTATGTGTATTTTTTTTATACAGTTATGTGTGTTTGTTTATACAATTATGTATATATACGATTATGTATATTTTTGTGTTTTGCATCCGGGCACACAATGCAATGCGCGCCTTGGGGCACGATATACATTGCCGTCTTCTATAGTTAGGGTCTGACTGCGTTTAATTAGCTTATCGTGAACCATGCAGGAAGCTACATTGAAGGATGAGAATGCGCAAATGAAGCAGTTTTTCGATCAGGTTATAACAATCTTTAATCTTCTTCTTCTCCCTACTTTATACACCATACTCAAGAGTGCCGGTAACACTGATCACTAAGAAAGTTCGTAGAAAATTTGGTTAAACATTGGCCATGTTTCTATAATTTATGACTAGTAATGACAAAAGTTAAAAAAATTCACTAATTTGTGTACATTTTTTGATTAGTGATTGATAATAGCAAGTTTTCTAAATTTAAGTTATAACGTAGATAATATCAATTTCTCAACCATCATTGTATTGCATAGATGGGATCTTCCATGGCGGCCCAAGAGGACAAACCACCACCAGATCAACAAGGGCAATATGATGATTCAGTCACAAAAACTTACAACTTAGCTCATCACAATCACCTTCGTGATTGCAACTCTGATACATTCCTCACGTTGGGGTAAGTATGTTGAACGTCAACCACAACACTTTCTAATTTTTTTGAGAATATTTTTTTTTTTCTTATTTTTCACATATATTATTTGCCAACTATGTTCAGCTTGCCTTTTCCTGCTTGAGCTATGAAGGAAAGCATGCATACATGCGGCGATATCAACGTCCACGCCAATAAGTAGTTTGGTCAAAGTGTACAAATTTAGTCGTCGATTAAATGTTGGTGTAGTTTCAGTTCAATTCTTCTTTTCTTTACACAAATACTGTGAATCAGTGAGGTAAGCTCATGCGGACAGTTTCAGTACAATTCTCTGAAGATGATAGGGTGGTTTTGAGTTCTGAACTTCTGATAGTGTATGATATCAAAGTTTCTAATTGGAGTGACAAACCTTCATTGCATTACTGATGCTTTCTAACTGTGAATCTTTTGATATCTATAGCTTTATTATAAGATTATTCAACCTAATATAAAAGTATAATAAGTTGATAGTTGTATTGCATATTTATGTAGTTATGTTTATATATATCATTGCACCACTCTAAAATCCAAACATTTCGACTGTCTTGACCACTTATCTAAACAGTAGATAGGAATTCACAGGTTCACACCCAAATATAGGTTCTCACCTCAAATGGACCATATATATGATGTTGAGTAACATAATCAATAATAATAGGAAAAATGGTTAAATAATAGGTCCTCAAACTTTTACTAAAAGGTCAATTAGCCCCTTCAACTTTTTAAATGTGCAATACACCCATGAACAATGCATTTTGATGCAATGAAACCCAAATACATATAAATGACTTGCTATTACAGGTCATTAAAGATCCGACATTTTCCAGCGTATTTTCATGCAAAAAAATCATCGGCGACCGGCGAACCGTCGTTGGTAACGGAGAAGGCAACCATTGGGTCGCCTTCTCATATTCCAGCAAAACGCTCACACATATTAAATATTCCATTTATTATTAAGAACTAATCTTTTCTATGCGCGATGCACAAAAACATATGCCCAATATTTATATATTTTTTTAAATAACTAACAAATCCTTACTAATTAAAATTATATAAAATCAAATGTATTTATCATAATAATTCAATATATAATGTCTACAAATACTATTATCATTAAAGAATATAAGAAAATATATGATGGATGCATGCGCATGGTAATAATAATGGAAAAGATAACGGAAGTTATAACTGTAGGGATATTTTTGTCCAAAAAATTATATAGTACAACTCTAAAAGCACAATATACAAAATGATTAGCATTAAAAATATGGACATAAATGAGGGATATAACTTTGATTGAGACTTTTTTTAGATAATACATCAATAGTGTCACACTTTAAAATAAATTTTATTTAAAATTTAAATATGTTACAGAGTAGTGTATTTCTTTATTTTTTATTTTATTTTATTTTGTTTTTGACATTTTCACCATTTAAAATGTAAAAACAAGCAATGACCAGAAAGTGTTGTGTATGTGGTTCACACAATAATTAAGGCAACATATTCCCGCTAAAGACCCGTTCTCTAACGGCCAAAACTGTAGCGCTTTATCTCTCTCTCCCGCGCTCGCTCTTCGTTTACATTCATCATTTCTCATTCCTCTTCTCACTACCTCTCTGCTCGATCTCGCTCTGTAATCTCTCTTAGCTCTGAGACTCTCGTTCGCCGCATCACCAACATGGATGAAGAATACGACGTCATCGTTCTCGGCACCGGCCTCAAGGAATGCATCATCAGCGGCCTTCTCTCCGTTGATGGACTCAAGGTATATAGTATGCATTCGATTCTCTCGATCTTGTCTCTTCATAGCTTTGATTGTTTTTTTTTGAAATATCATTCTATTTGTTGATAGGATCGGTTTGTTTGTTGGTGTATGCAACAAAAAAATTAAAGCACATAGGTTTTGATATCATCAGATTCGTTGAAAAGATATGAACCAAAAAAATCTTCTGTTTTTGCCTGCATTTTTTGTGATTTTTCTGTTTCACTCAAGTTATTGTCCTCCTTAGTCCTTGCTTCATGAATTTTCATTTATTCATCAACTATTGATGCCGATTGAATGTTAATATTGCGGTAGATTGGTATTTCTTTAGTATATATGTATGATTAACACTGTAATTTCTATGACAGGTGCTACACATGGACAAAAATGACTATTATGGAGGGGAGTCCACTTCGCTTAATCTAGTTCAGGTAATTAACTTCTGTAAGGATACCATTGGTAATACATGCTCATTAATCATCAAATTGGACTAAAATGAGTTGGTTCTAGAATTATGAATTTACATTTCTCTTGTATAACCTTTAATGTTTTCCATATGTAGCTTTGGAAGCGGCTTAGAGGGACTGACAAGCCTCCAGAGAATTTGGGTTTAAGTAAAGAGTACAATGTTGATATGATTCCAAAAGTATGTATAGATCTTTTACAATTTTCAAATTCTCTAGGAGTCTTAGGACATTCCTTTTTAAGAGTTGATTTTGCATGGTATAACCATATGATCCATCAGGAGGGGTTGTAACCTCTGAATGGGCATTGGCTGGTAGCCCAATATGTCATTGACACCTGCTTGGTGGATTTGAAAGAACCATCGCATCTTGTCATTTTTATGTTAAAAAAATGTGAAATTAAAGATACATAGCTGTGTTTCCATCTGATGTAGCATTTTCTATTACATGACTGAAAGCTTTTACAATGTGCTTTGGTAGTTCATGATGGCAAATGGTGCTTTGGTCCGAGTGCTTATCCATACTAAAGTTACCAAATACCTGAACTTCAAAGCAGTAGATGGTAGTTTTGTTTACAACAAAGGAAAGGTGTGTCTCCTGTAATCAGTCTTTCAATATAATTCTTGTGCTGTCCATTTATTTTTGTTGTCAGAACTTTTACTAAATTGACATGATGCTTCCTCATGATTTAACTTATAGGTCTACAAAGTCCCTGCAACTGATGTTGAAGCACTGAAATCCTCACTGATGGGGTTGTTTGAGAAGCGTCGTGCCCGAAAGTTCTTTATTTATGTGCAAGAATTTGATGTGACGGACCCAAAGACTCATCATGGAATGGACCTGACCAGCATCACAGCTAAACAATTTATAGCGTAAGTAATGAACAATGGCCTTCACAATGCCACAGATTTCTGATTTTTGGACCTTTTATTCCTTAACCAATTAATACTGCAGGAAATATGAGCTTGAAGACAATACGATTGATTTTATTGGTCATGCCCTGGCTCTCCAGACTGATGATAAGTATTTGGATCAACCTGCAATTGAATTTGTGAAGAAAGTCAAGGTGATATATCATGCCAAATATTCTGATTACTTTTCTGTAGACTAGTATATAGATTCTTTTTTCTGCTCAGTTCTCTATGAGATAACTTGCTTTTGTATCAAGAATGTAGGATAAAAGTTTATGCATTGACATACATGAGGTATCTCTAGTCACTAAACTGGATATTTATTATCCTCAACCAGGGCTGTCTTCCCCTTCATTAGATTAAATTAAATGTAGTCAGTGTTATCCTTTTATTTATGGTTTTCATAGAAGTACTGAACACTTCTCTTCTTTGAAACTAAATTTCCTGATCAATAAAGGCTATTGTTTTAAGACAGATCCCAATGAAATAATTTTATTACTCCATATACTTTTATCATGCAAACATTGCCTTGAAGGAAATTTGTTACATGATCTCTTTGGTTCCTTTCTAAAGCTATATGCAGAGTCTTTGGCTCGCTTTCAAGCAGGTTCTCCTTATATCTATCCAATGTATGGACTCGGGGAATTGCCTCAGGTTTGTCTCTATCGATATTTGTTCATGCATATGCAAATTTGGTAGCAAGAAAACTGCAGTTACTTTGGTTCTTCTAATGTGCGTATCTTTTCCAGGGATTTGCACGTCTCAGTGCAGTTTATGGTGGGACTTACATGCTTAACAAGCCTGAGTGTAAGGTAACACATGAACATTTATCTGTGCTATAACATTCTTAAAAACATATAACCTGACCTGATATTTGTCAGGTGGAGTTTGATGAGAGTGGCAAAGCCTATGGTGTGACCTCTGAAGGAGAAACAGCTAAATGCAAGAAAGTTGTTTGTGATCCATCATATTTAACTGATAAGGTATTTATCAGTTTTTGAAATTCTATTGCGTGATTGATTTGGTGAATGTGGATTGATGTTTTGAAAGTTTTAATTTGTTTGAACTTCAATTCCATCCCAATTTGGATTATCTGCCTGGTAGGAACTAGAAACATAAATTCTTGTTTTGATTTCTATTTGCAATCCATCTAAACTGAAGCACAATACAGGTCAAGAAGGTTGGGAAAGTTTCTCGTGCTATCTGCATAATGAGCCATCCTATCCCCCACACACATGACTCTCATTCTGTTCAGGTTATTTTGCCACAAAAACAACTTGGTCGCAAATCAGACATGTGAGTTTGCTAAATATTCCAACTTGTCAACATTGTTTTTATTCTAAACACTGGGGTTATACACTGATACTGATGCCAGTGTGTGCTTTCACGGCCTTTTTAATCAATATTTTTATATGATTGATCATTGATAATATATGCCCGAAAATGTGATTACTGTAACTACAGGTACTTATTCTGCTGCTCCTATTATCACAACATTGCCCCCAAAGGGAAGTATATAGCCTTTGTTTTGACAGAGGCCGAAACAGACAATCCTGAAAAAGAACTAAAGCCGGGGGTTGACTTACTTGGACCTGTGGATGAGATATTTTATGAAACTTATGACAGATACGTACCCATAAATGACTCTGCTGCTGATAATTGCTTCATATCTGCTGTAAGTGGTTTTACTGTGTCATAAACCTCCCTACACTTTTCAGTTTTCTTTAGTTTTATGCATCAGATTCAGCATCTTATCATTTATTGCAGAGCTATGATGCTTCAACGCACTTTGAGAGCACAGTAAAGGATGTGCTAGCCATGTATACCAAAATCACTGGCAAGGTACTGTAGACTTGTTTGGATTTTATGAAACTAAAATACTTGTTCCTAGTCATAACCGAGTATTTGAAACTAATTGGCTTCCTTATAATAGGCTGTTGATTTGTCTGTGGACCTGAGTGCTGCAAGTGCGGGTGGTGATGATGAAGATCAATAGATTTATTTTCCTAAGTGCTGCATGGCATCAGTTTTAGCCAAGCTAGAAATTAAATCAAATGGTAATTAATTCTCTCCCCCCAACCCTCTATCTCTGATCTCTTTCTCTCTTGCAATTTATTCATCATGAATATCTGAACTGCTGTTGATCTTCTTCCTATTTCCTGGCTTTTCATTTCAGGTGTCAGCCAAATTCTTTGCAAGTAAGCATAATCAAAACGAAGTTCCACTTAGCTGGCTTCAATAGAAATGAAGAATGCTAGTGCAGTAGTTTCTGGTTATGTTGTAGTTAGGTCTTGCAATTCATGTTCCCATTGTTTATCTCAGACTTTAATTTGCTTTTCCTTTCCTGTTAAATGCAATGCATCCATTCATTTCATTGCTGACTAAATCTTATTATTGGTTTATTACTTCAAATCGCCAATAAATAATATTGTGACAAACACTGCAGCTCCAATCATGCATCCACTTTATCATTATGAATATGTTATCCAATAAAACGAGATATTTCTGTCAAATAATTTATTTTCATCTGTGAAAAATTCGTTAATTATGCATTTCTTTTAACTACTTTCCGTTTTCTTTATAAATACAAACAACAGATAATATTTAATTTGACTAATAATTTTAAAAGAAAGTGGATTGGTTGAGATTATTATGTAGTTTAAAAATAAAAATAATGACATATTTCATTAAAAAATACACCATTGTTTTGAAGACTTTTCATTATCAAGCCGTGGTCCCTAACTATAAAAGACGTTTTTTAGTCTGTATTATATTTAAATTAATTTTTGTTCATACCGAATTGACTCAAAGTAACACAACTTTATATTAAAATATTTTTGTTAAAGATTCGATCACCATATAAAATTAAGAAACTTAATTTATTAAAAGAAAATATTTAATAAAATTGTATTTTATACTCACAACTTTTATTCTTTTTCATAAATTCTTAATGTAAACATTAAAAGAAAAATATATTTTAAGAGTACATTTAGTTTTTAAGTATACAACTCTTTATAAAAACAGGCGGCGGGGCATGTTGGTATTGCCAGCTGCGGGAATCATCCATTATTTTGTAATTAATTATTACCCGTATGATAAGTTGGAAAGAATTATTATCCGTATGATCGGATCGGAACAGTGAGGTGAATATTCTATTAAAGGATGGTAGGCCCCACAACAGCTGCACTACTTCCATACTCAACAACATACAACTCCGTGACCGTCACCCTCATCTTCTCCAGCTGAGAATTGAGATGAACTGATCGCGCAGGAAGAAATGGAGAACAGGAAAGAGGACAGTAACGATGTATCAGGCAACTGTAATGCACAACCAACAACAGAGACCTCCAAAAACGCTTCCATCTGTGGCTTCGACTCTCTTCATCGCCTCCTTCAAGCTTCCCTCACCCCCCAACTCTTTCAGGTCACAATTTCTTCAACCATCACTTCCACTCATTTTTTACTTTTTTTTTTTTTTTTTTTTTTCTTTTATATGAATCACATCTGTTGATTTTCTCGATTTTCTTGATATGAAAATGGAAAATTGAGGAAATTGTGATTAGTGCTTACCCCCCTTTAGGATTGTATTTGTTCTTTATGATAAAAATCCGATCTTTTTTTTTTTTTTTTTTCATTTGTTTCGCTTTATTGTGGATTTGAGGGTGCTGGAGTTTTGGAAAAGATTTGTTTTTTTCTGGTTATGGTGACAGCCGAAAATTTTGGGTTGCAGGAAGTCAGCCGCTTGCTTCTTGGGCTAAATTGTGGGAGAGCAGTTGAGGCCATTGAAGTTCCTGAGCCTGCCAAAGCTCTGTCAGCAAAACATGACTTCGATCTTCAGGTCAGCACCCACAAATGGTGATCTCTGTGTCACCCACCCATACTACTTATTTTGATTGAAATTATGTTTTTGCTTTACATTAAAGTCTCCCTGAGGAAGCTTGAACCATGAATTTGATGATTGAATATTGTTATGTATTTGTATTCCATTTCAAATGGTAGTTAATTAGTGTTATCAACCTAGGAATCTGACTAATTTAAGGTTATCCGAATCTGTTATTTTCTGTACTTAAATTGATTGGAGTTTCATCGGAAACCAGGCATTTTCGTTTCATGCTGACAAAGAGTCACTGAGACAACCTCGGATTGTCAGGGTTGGCCTCATTCAGAATTCTATTGCTCTTCCTACAACCGCGCCTTTCTTGGAACAGAAGAGGGCCATATTTCAGAAGTTGAAGCCCATCATCGATGCTGCTGGAACTGCAGGAGTAAATATCCTGTGTTTGCAAGTGAGTCTATAAGTCGAGATACTAGGCAGTTTCTGATTATTGGCCATGTTCGAAACCTGAGCAGTGCATCGTTTTTAACTCATGTGCAGGAGGCCTGGACGATGCCATTTGCATTCTGTACTCGTGAGAAAAGATGGTGTGAATTTGCTGAGCCAGTAGATGGAGAATCTACGCTGTTTCTTCAAGAGTTTGCTAGGAAGTATAACATGGTCATAATCAGTCCCATTCTCGAGAGGGATGTGAAACATGGAGAGACGCTCTGGAATACGTGTGTAGTAATTGGAAATCATGGTAACATAATTGGAATACACCGGAAGGTAACACTTATATAAGTATGGTTTTAACGTTCTCTATGCTTTCTCCCATGCCGTTGATTGGGGCATAGTATTTTTCCTCAATTTGCAGAATCATATACCTAGAGTCGGGGACTTTAATGAGAGTACATACTACATGGAAGGAAACACTGGCCATCCTGTCTTTGAGACGGCTTATGGCAAGATTGGTGTTAATATATGTTATGGAAGGCATCATCCTCTCAACTGGTTAGCTTTCGGGCTAAATGGAGCTGAGATTGTTTTCAACCCTTCAGCTACTGTCGGTGAGCTCAGTGAACCAATGTGGCCCATCGAGGTACCCTTAATTCTCGTGGTAGTTTTAGTTTAATGTTCATTCATCATGGTATAGTGCTTTAAGGTTCATCATGGGCTGGCTGAATCTAATTCAATGTTTTTCTTTCTGCTATGATTTTGCAGGCTCGTAATGCAGCAATAGCAAATAGTTACTTTGTAGCTTCAATAAATCGAGTTGGAACCGAAGTTTTCCCCAATGCATTCACATCTGGAGATGGGAAGCCCGAGCACACGGATTTTGGGCATTTCTATGGTTCCAGCCATTTCTCGTCACCAGATGCTTCGTGCACGCCATCTTTATCCCGTTACAGAGACGGGTTGATCATATCAGACATGGATCTTAACCTCTGCAGACAACTCAAGGACAAGTGGGGATTCAGGATGACTGCACGATACGAGATGTATGCAGACTTGCTTTCTCGCTATGTAAAACCAGATTTCGAGCCACAAGTCATCTCCGATCCCTTGTTACATAAGAATGCCTCTTGAGTTATCATGGCAGGTCTTAGAAACTAAGAAAAGAATGGCCATTGAACTATCTGTTTGTTCTGCATTATTTGGATGAAATACATACTAGAATGTATTCTAGTACATTAAACTACAGTACTTTGGTTGAATAAAGAAAACCCTTTTTCCTAGATCACATGATCTTTAGTTCAAACTTGAGAAATAGATACATCTTTAGCTATCTTTGCTCCTCTTTGTTTGGCCATGTAAAGTCCCATGTGATGCATGAGCTCCTGGGGATGAGGCATGATATCTTTGGTGTTGTTTGCCATGGAGGGTGGGAAGTCAAAAGTGGCACATCCCTTTGAGCAAACAACAACATCCTCCAAAGGATCAAGAAAACCTCGGTTTCTAGCCGATATGGTTGAGCAAACAAAATCCAGAACACAAATGTCTGTGCAAACTCCAACCACCAGTAACTAGACATGAACAGCAACACTTGATCATTCTACCACAATTTGGGTGACTTTTGAAGGAGTAGGAAAAAGTGAAAAACACTTACAACTTGAATCTTGTTGTCTTTTACCCAATCAACAAAAGCGTTAGAGCCGTCTTCCTCAGCTGATCCGATGTAGCCATCATAGCAATCTTTGTGCCTGATCCTCACATTTGGTTCATTCTCTAGCCATCTCAGAGCTGCAAATTAACCAATTTCGTCGAAAACCAACCATACAGCTATAAGCTTATACCTCTCTCTCATTCAAGGACAAGAATCTAGTGTAGTAATAGCAAGGTACCAGGAACAAGATTGGATTCATCAGAGCCAGAGATGCAGTGAGGAGGATAAGGGTGTTCAAGCTTGTCAGGACTGTGTGAATCAAGAAAGGCAAGAACAGGCCAACCCTTTTCACAGAACAACCTTGCCAGCCTAGCAGATTCATCAATCATTTCTGAAATCTGCCTGTTGGGTTCTCTTGGAGCCTGAAAGTTCAAAGAGCAATGAAAAGAAAAGAAAACCCCACAAATTATAATCCACCATTACAGAAAAACAGAGCACAAGGAGTTTCAAGAACTGTACCAGATTTCCAGCTCCAACAGTGCAGAAGCCATTGATGATATCTACAAGAACTAGACCAGTCTTGGCAGCCTCTGATATAACCACTGATTCCTCATTTAGAGGAATTTCATTCTTAATCAGATCAATTGTCTTTAGTACCATCTTATCAACAAACTTTCTGATTTAAGGATATGGTTTCTGGTATGTCCTGCTGCAATATATAACCTATATATATATATGCCCCTCCATAATAATTGAGCCTGACGTATGGTGACATTTGACATTTCACTTCTGTGATAATCATGGCAGCAAAATATTGACTTTCCTCTACAGCTGCCCCCATATGTACTTCTTTCCAAGATATTTTTGATGACTAATACATGAAGACGAGTAAATTCTTAGAGATTAATACATTAATTTGAATTTTCTTATCATTAGTCTTGGATTTTTTTTCCTCAATTTGTCACATTAGATTGAGTTGTTTAATTGTTGTCACACATTGTCTCTCTCTCCTCCCGTCGTAATTTCTTTTTGCTTACATGAGAGCTTTCTCCCTCATTAGAGATGCCCTTAGAAATCATCATTTTTTAAGAAAATTATGGTTTTGAATACCAGTACATGATAACTAGACAACCCAAGGCCCAGACAGAAGATCTGCAAATTCATCAGTATAAGGAAAAGTAAAAAACTTAATAGAAACTAACTAGTCATAGTATGATCCTGTCCGAGAAATGAATTTTCTTAAAACCAAAATCAACAATGAACTTAAAGTACAATATATAATGACCATACTGCAGGCCAAGTCCAACTAATGATCAGATTGTATCAACACTGTCCCTGCTTTATGCCTTGAATTAAAGAAAGAACGGAATCTCTGCACATCTTTCATGATTCATCAATTATGAAGAGCATTTCAGCAAATCCAATCAATCCCCACAAAACTTAGAACAACTACAGTATTAATATGGAAAGAAGAGGATAGCATTGATGAACAAATGACTGCATGTTCTACATCTCCATAATTGTTATGTATCTTTGATACATTTCAGGCAGCTTATCCTTGTAGGGTAGCAGATAATCTTTAGAAAACTTTGATTCAGTCAATGATATTGCGGTAAAGAGTGAGCATGCTCTCAGGTGATTGTCTTTAAGAATCTTCAACACTTGACTCCTAGGGATGGTCTTCTTCTCCAAACTAGACATTAGAAACATGGGGCGAAAAGCCAAGTAATGGGAGCTATAGCCGAGTTCCTTCATTAAAAAATTCAGTACCCTTTTCAACCTATCCTCTGATACAGTTAAAGAATGAGGTTGTTTTTGCACCATGGTAGAAATTTCTGAATTCGACCACCCAAAGCTCCTCAAGATTTCAAGTTTCCTGTCCACAGTTGCTGTACTCAGCGCAGTCGCGACAAACACTCCACTGTAAAACATTGGGGAGCCTCGAGGAATCCCAAACTCCTTTTCCACTCTATTCAGAATCTTGTCAATCCAACCAGACTTGTTTGTCAAATAACTTGGTCTTGCCATTACAAACTGTTGGATTTTCTCATCTGGAAACCCCAAGTTTCGCAGCACCTGTACGTTCTCTTCCATTGTTTTGTAACTACCATACGAAAGCAACCAACCAGACCTCTTTAAAGCTCTCAAGGCATTAAGGTTACTACCTGCTGCTTCTTTGAGAAAATGTAATGCAGGTCTCAAATGAGTCTCTAATCCTCTAGAAAGAAAGGAAGCATCCCTAGTAATAAAACTGACAAGGTCTGGCCCGGACATCCCGAGTTCTTGAAGGCACTGAATTTTGGGATTAAGGGTTTTCTCAGGGTCACTGAATAGCAATTTCGGAAACCTGGAAACTGCAGCCCTGATATGGGTTGGCTCCATACCTATCTGTTGCAGATAATTCACAACTATGGCGGGTTTTGTTTCAGATTTGAATTTGGTTACCTTTGCGGCAGTGGAGATGGCGTCATCTCTGGAGAAGTTGAGGGAGTCCTTGAGATAGTTCACCAAGAAACGGTCCGCCGTCCGATCACCGGCTTCTTCCGCGGCCACTTTAGCAGTAGTAGAGTAGCTATTCCCGGCAGAAGACCCCAAGCTATGGTTATAGAAAAAGAAGAAAAACTGTCTCTGGTTGCAGCCATTGCCTTCGCCAGCGGGTAGGAGCATCCTAGCAAACGAAAATCCCGGCTTTCCGACCATTGCAACTCTGAAAAAGATCGTATCTTTTGTTCCTTTTATGAGTTTATCAATGTACAGGCCCAGAAGAACACAAGCATTTGGGGATTTTTCGTATAAAGCCTTTCGTCGAACACCTTGCCTGCAATCACTTCCAAACTCCAACAAACTTCCACTGATTTATGCAGCGTTTGGATTCAATCAGCAAGGTGGACCTCCATATTAAGTGCTTAATAATAAACGAAAGAGGTTTTAAGAAGCCAAAAATGGAGGGAGAAGACCGCCGGTCGCCGCCGCAGGACTGGCTGCGAGAAACCAAACGGATACTCACAAATGTTCGGCCAACGTAATTCCGGCAGAGCGTTTTTGAGCTATATAGCTTTGCTAAAGCCTAAAGCCCGCAATTGGTTTAAAACTGGGCTTTAACACTTCTTATTGGGCTTACAATTGCAGAAGCCCAAGAAATAACAAGAAAAAAAAAGTCTGTCATCAAGAATTCCGCAAATTATTACTGCACGATAACAAAAAGTACATTTTCAATATATTAAATGTATATTATTTGTGTATGAAATATACATTATACAAAATAATATATTTTTAGTATTCAAATAATATATTTTTCTTAAATATAATGTACATTTTAAATATACTAAAAATACATTATTTTTGTACTGAATACACATTATTTAATAGTATGATTCATATAATAATAATTGTAAAATTCCGTAACTTATGACAAATTATATGATGGTAGTGATGATAGTGGTGATAATGGTGGTGAGTGATTATTGGCTGCTCACAATAAATAATTTCTACAAAATAAAAAGCAAATCATTTTTAAAAAAATTCCATCTATTTTCTATTAATTACACCCCTTTTCATTTACTTTTATTTCCACCCTCTAACCAAACATTGGAAATTCAAAAAAATCATTTTCTAAAATTTTAAACGCATACTAAGATTATAAAATTAACCCACAAATAATAACAGCAAATTTCATTGTCATACCTTTAAAAAAAAAAAAAAAAAAAATCACCGCTCAACTCTGCGGAAGGTTGAACACTGTTCACAGATGAAGCAAATTTCCTCACCATATAGAGATGCTATCACCCGCTGTACAGTTGAACGCCGCCCCCGCCGCCTACCCGTGTTTCGCTCCGGGAACCTACTTTTTCCCGCCAAAGCCTCTTAATTTCCCTCCAAAATCCAATCTTGGAGTACTACCCAGAAAAGCCATGGCTTCTCCTCCACTTCTCAGGCTCAGGGTCGGTTCAAAATTGGGAATTGGCGCGACCTCCGGCGGCGGTTCAGTGGGTTCTGAGGACGGTGGAGTTTCCACGCTGATGGAGTGCATGGGTCCTAAGGGGTACAATGTGGGTGATGACTTGGCGGTGTTGTTTGGTCATTTGGAGTATGCCTGTAAGAGGATTTCTGCTCTTGTTGCCTCCCCTTTCAACTCTAACCTCGGAAAAAACATAGTCGCCGGCGGCGGTGGTGATGGTTCTGCATCTGGTAGAGATAAGCCCAAGCCTCTTGATATTGTTTCGGTGTGTCTCAGCACAATTCTTAACTTTGTTTCAAGATTTCACCTTTTTTGCTCATGTTCCTTACTATATTATTGCTTTGGTGAAATTCTGTGAGTTTGATGTCTGATTGTTATTGAGCATTAGAATTTTCACATTTGCAGTTTTCTGTTGTAATAATATTGTATAATTGGGGACAACCAGCCAATTTGGTTAGGTTGTAAGTACAAAGTTATAAGTTCGACTCTGAGTAGATTAGTTATTGCCAATTTAAGCTGGGAAATTGCTCTTTGTAAGTGAATCCAATTTCTGGTTGTTCTTGCAATGGTCTGAGAACATCCAATGATATTGATTCATGCTTTTGTTCTCTATTCCCAGAACGAGATTATTTTGTCTTCTCTGCAAAATTCTGGGAAGGTTGCAGTGATGGCTTCTGAAGAAGATGATGGTCCAGTGTGGATATCTGACAATGCCCCATTTGTGGTGGTGTTGGATCCCTTGGATGGTTCAAGAAATATCGATGCTTCCATTCCCACAGGGACAATCTTCGGGATCTATCACCGCCTCCCAGAACTTGATCATTTGCCTGTGGAGGAGAAGGCTTCGATGAACTGCCTCCAGAGTGGAACTAAGCTTGTATCTGCTGCTTATGTTCTGTACTCATCAGCCACAATATTCTGCACGAGTTTTGGATCGGGAGCTCATGCATTCACACTTGACCATTCGACGGGAGACTTCATACTCACACATCCAAACATTAGAATCCCCCCTCGAGGTACCAATGTTTGGTTTGATAACGCAAAATTGCCATACTTGTAACTACAATTCCTTCGATTGTAGTATTTATGTTGCTTATCTGTGTAATGTCAGGACAAATTTATTCTGTCAATGATGCTCGATATTTTGACTGGCCTGAGGGTTTAAGGCAATATATTGACACCGTAAGACAAGGCAAGGGTAAGTATCCTAAGAAATACTCAGCCCGCTATATATGCTCCCTCGTTGCTGATTTTCACCGGACTCTTTTATATGGCGGAGTGGCAATGAACCCAAGGGACCATCTGCGTCTGGTGTACGAAGCAAACCCGCTGAGTTTCCTAGCAGAGCAAGCCGGGGGAAGAGGCTCGGATGGCAAAACCCGAATTCTATCTATCCAGCCAGTCAAGCTACACCAAAGACTGCCTTTGTTTCTGGGGAGTCCAGATGACATTGCAGAGCTAGAGAGCTATGGAGATGTACAGCAGAAAGTGAATCCAGGCTATGAAGTCTAAGGCTATGGTGGCCTTCATGTGTTTTTAGGTTACAATGGGCTGTTTCAATTCTCTCCCAGAATTTGCAATGTTGTGGAACTTCAATTCTTGATTGCTTCAAGAAATGAGATGTACTTAATGTACATAGTAATAAGGTGAAAGATTCAGAAATTTGTATTCTGCAATTCATAGCTTTGAAATGGAAAGTACTAAATGAAGTGTTTTACATTTACCCTATTTGATAACATAGTCAATTTTAGTTTATTTGCCCACTATTAGTTGCTTGACCATGTTAAACAATCGATAAGAGTGTTTGATTATTTAGCTTTTTGTAATAGCTTATTGTACTAAAATGTTAAAATTTAAAAAACTGTTCAATGCAGATTTTTCGATCAATTTTTTGAGAAAGTCATTTTGTTGCTAATTTATCAAATACTCTTTTTTTACAATCAGCTAATGATATTAATTAATCAAACCTATTAACTCAATCAGCTAACAGCTATTTACCAAAAACTCTCATTATGAAATTTGATCAACCTTCGACCATCTTCATTCCCCCGGAGGTGTGTCACCTTGCGACTATTGGTAAAACTACACATAAAACTAGTCAGACACTTAATAATGCAAAGGGAAACTAATATGAAAGAAAATTACAAAGCTCAACACTCGACTAAATAAAGGAAACTAAATTCCTAACACGAAAGAAATTTAATAAGGAAAGTGAATCTAACATACAATTGCCTCTATAAGCAAGGTTGAAAAAATCGCCTAAGGACTGCCTAGGGCGTCTAAAGCGCCTAGACGGGCACCTAGAGCACCAAGGTGACCGACTGCCTAGCGTCTATGCGCGATTTTTGCAACAGTGTTTATAAGTGCTTCCACTCTAATCCGTTCTTATACTTTTTCGTAATATCTTAATTGATTCTTAAATTTTTTTACAACATCTTAACCAACTCGAGTGCTTGGTCACCAATACCAATCATAAGATTATCTTTTGATATACGTGTAATATTTATAAAATGATTCAAAACAAATTAGATATATGTATAATATTTTATAAGATGTATGGAGAATAAAAAAAACCCAAACATACTTGTGTTGTGTTGGACTGGCCCTACAGGCTAACCCTCGGAACAGGCAAAAATTTTGCGCTATAGCCTTCCGTTTTGGTCCGAAAGCGTCTCTCCGGATGTAATAAATCTCTTTTGACCGGGGAGGGAAGATAATCTGCCGCCACATTGATAATGCAAGATTTCAGCTCTCACGCAAACGGCGGCGGCGGCTACAAAAGCTACAGGCCGCCCAGTCGTCCCTTCTATGTGCCGGCGGGCAATGTCGCCTTCCGCCTCCTCTGCCACGCCTCCCGCGTCGGCGGTGTTATTGGCAAGTCCGGATGCATCATCAAGCAGCTTCAGCAGGATACCACCGCCAAGATTCGGGTCGAGGACTCCGGCAACAACTCGGACGAGCACCGGGTCATTGTCGTCATAGCTTCGCCCTTGGTCAACAGGAAGATTAAATTTTGCGCCACTAGGAACGAAGAAGAAGAAGTAGAAGAAGAGAGAACGGATGGCAGTGAGGAATTCGAAGTCTCGGCGGCGCAGGAAGCCGTGGTTAGGGTTTTTGAGAGAGTGATTGAAGTGACGGCGGAGAGCGTCGGGATGGTATTGGGCACCGGAAGTTTAGTTTCGTGTAGACTCCTTGCAAAGGTTAATCAGGTAGGGTCGGTGATCGGCAAAGGTGGGATGGTTGTTGATTTGATAAGGAAGGAAACCGGCTGTAGAATTAAGGTCATAACATCGGAAAATCTGCCGGCTTGCACGTTGCCGGGGGACAAAGTGGTGGAGGTGAGAGGTTTTTTATTTTTGGATTTGGTTGGTTGTTATCTTCAATTCAGTTTGGAATTAGGTAAAAGATTTAATTTTGGGGGAAATCTTTTATTGCTACATTTGGTATTCATAGGTAAAGAGTACTTAGTAGTTAGTACATGCTAGTTGATATACATGAACTTTTATATGAATAAATTAGCTGGCTTTTTCATTCTTGAGTATTGGAAAATTAACTGCAACTTAGATCTAATTAGGAAGTGTGTTGTAAGTATCTAGTTATGCAAAGTTTCTTCAATATAATATGAAGGGAAATGTTTACTTATTTGTGATGGTTATAGTTCTTACCAAGAAAAGAATGTTCCTTTGGTGTTGCTTTATGGAGAATTTTCACCTGTTTTCTAACGCAAGAATATGTTGTTGTCATGGCAGATTGAAGGTGAAATTCTGGGTGTGAAGAAAGCACTCATTGCTGTCACTTCCAAGCTTCAAGATGGTATGCAACCCGAGAGAGCAACAATTAGTGACAACCGGGTTGGTGATATTTCTCAAGAAGCATTGCATGAACCGCAAGTTGATTTACCTGAACAAAGCAGTTCAATGCTGCCTACTGTTCCCACAAGCCCTACCTCTTCCCACTCAGTTGGTCACTTTTTCTCACAAGGAGCTGATAGTTCTTCCAACTTTGAGTCAAAGATGTCAAAGCAAGAGGTTACTTTCAAAATTCTCTGTCTTGCTGATAAAGTAGGGGTTATAATTGGCAAGGCAGGAACAATTGTTAAGGCTCTTGAACACGAAACAGGTGCAGCTATCAGGGTTGGGCCAATCGTTGCAGAGTGTTATGAGCGATTGATAACCATTACTGCATTTGAGGTTTGACTGAATACAACCGTGTATTTGCTTCTGATTCTTTTCTGTACAACATACCAGGTTGCTCAGTTGTTTTTTTTTTTTTTTTTTTGTTTTTTGTTTTTTTTGGGTGTTTTTAATAGAATTTAGAATCACATCAATCCCCAGCGCAACGTGCTATTCTTGTTGTTTTCAATAAACTTGCGGCCATCAACTCTGAGAAGGGATCAAATTTATTTTCAAAAGGGTCATTTATTTCAGCTCGACTTATAGTACAACCAAATCAAGCTGGGTGTTTATTGGGAAAAGGAGGTTCGATAATAGCAGAGATGAGAAAGATGACTGGTGCCCGCATAATAATACATAGGGGTGACCAAGTTCCAAAGTGTGCTTCAGAGAACGATGAAGTAGTAGAGGTGTGATTATGATTCCGCGGAGTTTAAATTCTTTTCTTCAGTGTCATGTTGCTGCTATTTTAATTATTTCTATGAGATGCCTGCCATATAATGTACTTTTTATTGTGTTTAAAGCATCTGTTTAGTTGTCAGATACTTTGTTCACATGCACTAGCTCTGTGGTCAGATTTCTCACACTACTGACCTTCCATTATACCTAATCCTTTTTGTGGACATTATTGTCTAAGTCTGGACTATAAAACATAAACAACAATAGTTAATGTTGAGATTCCGCTTCTGGAAAATGTCTCTTTCTTAAGAAAACACTACCTGCTTAAATTGTTCAAAGGTTTCACTTGGGTTATATGCAAATCAATTACCTGTTATGAGTTATGTATGAAAGGTAGACTTGTGTAGATTACAAATTGTTTTCAAGGTTATCTTTTGTTCATGAGTTAGCCTGGAAATAATTTGGCACTTGGAACTTATGGCTTTCTTTTGTTAGATTACAGGTGAAATCGTAAATGTTAGAGATGCTTTATGTAGTGTCACTGATAAGCTGCGCAATAACCTATTGCAAGTGAAATCGTCAAATAATGTTGGTTTTGGCAGTTCCACCTTAACAACTGAGAATACTCCCTATGGCAGATTTAAGAATGGTCCTCCCGGTCCTGGATTCAATCACTCTTCTGGTGCCTCTAGTGTTACTAATCCCCCTTCTGACTTAGTACAAAGCATGGGAGATCTCGGAATTTCTCACAACATGGATGGTCTGCGGTCACAAAGTCTTTGGCAATCGCAGGTGATCTTTAGTTCTGCATTTTCCTCTTTTGCTACCTGCATCTCTATTGGATTAATCTTCCCATCCTCGGTGATTCTTTTGATTTTAGTCACAAATTGGAATGAATCAGAGAGGCACTACCAATTTAGGCAGAGGATCAATTTCAGCTAAAGGTGGTTTGGAGCTTGGCAGGTTGGTAAAACACATTCCTATTAAGGATCTATTTTTTATGCTTTCTCTATCTCTTATACACAAGAACGGCCATTCTTTTAAATGACTTCTGTTGGAAGTCATCTGTATTATGATCAGTAAGAATCTGGAGAAAGGGTAATGAAAGCAACTAAAAAGTGAGTAACTATTAGGTCTTTAACATCATCACCTATTTAGTTCTGGTTTCACTTTGGAACAGGTCTGCCATTGTGACAAATACAACTGTGGAGATCGTGGTTCCTGAAAATGTTATTGGGTCGGTTTATGGGGAGAATGGCAACAATTTGGAACGTCTGAGACAGGTTTAGTTTACTATCTCTTGAGGAAGAAGTTACATTGTATAATTGCTATCGTGTTCTAACTTCTAAGTAATTGTTTAGCTTATGAGTTCTGCTGCTTAGGTCCTCAATTATGCACAAGGCACTAAAACCATGGGAATAAAACCTTAATGCTAGAATTCTGTTGTTTTGGCTCTTAACTCATGGTTGAATAATATAACCATACTAGAGCATAACTTCGATGCACGTATTTTACAGTAGTTGCTAACGCCATTTAAGGTCATCTAACAACTTTGCCTTGCTGTATTTGAGCCAGATTTCTGGGGCAAAGGTGACGATGCGTGAGCCACATCCTGGAACTACTGACCGGACTATTGTGATCTCTGGAACTCCTGACGAAACTCAAACCGCTCAGAGCCTCCTTCAAGCATTTATAATTAATGGATCTCCGTGATAACTCCCTGGCAGTTTTTAACCTCACCATGAACCCATTTTTGGATAGTTTATCATGCCCAAAGGGATATAGCAGCAGCAAAACACTTCCTCCGGAATACACAATGCAATTAAGCTAAGGCTTTCATCGTGCCAAGATCATATCTTTTTTTTTTTTTTTTTTTTTTTTTTTTTTTTTTTTTTTTTCCCTTTTCCTGTCAAGCTCTAAAGCTAACATTTGATGTGCTATTCAGTGTCTTTTGTCATATACAGGATTGAAATTACATCTCCCTATTTCAAAATGAGATAGCTTTGGTTGTTCTTATATCCAGGCTTAGAGTGTTCTAATTTTTGGTTTTACCAACTTGTGAAGACCATAGAGTTATGATTTATTTATGAGTCTGTTCTTTATCTTGAAAACCTCTGCAAGTTCTGTTCTTAATCATATGTATGTTACAAGTGAACTGTTTCTGTTTCAAAGTCTTTTTCTGCTTCCATTTTTCCACTTAGGCAAACATCATTACAGGAAAACAGGGCAGAAACAAAGCTTAACTTCCACAAACAAACAAAATGCAGTGCTCAAAAGTTACATCACTTTCTCACAACAGCTCAACACTACTACCAACATCTCAGCCATGGCTGAAAATCCAGTGCTCACAAGGATAAAACAGCGTGGTACACACGACGATAATGCAAGAACTCAAACCCCTTCCATGGCTTAACAACTCTAAGCAGCAGGTGTGGGTTTGAGAGTAATTTCCACATTGTCATGAACACCCTGCAGTAGCAGCTCACCATCATATGCTACCACTTTGCGTTTCTTGGCAGCTCTCAATGTCCCAACCAGTGCCTCAAAGATGTTGGCACATTGATCATCATTAAACAGCACCCCAAATGTTACCTTAAATGACAGAAAACATACAACATAGTATGCATCAGAATCATCTTTCCAAGTTTCCATTCATTGTCTAAAAAAAAAACAGATCTTTAATGATTAGATTCCACAATTTCCACAAGAATATCAAGTCCCATAGGTCTGCCATCTCCCAGAAGCCAAAAGCATAATCTTTTAACCTTAAACTCTTTGAATTTAACAATCCAGAGCCAATTTATGGATTTATCATTTCCACACCTAAATACGCAGATTGATATTGCTTGCATGAATCAATAAGAAAATGCAGATAAAATCTCGCAAACATATGGAAGAAACAAATCAGGAACTCGGACGAACAAATGGATCTGATAAATCTAGATCTTGGTCGAAGCAAAAACGTAGATACAGATTACAGATACAATAGTTTCCTATTTTGTAGGATGTTAATTTTCCAAGAATTGTATTTGGGTACCTTGTAAGACCCATCATCTTGTTCTTTTCCCAGGCGCTTGATCTCTTCTCTCAGCCTTTCAACTTCTTCCTCCACGTTCATGGTCCCCGTCTGGTGTCTGTTTCTGACGCAGAATTGCAGATTATCTCTCTTCCCTATCGGATATGTTGTTGTCTAGTCTAGTATATATACACGAATTAAGATTGTTTTCTTTGCGGAAAGGCCCCTCAGCTTTAGGGAACTTGCGTAAAGCTCCATTTTACAGTGGCAATCTGGTAAATTTATGTGAAATCAGGGTCGGTGTTTGAGTCTGAGAAGAGGGGCTGTTTGGATATGCTAAAATATAAATTGATACAGTGATAAATCGTGAGAGATTGGCAGAGACGAATCATAGAGCGACGATGTATGGA